TGCACCCAGAATTGTTTTTGGCTATCAAACAGCCTCATCAACCCATATCCACGGTAACTCTCGCCCGCTGGGTGAAATGGATAATGGCGTTAGCCCACATAGATACAACGGTATGGCTTCGAAGGTTTTTAGTTTAGGTGGTAAATTAGAAGACCTCCTGAGAACAGCAGATTGGTCTAATGCATCGACATTTAAGGAATATTACTTTTGACCTACAGAACATGTGTCAAGCATAGTTATTTCACAGCTTTGAACTAGCCTAATAGGATCCTCCGTGTGCTTTAATAAAACTACCAGATTTTACTAATTACATGACGTAAAGTCATGATTTTATAAAGGACATGGAGGCGAGTATTAGCCCACCCGGATTTTCTTTAATCAGAAAATGATATCCCAACCCAGGTAAGTTATGGGTACTACAACAATGACTGAGTTAACGTTTATATGGTTGGTTATTGCAAGTACAACCGATAGTAACGGAAATATGATTACATATATATGACTAAATAAATGGATAATTTTCAAGTATAGGATAAGATGAATATAGTGGGCAAGGACACGTTTTACCATTTTCTTTCTCTGTCTTTTTCTAGCCTGAAATCGACAAATGCCTGTCAGGGAGCCGCCCGCGGTCTCCTCTCTGCTTACCTGTCGGCGAGCGGCGTCTCCTCTGTGCCGCTCGCCGCCACCGTCCTCCACGCCCCCCAGCGGCAGCATGTATAACGCTGCACGCTGGGAGGTCCAGGAGTTAAGTAAACGCCGGGGTCACGTGAGTGACCCGGCGTTAAAGAAACAGTACCACAATCACAGTGGGGGTATAGATATCCCCCACGTGTGATTGTTAATTCTGATTGGAAGTTGTCCAATCAGAATTAGACCTAGGGTATTTATACTTACCTTTCCTGTCCCTCAGTGCCCTGTTGTGGTCTTGTGATACCTGTAGCGTAGTGTTCTTGTGTTGCTCTCTGGTTACCGTTTACTTGGCTCGTTATTCCGATTATTCTGTCTTCTCCACTCCTTTGACCTCGGCTTGTTTCTCGTTCTCCCGTTTTCTGGCTCCCTTTACCTGGCTTGTCTCCTGACTATTCTTAGCGTGCTTAGCCCGACCACTCTAAGGTCCGGTACGGCACCTTTTCTCTGTGTGTGTGTGTGTCAGCGTGTTAGGTTCCCCGAATCGTGACAATGCCCATTGAAGAAAAAGTTGATCTTCTACAGTTGAGAAGAACAGTTAATGGAAATTTGAGATAATGTCTCTCGGAAAGTTCATCATCAAGAAATCGGCTACCAGCTTGTTCCGTTATGGTCGATTACGAGTTTATTAATGATCATTGGAGACAATTAGCTTCGGCATTATCAGTAAAGAGGAAGAGGTGGAGAGTACATGAGAGTATATCATGTGTAGACTGTTTCCTATTGGTTTAAGGATGATGATGTAATGTTAACCCTTTAAGGGTAGTTATACATATTTTTTCTATAATATGAATACCTTAGCTTTTCTTTGCTGCTGAGGAATAAAAGAAAGAAAGAGATAAGCCTAATACTCGCCTCCGTGTCCTCTATAAAATCATGACTTTACGTCATGTAATTAGTAAAATCTTGTAATTATGTTCTGATGTTAGTATATTCCCTCTATCATTAGAATTTAAAAAGTTTTAAAAATATTTCAAAGAATTTTTTTAGAACCATTTAAAAAATGTTTTTTAAAAAAAATCATCAATATAACGATAATAGGAGACCAGGTTCGACTTCCAAGTATGGTCACCCCACATGGCAGTGGATTTCTAATCTGCCATGAAGAGGTTAGCTCAGCTAGGAGCAAACCTGGTCCCCATAGCAATACCTTGTTTCTAAAGATAAAAAAGGATGTAAAAAAACGAAAAAATATTATCATTAAATAATTTTACTACCTTGAATGATAAAATTAATATGTGGCTCATGAATAATGGTTTCAGGAATTAAGACCTTTTAATAGACTCACAAACCTTGTCGTGTGGGATGGTTGTGTAAAATGATTGTACGTCACAAGTAACTTACAGATAATTAGTATCCCAATTGAGATATTCAAGAACTTAGAGTATAGGACTTCATTATTTTAACAGAGGGTTGTAAGAGAATATCTATCGGATAAGTTTGAAAGCAGGAAAAAAAACACCAGAAACGATTGGTCGAGCTAGAGGACATTTCTAATTTTTATGTATTTTCTGTGGAAAGTATATCACGGGAATTACTTCAAAATCTCAATGTATGCTTCCTGGTAAAATATTTGTACAAATTAAATGTTATTTGTGTTTGTTTATAATGTTAGAGTGACAACCTTTATCTAGGTAGCATATTAATGTCTCTTTAATTTTAAGGGTTGTGTCATAATCAAGGTGTTCATATACTTTGTTACCTCGTAGTTGTCTCAAGGCTTCCTCAATATACATGTGGTCCGATAAGATAACTAACCCCCCATCTTTGTCGGATTATTTCTTCATAATGCTGCAGGGGTTTGAGAGCTTCTTTCTCAGTACTAGTTAGATTATATGGGTCATATATATTTGCTTTTTTTTTTTTTTTAATTCTCACAATATTTAAGGACAGGTTTTTCAAACTTGTGGCAACAGATTTAAAATCAGAAAGGTAAAATTTAGATTTTCTTTTCAAATTTGTATTGATGCCCAGAGGGTTATTAGTGGGGCCAGAACTAGAGGCTTCTTGCTGGGGAAAATATATTTTGAGGGTAGCTTTTCTTATAAATTTATTCACATCTAAAGAAGCTTAAAATAAATAAAAGGGTGTGTAGGGGCACATTTAAGATGTTTACTAAGAACTGAAACTTGGGTTGCAGTAAGAATGTTTTGGGACAAACTAAAAATACCAAGCTCTCTTTCTGATTGGTGGTTACACACTTTCTATTCTTTTCCACCTCTCCATCCTGTAATTTCGACTTCTTTTCCTTCCCCTTGGAGGGTAGGATTGTTGTGGGTACTGATTTGGATTGGTTCTGATTTCCAAAGAACAGAGTTATGTGTGCTCTATACCAAATCCCTATGCATATTTAAACAACTGAACCTTTTTCATATCACTCCAATGACTATTAGGTGTAAGTCCACCTACAACGTCAAAGCAAACCTCTTAGGTAAGTCCTATGCTAATAATTCACCTTGCTTCCTTCAGCTTCAGGTAAAAATAGAATACATCCTTTTATTTTTTTACCTGAAGCTGAAGGAAGCAAGTGAAATATTAGTGTAGGACTTACCTAAGAGATTTGCCTTGACTGAGATGAACTTACACCTAATGGATATTGGAGTGAAACTAAAAACCTCCAGTAATTTAAATACAGTGCCTTGCAAAAGTATTCACCCCCATTGACTTTTTACCTGTTTTGTTACATTACAGCCTTAAGTTCAATGTTTTATTAATCTGAATTTTATGTGATGGATCCGAACACAATAGTCTAAGTTGGTGAAGTGAAATGAGAACAATATATACATAAAACTATTTTTTAGAAATAGAAAACAGAAAATTGGCATGTGTGTATGTATTCACCCCCAATGTTATGAAGCCCATACAAAATCTCTGGTGAAACCAATTACCTTCAGAAGTCACATAATTAGTGAAATGATGTCCACCTGTGTGCAATCTAAGTGTCGCATGATCTGTCATTACATATACACACCTTTTTTGAAAGGCCCCAGAGGCTGCAACACCTAAGCAAGAGGCACCACTAACCAAACACTGCCATGATGACCAAGGAATTCTCCAAACAAGTAAGGGACAATGTTGTTGAGAAGTACAAGTCAGGGTTAGGTTATAAAAAATGATACAAATCTTTGATGATCCCCAGGAGCACCATCAAATCTATCATAACCAAATGGAAAGAACATGGCACAACAGCAAACCTGCCAAGAGACGGCCGCTCACCAAAACACACGGACCGGGCAAGGAGGGCATTAATCAGAGAGGCAGCACAGAGACCTAAGGTAACACTGGAGGAGCTGCAGAGTTCCACAGCAGATACTGGAGTATCTGTACATAGGACGACAATAAGCCGTACTCTCCATAGAGTCGGGCTTTATGGCAGAGTGGCCAGAAGAAAGCCATTACTTTCAGAAAAAAACAAAATGGCATGTTTTGAGTTTGCGAAAACGCATTTGGGAGACTTCCAAAATGTATGGAGGAAGGTGCTCTGGTCTGATGAGACAAAAATTGAACTCTTCGGCCATCAAAGAAAACGCTATGTCTGGCGCAACCCAACACATCACATCACCCAAAGAAACATGGTCGTGGCAGCATCATGCTGTGGGGATGTTTTTCAGCAGCCAGGACTGGGAAACTGGTCAGAGTTGAGGGAAAGATAGATGGTCCTAAATACAGGGATATTCTTGAGCAAAAACTCTGTGCGTGATTTGAGGATAGGACGGAGGTTCACCTTCCAGCAGGACAATGACCCCAAACACAGTGCTAAAGCAACACTTGAGTGGTTTAAGGAGAAACATGTAAATGTGTTGGAATGGCCTAGTCAAAGCCCAGACCTCAATCCAATAGAAAATCAGTCGTCAGACATAAAGATTGCAGTTCACAAGCGCAAACCATCCAACTTGAAGGAGCTGGAGCAGTTTTGCAAGGAGGAATGGGCAAAAATCCCAGTGGTAAGACGTGGCAAGCTCATAGAGACTTATCCAAAGTGACTTGGAGCTGTGATTGCCGCAAAAGGTGGCTCTACAAAGTATTGGCTTTAGGGGGGTGAATAGTTATGCACATTGACTTTTCCGGTTATTTTGTCCTATTTGTTGTTTGATTTACAATAAAAAAAGTTGTGGGCATGTTCTGTAAATTAAATAATGCAAATCCTCAAACAATCCATGTTAATTCCGGGTTGTGAGGAAACAAAACACGAAAAATGCCTTTGGGGGGTGAATACTTTTGCAAGGCACTATATTATGTATTGATACATTATTAGTATTAAATGGGAGGGCATACGCTATACATTATAATTTGTTTTGTTTTTTTACACACTACCTACCCTCCTCACCATTGTGTCTTTTCTTTCTTTTCTCTGGAAGGTCTCTCTTCTGTCTTGGACATGACCTCTCCTCGATGTTTGAGTGTCTCTTTACCTACAGTAAAATAAAGACAATATATACAATGTAATAGCAAATACTTAACACCTACAATAAAATAGGGGTATTTAAGCTAAACAGTTGTGCACAACTATGGGAGAAATATAAAAACGAAAACAATTACATTAAAAATAAGAGGTAACACATAATAATAGGTCAACGGTTTCTGGGTTGACCAGTTTAACACTGTGATTAAAAAAAACTCAGTGAGAATAAACCACACAAGTAACTAACAAAAAAACTGAGCTTAAAGGTACAGTCAACGAGTACAGCAGAAGAAAAACCTGGAAGCCATTCATTAAAAGAAAATACATCAGGTTGTTATGTTGCCCGGAGTGTTATTTAACTGCAATCCAATGACGGATGATTCCTACCCTGGAGCTGCTACACTTATTCTGAGATCATCAGTTCAGAGTATCTCAATCCAATACAATACTTCTCAGGAAGACATATAATGACCAAAGCCCTGTGCCTGGTTGTGTATGTGTCTGTGCCAGTCTGACAATTTTTTCTGTCTGTCTTCCATTTTATGTCCCATGTATCTGGTCAATGCAGGACACATTGTCACTTCAGAACAACTCTGATCAAACTGAGAAAGACGGCTCTGGTTGCAATAAAGTATTTAGAGGTTTGGAAATGTCCCAGACGGACCACTAGGTTTAATTGTCAGTTCCACATAAAGTAATAAAATTGACATGTCAAGTTCGTTAAAGGGACCCAATGTAAAGAGGCATAGTGGAAAAATGTTTAATTTTTGCTAAACTACCACAAAATGACAAAAAACTATTCACGATTCAAGTAACCCAGTTCTAAAGCTCTAAAATAAATGTCCTGGGGTTTTAATGAGGTCAATGCAAAATTAGGAAAAATATCTCCAGCTCTACTCTGTAAATGACGAAGTTCCCTTGAAGCACAAAACACGTAAGCATCATTGTGATGGTATCTTCCTCCCCCCCATTGCACAGTGCCAGCCATGAATTTTAAAATGGTTATTTTGACCTTTAATTTGAAATTCACTTTGTCTTTCCCACGCTAGTAAATAGCTTTAGTAAATAAGTAAATACATTCTTCAACTGTAATACCATACACATGAAAGAAAAAAAAGAAAAAGATGAACTATAAGTAGAATTTAAAGAAACACTAGTCACCTAAATTACTTTAGCTAAATAAAGCAGTTTTAGTGTATAGATCATTCCCCTGCAATTTCACTGCTCAATTCACTGCCATTTAGGAGTTAAATCACTTTGTTTCTGTTTATGCAGCCCTAGCCACACCTCCTCTGGCTATGATTGACAGAGCCTGCATGAAAAAAAACTGGTTTCACTTTCAAACAGATGTAATTTACCTTAAATAATTGTATCTCAATCTCTAAATTGAACTTTTATCACATACAGGAGGCTCTTGCAGGGTCTAGCAAGCTATTAACATAGCAGGGGATAAGAAAATCTTAATTAAACAGAACTTGCAATAAAGAAAGCCTAAATAGGGCTCTCTTTACAGGAAGTGTTTATGGAAGGCTGTGCAAGTCACATGCAGGGAGGTGTGACTAGAGTTCATAAACAAAGGGATTTAACTCCTAAATGGCAGAGGATTGAGCAGTGAGGCTGCAGGGGCATGTTCTACACACCAAAACTGCTTCATTAAGCTAAAGTTGTTCAGGTGACTATAGTGTCCGTTTAAAAGAGATGAGTGGAAAAATGGTTGAATAATTTCAAACTGTGAGCTATTAGATCACCTCGATAAATGTTGCAGATATTGCCAGGTGAAACAATAAAACTGTGTTAAACATAAAATGAGGTATGGCTAAACTCTGGGAAGAAACTTAACATAAATTATGTAATTATGTCCATTGGCACACATCCTGCGCACAAAACCACAATCACAATATATTGTATGAATCAAACAAGAGAAAAACTATTACTAAAAAAACAGGCAGAAATGGGTTGTAAAAAGATCTAATGAAAAATGTTAGACTCTTGCAAAATAACATTGATTGCACGCCTAATGCTATAGAGTTACTTTAAATTTGAAATTCACTTTGAATTCTTAGTTTAGTAAATAACTCTGTGAGTTTGTTACGGGTATTCTTTTTATATGTTTTACTCCATTATTGTATTGTATTAAAATATACTAAACTATATTATCAATTCTCCTTTTCTTTTATGTTCGGCTTGGAACTATTATTTACACTTAGAAAATATTATTGCAGTAAAGTGTGCCTCTCCAGTTACCATGGCCGGCCTAAGGAGTGTGCGAGCTGGGCGACCGCACAGGGCGCCACGGCATCAGGGGGCGCCATGCAGTCGACATAGCTCACACATGGCCGGGTTACAGGGGTTACACTTCTGTTGGCTGCAGACCATAGGTAGCTGTCTTCCGCGCTCCGGCCAATCAGTGCATTGCCACGGATTACAAGAGGAAAGCTCTGACACTGTAAATGCCTGGGTTCGCTAGACAGTTACTCATAGTCTGCACCTGGTGAAGGGGCTGACCAGATTCCCAGCACACTGGAACACCAGAGATCTGCATTCCCCCCCTCACTGCAAGGTAACAACAGGGAAGAGGGAATGAATATTTGTTTTTAAATAATTTAAAATTTAATAAATCCCCTATGCAAACATTACACTCCAATACACACACACATACATAGATGAAGGTGTATGACCGGTGAGGATGGGGGAGGGGGGCACAGGGCGCCTAATGTCCTAAGGTTGGCCCTGCCAGTCACAGCAGGAATACGGTAATGGGGCTGTAATACACTTATTCTATACATAAATTCACAATATATTTTACTATTTATTTTATTTAGCAGCGCTACTCTAAAGATTACTAGGGCTTTGTATCATTCAGTTGGTCACCTTAGAAAGAACTGACCATTTAATTTATTAAATAGATATTCTAGGCACCCAAACCGGTTCATATTAATAAACTGGTTTTGGTATATAGACAAGATCCCTGCAGTCTGGCAATTTGACCATAAAGATGGACATCCACTAGAGATGTTTCCTCATTAAAGACCTTCACCTTTTAAAGGTCTTCACGGTTGCCAAACACTGTGGATATTTCTTAGAGAGCAGAATTTATTGGAATCAAAACTGATTGGCTGAGTGAGGCGATTATCGCGCATGTGCCAGTGATTTCTGTGAGAATCATTGGACTGGACCAACGTCATCCAAATGGATGGTCTCATAAGAAGCAGAATGACTGCCCAATAGAGTTCATTCCAGCTGCATAACAAATGAGTTTAAATGCTTTTTTAATTTTAACTATATTTGTAACCTTAGAGTGTTTAACCCATTAAACATGTAACTGCCGTTAGGTCACTGTGCATGGACCTTTTCTTTAACCCATTAAACATGTTACTGTCATTAGGTCGCTTTACATGGAACTGCCCCTTTAACCAATTAAAATGTTCAACCTCTCCCTTTTCTCTTGCACATTTCCCTCACCCTTCAAACATGCAACTGGAACCCCAAGTCTGAAAAAGCCCAGCCTTGACCCAACTCCCCATCCGCCCTATCTCACTACTGCCATTTGCCTCCAAGATCCTCAAGAGAGTTGTGTACACCAGACTGACTGACTTTCTTGAATCCAACTCTCTACTTGACCCCCTTCAGTCTGGATTCCGCGCTGGTCATTCTGTCGCTGTTAGCAAAGTATCCAACGATTTAATTGCTGCTAAATCCCGCGGTCATTACTCTATCCTAATTCTCCTTGATCTTTCTGCTGCATTTGACACTGTTGATCATCAACAGCTCCTTCGCATTCTCCATAATTTTGGTCTACGGCATACTGCTCTCTCCTGGTGCTTCTCCTATCTATCAGTGTTTCTTTCTATGGCTCACTGCCTGGGTGTTCTTTTTGACTGCAACCTCTCCTTCACCCCTCATATCCAATCAATCACCAAATACTGTCGCTTCCATCTCAATAATATAGCTTCCATCCGCCCCTATTTAACCTCGGATGCGGCTAAGGTGCTGGTCCATGCTTTTGTTCTCTCTCGCCTTGACTACTGTAGTCTTACTTCTCAGTAGTCTTACGTGTTCCCAAATTGCACCGCTGCAATCTATAATAAATGCGGCAGCGAGGCAAATTTTCATGTCCACTCGCACCTCCCACGCCTCCCTGCTCTGTCAGTCCCTGCATTGGCTTCCAGTTAGATAGAGGGCTCAATTTAAAATTCTAAAGCTTGCTTATAAGTCCTTACATAATGCTGCTCCAACCTACCTATCCTCCCTAATACACAAGTATGTCCAGTCCCAGGCCTCTACGCTCTTCCAAAGACCTACATATATCCTCTGTCCGTACTCCCACCTCTAATGCTCGCCTCCAAGATTTCTCCAGAGCTGCACCTCTTCTGTGGAACTCCCTTCTCCGTAAGAATTTCACCCAGTCTCCACTCATTCAAAAAATCATTGAAAACTCACTTCTTCAAGAAAGCACATCAATTAAACTGTTAGCAAGTTTTTTATCCCCCACCCCCATGACTCCTCTCCTGCAACTGTCAAAAAATTACCTACTTAGCCCTCAGTGAATACTTTTCTAACAACCTACTTCATACCCCTACTTTTACCCTTTGTGTCACTATACCCCACTCCCTCTAGCATGTAAACTCATTGAGCAGGGCCCTCCACCTTTCTGTTCCTGTACGTCCAGTTGTCTGGTTACAATGACATGTCTGTTAGTCCACCCATTGTACAGCGCTACGGAATCTGATGGCGCTATATAAATAATAAAATAATAATATTTATAATGTTATATTCATTAGGTCACTTTACATGTACTGTCCCTTAAACCCATTAAACATGTCACTGACATTAGGTCGCTCTACACGGGACTGCCCCTTTAACCCTTTAAACATGTCACTGTCATTAGGGCACTTTACATGGGCTGTCCCTTTAACCCATTACACATGTCACTGACATTAGGGCACTTTACATGGGTCTTTTGCTTTAACCCATTAAACATGTCACTGTCATTAGGGCACTTTACATGGGACTGTCCTTTTAACCCATTAAACATGTCACTGTCATTAGGGCACTTTACATGGGCTGTCCCTTTAACCCATTAAACATGTCACTGACATTAGGTCACTTTACATGGGCTGTTTCTTTTACCCCTTAACACTGCCGGGCGTGTTGTGCCATCCTGAAAAATGTGGGCTTTAGTGCCGCAGGGTGGCATAGAATGACCAGTGGACTGCAACCCCACCTTACCCTTACCCTTCACAGCAATCTGGTTTCGGGGGGGGGGACTGCCTGACCCCCTGCTGCCAGTCCAGCCATTCTGGGTCATGTGATCGCGATAGCGTCACAATCACATGACCAGAACAGCAGTAAGCTGTGCTGCCTGCAGGGGCACTGCCTGGGTTGTGAGGCAGTCTCCCAAACTGAAAAGTAAAGTTAATACAAACTTTGAAAACAGTTTATTAATAATCTAAAAAACTCAGTAAAGATACACCAGATAAGTACATGTATATAGGCACACATACAATTTAATTCTAAGTGTATTTCAAATATATATGTAAAGTTCTAATCAAAATTATTCAACCCCCACTGAAAAGGTTTATTGTTAACATTTACAGACCTTCAGCTGTTTGCAATGAACAAATCAAATAGAAGCAATTGAAATAGCGCTCTCTCCTTAATCTCTATGTATATTTAGACAAATTTAGGGATTAAGGAGAGAGCGCAGGTAATCTTTAGTATTTAGTAGAACACCCTTTTGCTGTTATGACCTACTGCACACGAGATGCATAGCCAGACAAAGTCCTCCTGTTTAGTAATATTCTTGGGTTTGCGTGATCCAACCGCCTTCTTCAAATCCCACCAGAGATTTTCTATGGGGTTCAAGTCAGGTGACTGTGATGGCCACTGTAGAATTTTCCAGGACTTCTGCAACTGAGTTTTGGTTGAATTTGAGGTATGCTTGAGACCATTGTCTTGTTGGAAGGTCCAATGATGCCCAAGCCTCAGCTTCCTCACAGACGACAAAATGTTTTGTCCTAGGATTTCCTGATACTGAAATAAATCTATCTTGCCTTCCACTCACTGCAGGTTTCCAGTGCCAGAGAAGTGCAAAGCAGTCCCAGAGCATCACCGAGCCACTACAATGCTTAACTGTAGGCAGAGTGTTCTTTATGGTGTATGCTTCATTCTTCTTTCTCAAGACATACCGCCGATCCATTGGGCTGAAAAGTTTAATTTCTCCACAGAGCAGAATCCTAAAAGCTTATTTGTATTATTTTGAACATATTGGAGCCGCATTTTCTTGTACATTTGGGTCAGTAGTGGTGTATGTCTTGGAGTTCTGGCATGGAAACCTTCTGCGTTTAGTATGTGCCTTACTGTGCCTACTGAAATCTCGGTGCTTGTTGCTACCAAGTCTTTGTTGCAGATACTTTGTTGTCATAGGGTATTTAACAAACTATGCAGACACAATGGATGGAGCAATACTATTCTCTCCTCTTCTCAATATAATACTGTGGAGAAAGAGAGATACACAAAATAGTGCAGACAATTTAACAATAAATATTAAAAGAACAATATGCGCAAGGAAACACTCACAAAATCAGAGCCAATCTGAAACCTGGTTCTGGTATAGATGGCTTCAGGATCTATTCCAGGGTGATCCTAGCCCTTCTGTGGCTGGTAGTGGTGCTTACAATAAATAGGAGAGGATCCAGAGGATGAGATGATAAAAAATAGATTTATTGAAAACTATACATAAAAAAGCTATATAGAATATAAAAGGATAAAATATCAATAAGCCAATACGCATTTCGCCTGTTGTGGCTTCCTCAGTTGGTTCTCTAAACTTATGTCCAGTCCATGTCCATATATAAGTACGTAGGTGATTGCAGTTAGCGGGTAATTCCATTGTGGAACAAACTACCTTTTAAGAAATCTGGTTGCAGCTATTGATAGCTTCCTTTTTCTGACCCATCCAGGTAGTGTAAACACTGTTCCTTAAACTTTGAGCTTTCATACTATGCTTCCAATGGTGTCTCTAGAAACATTCAGTGTCTTTGCTATCTTTTTGTATCATGTTCCTTGTTTGTGAAGGACGATGATCTCTTCTCTTACTTTTATGGACCATTCCTTTGACTTACCCATATTTCTAACATGTAGTCAAACATGACACTCAACAAGCCCTTTGCCGGTCAATGTATTTTAAGTGTTTCAGCTCAAGCACATTTGTTGCAACTAATTAAGCCCTTGATTAGTTGCATTCAGTGTCCTTGAGACAACACCTGTTTTGCATATTTGTAATGTTGTCATTGAATCTAATAAGGGGCTCGAATCATTTTGAGACTGAAGAAGATATTATAAGTTGCATTTTCTGTTGAATTTGGGAAACCACTTGAAGCAATGGTTGTGTTGAGCGATTTCAATTGTTTTCGTTTACTTTGTTCATTGCATATATATTAATATAAAAATAAATTTAACAAATTATATATGTGTGCGTAATTGCATTCTAACTGTATTTTGATATTAATATATATATATATTGATATCAAAATACACTTAGAATTGAATTATATCTATATATATATCTATCTATATATACAAATAAAATAATTTTCACAAAATTTTATATATATATATGTAGAGATTGTAGCCGTATTAGTCCAGTGATGTAGATGTAAAAAAAAAGATAAAATTTGTATCTTGTAATACCTTTTTTATTGGACTAACAGAATTTTTTAATGACAAGCTTTCGGGAGAACCTCCCTTTCTCAAGTCTGAAGCATTCATGAGCAAGACGACACATAGAATTCAAAGTTGAGTTGTGACACAGGGGTTAAAGCGACATGAGTGTGGATAAGACACAGGTTTGTTAGAAACATTCTGAACATTCTAAAGCAACATTCTAAATGGGGTATCGGGGTGGTCGTATAACCCGTTCGTATGAGCTTACCCGAACGGGGAGCAGGGAAAACATAGGAATACATCACAACTACATGGAGGGGCACAGGGGATAGTACATACAATTCACTGACGGCAGTGGTCCCGCCACAATACTATAACAGTCACAATTAAAATGCGACGCAGAACTGAGAAAATAATATTTCTTAATTTCTCACACTTTTTTTTAGAATGTATTCATATAATTTTATGTTTCGTATATAAATATTAGATAATAAATTAAAGCCCTGTTTCTTATATAATCATATTTTAGGTTTTGTTTTGATATTGTTTTGGTCAGAACTTTAGCAGTTCACCCCTTAAGACCGCAGCCAAATGTACAAGTTGTGATCAAAACAAAACGTAAACAAAACCTGGCATTTGCGCTGGATGTCTGTCCAACCGTAATTCACCTCTTTCATATTAAATGCACCCACACTTATTATATATCATTTTATTCAGGGGAAACAGGGCTTTCATTTAACATCAAATATTTAGGTATGGAACATAATTTAATATGAAAAAAATATAAAAAAAATGGGAGAAAATAAGAATGTAAAACATTTTTTTTAGTTCTGCGTGACATCTTAACTGTGAATGTCATAATACTGTTTGCTTTTACTGCAGTAGCATACACATATTTGTATTCAGCGATGTCTCACTTGTAAAACAGTACCCCCTATGTACAGGTTTTATGGTGTTTTGGGAAGTTACAGGGTCAAATATAGCGTGTTACATATTTCATTTTTTTCACATTGAAATTTGCCAGATTGGTTACGTTGCCTTTGAGACCATATGGTAGCCCAGGAATAAGAATTACCCCCTTGATGGCATACCATTTGCAAAAGTAGACAACCCAAGGTATTGCAAATGGAGTATGTCCAGTCTTTTTTAGTAGCCACTTGGTCACAAACACTGGCCAAAGTTAGTGTTAATATTTGAAAATGCAAAAAACTAATTTGAATGCAAATTTTGGCCAGTGTTTGTGTCTAAGTGGCTACTAAAAAAGACTGAACATACCCCATTTGCAATACCCTGGGTTGTCTACTATTGCAAATGGTATGCCATCATGGGGGTAATTTTCATTCCTGGGCTACCGTACGGTCTCAAAGGCAACCTGGCGAATTTTAATGTGAAAAAACTGAAAGGCAAGCCTTATATTTGACTCTGTAACTTTTAAAAACACCATAAAACCTGTACATGGGGGGTACTGTTATACTCGGGAGACTTCGCTGAACACAAATATTAGTGTTTCAAAACAGTAAAACGTATCACAACAATTATATTGTCAGTGTAAGCGCCATTTGTGTGTGAAAAATGCAAAAAATGTCACTGTCACTGACGATATCATCGTTGTAATACATTGTAATACACTAATATTTGTGTTCAGCGAAGTCTTCCGAGTAAAACAGTTCCCCCCATGTACAGGTTTTATGGTGTCTTGGAAAGTTACAGGGTTAAATATAGTGCTAGCAAATTAAATTCCCTTTACTTTCAGCCTGGGTTGTCAGGCAGGTCCCTCAAATTGTAATTAATAAAATGACCTAATTATGTAAAATTATTACATAAATATATACGTAGAATTATTATTATTTATATATATATATATATATATGTGTGTGTGTGTATATATATGTGTATATATATATGTATATAATTTTTTCAAATTATTTTTATTTATATATAGGTATATATATAGTGATATATACGTATATACTTATGTATATAGATAGATATATATATTATTTCGTTCTACATGTATTTTGATATCAATATGTATATATATTAATTTTAAAATACAGTTAGAACGAAATTACGCATGCATATATATTTTTTATCTATTTATTTTTAATTATTTTTTTATTTTATTATTTAACGTATTTCTATATTTATTTATTTTTATTATATATAAATACATATATAATGAAAACTATATATATATATTTAATCAATATCATTGTACGTGTATTTTGATATTAATATATATATAATTATGTATATATTAATATTAAAATACACGTAGACAGTGTATGTGTATTTATGTGTATGTGTGCATATGTGTATATATATATATATATACATATATATATATATATACTTAGATCATATATATAATAAATAAGTATATATTATTTAATTTTACACTGTTTTAACATCTTTTATTTTTATTTCCAGGCAGCAGGGGGAGTACCTGTCATTACTGCTGGCGATGCCTTGGACGGCTATGCCGTCCATGTGATCGCGGGGTCCTCGCAAGGACCTCACAATCACTTGGCCCAGGGGGGCCGAAGAGGACAGAGGGGGACTCCCTGGGCTCCCAGGTAAGTCCCCATACCGCGATCGCCGGCATGGGATCGCCAGCGACCGGGTAAGTACAAAATGCGTTCTATGCCGCCCTGCGGCGTTTAGAACCATCTAAATAAGGACGGCATAGAACGCCCTGTGGTTTTAAGGGGTTATTTATATAGCCCTTGCTGCATGTGACTGGCACAGCCCTCATAAACACTTCCTGTAAACTGAGATGTAATGTTTACACTTCTTTCATTGAAAATTCTGTTTTATTTAGAATTTCTTATCTTCTCCACTGCTAATAGCTTCCTGAATATGACTCAAGTTCAATTTACAGAGCAGGAAATACAAAACTTCTAAAGCAAGTTAACTTCTGATTGAGAATGAAACAATTTTTTTTATGTGGCTAGGGCTAAAGAAACAGAAACAAACGCAACTTTACTCTTAATTGTTCAGTGAAACTGCAGGGGCATGATCTATACACAAATATTACGCTAAAGTTGTTTTGGTGATTATTGTGTCCCTTTAACCAAGTGGTTCCCAAACTTTTTAGCTTCAACGTGCCTTTAATATTTCAATATTTTTTCAAGGCATCTCAAATCAAAACAAATTTGTAGGTTGTAATAATAATAATAATAATAATTTTCATATCCCCCCCTCCCTTCTTTTCTTTTGCCTGGGAGGGGGGACAGTACTAATCCCTGGTGGTGCGGGGAGAAGCCCTAGTGGTGAGAGTGAACTCTAGCAGCTCCGGTAGCTAGAGATCACTCGCAAAAGGAGAAGGTAGAACTGCAGATTAGAGGTCCCCGGGTCCCCTCTCCCTCCCCTGCCGGCTGCCAGCATTACAGTGCTACCGGGCCAGTGAGGGAGATCTCTGATCTCCCCTCCGGCCCTGCAGAGCTGGCAGGGGAAAGCGAGTCACAGCACAATTTTCTCGGTTCTATGATCATATGATCATAGCACCAGGGAAACCTTTTGCGGCACCTCTGTGTGTTTGGGAACCGCTGCTTTAACCCTTTACAATGTCACTGTCATTCAATTTACATGGGACTGTCCCTTTAACCTATTAAACATGTCACTGTCATTAGTTCAATTTACATGGGACTGTCCCTTTAACCCATTAAACATGTCATTGTCATTAGGTCACTATACTTGGGACTGTCCCTTTAACCCATTAAACATGTCACTGTCATTAGATCGCTTTACATGGGACTGTCCCTTTAACCCATTAAACATGTCACTGTCATTAGATCACTTTACATGGGACTGTCCCTTTAACCCATTAAACATGTCACTGTCATTAGATCACTTTACATGGGACTGTCCCTTTAACCCATTAAACATGTCACTGTCATTAGATCACTTTACATGGGACTGTCCCTTTAACCCATTAAACATGTCACTGTCATTAGATCACTTTACATGGGACTGTCCTTTAACCCATTAAACATGTCACTGTCATTAGTTCATTTTACATGGCACTGTCCCTTTAACCCATTAAACATGTCACTGTCATTAGATCGCTTTACATGGGACTGTCCCTTTAACCCATTAAACATGACACTGTCATTAGATCACTTTACATGGGACTGTCCCTTTAAGACATTAAACATGTTACTGTCTCTAGATCGCTTTACATGGGACTGTCCCTTTAACCCATTAAACATGTCACTGTCATTAGATCACTTTACATGGGACTGTCCCTTTAACACATTAAACATGTCACTGTCATTAGATCACTTTACATGGGACTGCCCCTTTAACCCATTAAACATGTCACTGTCATTAGATCGCTTTACATGGGACTGTCCCTTTAACCCATTAAACATGTCACTGTCATTAGATCGCTTTACATGGGACTGTCCCTTTAACCCATTAAACATGACACTGTCATTAGATCGCTTTACATGGGACTGTCCCTTTAAGACATTAAACATGTCACTGTCATTAGATCATTTACATGGCACTGTCCCTTTAAGACATTAAACATGTCACTGTCATTAGATCGCTTTACATGGGACTGTCCCTTTAACCCATTAAACATGTCACTGTCATTAGATCGCTTTACATGGGACTGTCCCTTTAAGCCATTAAACATGTCACTGTCATTAGATCACTTTACATGGGACTGTCCCTTTAAGCCATTAAACATGTCACAAACATTAGGTCACTGTCCCTTTAATACACCAAATGTGATCATTTTTACGTTCAAACACATTTCCATTACACATATCATTGTCATGAAGTCACTTTACATTTAACACAATAAGCATGTCACTATTAGTAGCTCTCACTTGGTGTGACTGTTTAGCCTATTACAATGTCCCTTACTCTTAAACATTTTAGTGTCCAGAGGTCACTGCCCTCCTTATGGATATCCAGTCTGTGTCGGATCACTCACCTCCACTCCGATGTCTTCTTTTCTTTTTTGAATTTCTGAGAGTTCCCTCCGCAGGTTTGCAAGGTGGAATGACTGACATACCAGAACAATAAGGCAAAAAATAACTCCCAGCCAGGACCCTGTTCCCCCCCATAGTCCTCGTGCCATCTTTACCGGCCCATTTACTGCTAACACATGGGACATTCTGTCTCCTTCTTCTGCTTTTTTAATTTGGGGGAAAAAAGAGAGAGGAAGAGAGTGAGATAGAAGGCGTGACAGTGCCTTGGAGATTATAGGATTATTGCATCATCGTGAGATCAAGAATATAAAAATACGTTAGGAGAATCTATGGAGAGAGAGAGGAACTGAGCTCGCAAAGTGCAATTGGTGTCCCAATAGGTCCTCGGGTCAAGAGATATGTAGGTAGGTTTGAAAAACACAGAGCAAAGGATTCATCTGCTGAGTTTTCGGAGAGACAAAACTACGTCTGATGGGACAGTGAAGGTTGTGGAGGAGAGAGAGAGAAATCTGGAATAGAATTAGGGGAATCCTGAGCTGGGTTCAGAAATGGAAAGAGAAAAAAAAAATGTATTAAAATGAGAAAAATGAAACTGAAAGTGTGCTGGAAGAGAGGGATTTGCTACGGTAAGATGGTGAAAGTGTGCAGAGAGAGAGAAAGTTACAAAGGAAGGAATTAATGTTTTCGATATATTGAAAAAGATGACCTAGGGAGGTTATTGGAGGGAGCAGTTTAAAGAATGGAATAATATTAGGAATGTCAGGCAGACACCTTAGGGAAGTACAGTAGTTGTCTGTAATTGACTGATTCTCTCACTTTTGGTAATATCAGCCAGGGAGTTAATCAGCATTCGGAGATTCTGGCGAATTGAAAGGATTTGGAAGCACATAGAACCAGGAAGGATATTTGCATACAAATTAGTTAACGTGATGGGGAAAAACCCACGGCCTTTCCTGTGCCAACTGACTGTGTGTGATTGAAATGGACCCAGTCCTGCTCGAATTATTCATCTGAATAGATCTGCAGGGTGAGTACCCAGTCAACTCCTAGATAAACTGTATATTTACCGACAGAGTGTCAGCTCTTGGAACAAGTGTCTCTAACTACCGTCTGCAACTTTCACCTATGTACACATCAGTACAATTTGTTATAATCTAATCCTTCACTTTCAGATGGACATCGTCATGATTGGACAAAGGTGGGCAAATGCATCTCCCCCTAAAAAAATAATAAAATAAAATCCCTTAACCTCTTAAGGACACAACTTCTGGAATAAAAGGGAATCATGACAGAATATTTCCGTCATGTGTCCTTAAGGGGTTAAACTTCGATTTAAATGGTGTAGATTTTGGCTGTGCCTCCACCTGGATTTTCTGCAGATACTCCTGCTTTTAGTATGTCACGTACCTAATCGCCTGTCAGTAGATTGTAGTTTCATACTGCATTGATTTTTCTACCCTACCCTTACCTTTTGTGTCACTATACCCCACTCCCTGTAGCATGTAAGCTCATTTGTACAGAGCCCTCAATCCCTCTGTTCCTGTGTGTCCAACTCATCTGGTTACAAATACGTGTCTGTCAGTCCACCCATTGTACAGCCCTGTGGAATCTGTTGGCCCTTTATAGATGATAATAATAATAAGAAGAAATACATGTCAGTTTTACACCAACCAGTCTTCATGTGTAATTTCAATTTGCCATGTAAAAATCTTATGTCCATTTAAATGGGTATATTGTGTTATTTTTTCATAGATCTAAACATGACATTTAAGTTTTTGAGTACAGTCGCCAAAATGAAAACAATGTAAATTTAAAATTCTCAACAATTCACTCTTTAGTGAATAACTATGAATATATTTTGCATGTTAAACGATCACTGACCACCCATAATGCATTTCGGCTTGCAGACATGCTTTATGGATAAGGAATATTTGTCTTTAACCCCAGTTTATGAGAAATCAGCACTTTTCTAATGAAATAGTGAAATACTGTGTGCTTCCTCCTTCCACTGGCTCCACTGAGGGCACCTGCCTCGCCCTGCATACATCTTTCTCAGATCTAAGATCTAAACGCTGTGCAGTGTGCATGCGCAGTGCAGCATTCTTGGATGGAACGTGTCAGTCTTAGACTATTTCCCATGAAGAAACTGTTAGTCTTTTCCAGAGAAAAAAGGGAAGGGCGTGATAAGGGGTCCTGACGAGACCCCTGCGCTCAGCCCAAGACCTACTCATATCCTCTGCCCCGATCCCCACCTCTGATGCTCGCCTTCAAGACTTCTCCAGGGCTGCACCTATTCTGTGGAACTCCCTTCCCTCCTCAATCAGACTTTCACCCAGCCTCCATTCCTTCAAAAAATCTTTGAAAACTCACTTCTTTATTGAAGCGTATCAATTAAACTGTCAGCAGGTTTCTCATCCCCCACCCCATGACTCCGTTCCTTCAACTGTCAAAAATTACCTACCAAGCACTCAATAAACCCTTCTGTAACAAACTATTTAATTCCCCTACTTTAACCCTTTGTGTCACTATACCCCACTCCCTCTAGCATGTAAGCTCATCGAGCAGGGCCCTCAAACCCTCTGTTCCTGTACGTCAGTGGTCTGATCTCAATTATGTGTCTGTTAGTCCACCCATTGTACAGCGCTACGGAATTTGTTGGCGCTATATAAATAATAAAATAATAATAATAATAATAATAATAATAAGGCTAGAGTTCATAAGTAGTTCATAAGAAGTATACCCCCAATGAATACTAAACAGTGAATAATACTTTTTTTTGCCAGTTTGATACTGACATACAGTTGCAAAAAAAGTATGTGAACCCTTTGGAATGATATGGATTTCTGCACAAATTGGTCATAAAATGTGATCTGATCATCATCTAAGTCACAGCAATAGACAATCACAGTCTGCTTAAACTAATAACACACAAAGAATGAAATGTTGCCATGTTTTTATTGATCACAGTGCAGGTGGGAAAAGTATGTGAACCACTAGCCTAATGACATCTCCAAAAGCTTGAGATTGGAGGTGTTGGTTACAGCTGCCCTGCCCTATTAAAAAACACACACCAGTTCTGGGTTTGCTTTTCACAAGAAGCATTGCCTGATGTGAATGACAAAAGAGCTCTCAGAAGACCTACGATTAAGAATTGTTGACTTGCACAAACCAATTTGTGCAGAAATCCATATCATTCCAAAGGGTTCACATACTTTTTCTTGCAACTGTACACTAACTGACTGATGCACAGTCATTGACACACACACTGTTTAACCAACACACACTTTCACTGAAACACACACACTCACTGACAGACACACACTCACATTCACTGATGGACACACACATTCACAAACAGACTCACATACACTCACTGACAGACACACATACACACACTCACAGACACACATGCACACTCAGTGACAGACACACACTCACTCAGTGTCACAAGCACACCAAAGCAGAGTCAGACACACACACACTGACAAACACACATATACACCCACTGGCAGAAACACGCTGACAAACACACATACACTCTCACTGACAAACACACACACATACACACATACATACACTCTCGCTGACAAACACACATACACACTTACTGACAAACATATACAATTTATAAAAAAAATTTAATTTTACTCCACCCAGCCTCCCTACCTTTGGGAGTGCTGGCATGGAGCCTCTATGTCCCTGTGGTCCAGTGGGGCTGCTGGGCTGAGCGGCTGGGCATGCGGTCCCTGGGGCCAGTGAGGCTGCTGGGCTGGACGTGCGGTCAATGCAGGCGTGCAAGGGATCTCTGATCTCCCTGCTCAGTTCACTTGCACGCCTCTTAGTGATGCCGGGTTCAGAGTGACATCACCCCCCTGAAAATGCTGCCCAAGGCAAATGCCTTGTCAGCCTTGCACTAAATACAGCGCTGGATCTCAGCAAATCCTATGCTTTCCCACGGGAAAGCATTGAGAGACTATCAATGCATCTCTACAGGGAACTCTGACTCCATGCAGAGCGCGAAGATGCTGAACGTGATGTGCAGCACTGGACTAGAAAGCACCTCTAGTGGCTGTTTCTCTGAGAAGTCTGTGTTTACATTAAAAATCCTGCAGGGAAGGCCTATAGACACCAGAACAACTACAATAAGATGTAGTGGTACTGGTGACTATAGTATCCCTTTAAGTGAGGTATATATTGGAAGATAGTCCCTGCTTCACATGGCCCATTATATAACAGCTATTCATGCACACACAGCTTCAACCACCACAGTGACTCAGCTCTGGCTGCAATTCAAGATACTGTCAGGTCCAGACACATATTTAGAGGAACACTGTAGGCACCAAAACCGCTTCAGCAGATTGAAGTGTCTATAGTGCCTGGAGTCTGCGCTCTCCTGACACCATAACCATGTCAAACATTTGAAGTGGTAATGGTGCCTACAGTGTCCCTCTAAGTTCTCTCCAACTACTGCAGCGAAACATGGGAGAATGTTCTAGCCATGCCATCTCACATGGCTTCTGGCAAGCTTGGGACGGATGCCTTCCAGACTGACACACACCTGTTTTAGAAGTGCCACCTGTCACCTACTGCCCTTCCTGTCCTGCATGCACATAGAAACATAGAATGTGACGGCAGATAAGAACCATTCGGCCCATCTAGTCTGCCCAATTTTCTAAATACTTTCATTAGTCCCTAGCCTTATCTTATAGTTAGGATAGCCTTATGCCTATCCCATGCATGCTTAAACTCCTTTACTGTGTTAACCTCTACCACTTCAGCTGGAAGGCTATTCCATGCATCCACTACCCTCTCAGTAAAGTAATACTTCCTGATATTATTTTTAAACCTTTGTCCCTCTAATTTAAGACTATGTCCTCTTGTTGTGGTAGTTTTTCTTCTTTTAAATATAGTCTCCTCCTTTACTGTGTTGATTCCCTTTATGTATTTAAATGTTTCTATTATATCCCCCTGTCTCGTCTTTCCTCCAAGCTATACATGTTAAGATCCTTTAACCTTTCCTGGTAAGTTTTATCCCGCAATCCATGAACCAGTTTAGTAGCCCTTCACATCTTCTAATAGAGGAGGTATAGCATAGAGTGACTGTGTGCATGGCCAGTATACCTCACTGTGAGTTCCCAGGCGTTTAATACACTGACGCATCTTTAAACCCACATGTCACTTTATTACCAGATTAGATGAATTCCTTCCATATTTACTTATAATAAGGAAGTTCAAAAAATAAAATGTTTTTTCCTCCCAGCACAGATAAAATTTAGATATAGTTTATGACTGGAACAAAAGTTTTATTCATTATATGTGAGACCCTGCCAGAAGCATTGTTCCCTAAATACTGTGTATTAAACAAAGTGGGCATAGTTTTATACAAGAACTACCTTGTGCCTTCTTTTGGATCAACAGCAAAAAACTATGTGAGGAAGGCTTAACTCGATGGACGCAAGTCTCTTTTCAGCTATGTAACTGAAAAATGCAGCTATGACTGGAACAAAACGTTTTATTCATTATATGTGAGACCCTGCCAAAAGCATTGTTCCCTAAATACTGTGTATTAATCAAAGTGGGCATTGTTTTATACAAGAACTACCTTGTGCCTTCTTTTGGATCGACAGCAAAAAACTATGTGAGGAAGGCTGAACTCGATGGACGCAAGTCTCTTTTCAGCTATGTAACTATGTAACTATGTAATATTAAAATTTAAGAAGCAAATTCAAAACACACACATGGCATTTTTGCAGTTCCTCAAAGTTTTTAAACTCTTTTTGAGAGTGTTGCAATCATCATTTTATTTGTACCTTAGTAGATTCTCACAGATTACATCTATGCAAATAAACTTCCAAACCTTTTCTAAACCTCCCTCATCTTGATTTATAAATCCCTGAGTCAGTAAAGGGCAGTTTTTGTGTAAAAAAATGTAAAAACACAAACATGATCGCTAACTTTGGCCAGGGTTTGTGACTAAGTGGCTACTTAAAAAGACTGGACATACCCCATTTTTAATACCCTGGGTTGTCTTCATTTTCAGATGGTATGTCATGACGGGGTTCATTTTCATTTCTGGGCTGCCATATGGTTTCAAAGGCAACACGACCAATGTGGCAAATTTCAGTGTGTAAAAACAGTCTTATATATATGATCCTGTAACTATTTAAAACAACATAAAACGTAGACTTGGCAGGTATTGTTGTAGTCATGAGATATTACTGAACATAAACATGAGTGTTTTATAGCAGTAAAACATATAAAGCTGATGATATAATCGGTGAAAAGGCAGTTTGTGAAAAATGGAAAAAACTAATATGAACGCTAAAGTTGGCCAGTGTTTGTGACTAAATGGCTACTAAAAAAGACTGGACATACCCCATTTTTAATACCCTGGGTTGTCTTCATTTTCAGATGGTATGTCATGACGGGGTTCATTTTCATGTCTGGGCTGCCATATGGTTTCAAAGGCAACACGACCAATGTGGCAAATTTCAGTGTGTAAAAACAGTCTTATATATGATCCTGTAACTATTTAAAACAACATAAAACGTAGACTTGGCAGGTATTGTTGTAGTCATGAGATATTACTGAACATAAACATGAGTGTTTTATAGCAGTAAAACATATAAAGCTGATGATATAATCGGTGAAAAGGCAGTTTGTGAAAAATGGAAAAAACTAATATGAACGCTAAAGTTGGCCAGTGTTTGTGACTAAATGGCTACTAAAAAAGACTAGACATAACCCATTTTGAATACCCTGGGTTGTCTAATTTTTCAAATGGTATGTCATGATGGGGTTAACTTTCATTCCCGGGCTGCTATACTGTCTCAAAGGCAACATAGGCCCAGCAAAGCAATCTGGCAAATTTCGATGTGTAAAAACTGAAAAGGGGGAAATCCCTACATTTCACACTGTAACTTTCCGAAGCCCCATAAAACCTGTACATGGGGGGCACTGTTGTACTCATGAGACATTGCTGAACACAAATAGGTGTATTTTATTGCAGTAAAAGTGTTATGTTAGGACATTATTAACAGTATTGTGACATACAAAACTACAAAAATAACATTTCTTCATTTCTCACACTTTTTTTTAGATTTGAATGATAATAAATGTGGGTGGTCTTAATATGAAAAAAGTAAATAATGATTGAACAGACATATAGTCAAATTCTAGTTTGTTTTGATCTTGTTTTGATCAGAACTTGTACAATTACCTCCGTCCTTAAGGGGTTAAAACATTGCCATGGGAACAGTATGTTTTAAATGTCAACATTGCTCATTGCGACACCATAATGTCACTATTTTCACCATTGAAAATAGCAATGTTAAAGGACCACTATAGTGCCCTGAGGGTGTCTCGGGCTTTGGGGGGAGCTCCTCCTCCTCTCCGCCTCCTCTCCTCCTCTTCGGCTTAATGCGCATGTGCATACAATGCTTTCCTATGGATGCTGGCGTCTTCTCACTGTGAAAATCACAGTGAGAAGCACGCAAGCGCCTCTAGCGGCTGTCAATGAGACAGCCACCAGAGGCTAGATTAACCCTATTATAAACATAGCCGTTTATAGAAGAAAGGGTTAAACCTAGCTGGACCAGGCACCCAAACCACCTCATTAAGCTGAAGTGGTCTGGGTGCCTATAGTGGTCCTTTAAGAACAACACTACCAGGGGGGTGGTTGGGGAAACATTTTTTAGTGATCAGTTATGGTTAAGGGTGTGTAGTATGTATGGTAGGTAGTCCACCCATTGTACAGCGCTACAGAATTTGCTGGTGCTTCATAAATAATAAAATAATACTAATAGATAGGGTGCTTTGATTTGAGGAAAATTAGGCGCTTCTAGAATCTGTGGACTATAACTGTCTGAGAGTGGTAAGAGCTATGACCCCCTAACCATAACTCCCCCTAAACCTGTGTCACAGGTTGCTTTACTATATATCATTAAACACCATGTACTGCCGTTTATCCAGTAATGACACTAATCATTATATGTGCTGACATTATATCTTCATTCAATGCTATGTGACATTTAAATGCCAGTATCTTTAAAGTGAATAATATGCATTTTATAAGTTTCTTTGCTTCCAAATCTGATATTCTTAATGCCCTCGGGTAGGTTTCCAATAGAAAATGTTTGTAATCCTCTAATAAGTAACTGCATTGCTGCTAAAGTACAGGAAATATAGGTTAAAGTGCTTGATGGTCAAGTAGAATCCACCACTTATTAAATCGAAATATTCATGTAATACACAGGAAACAGCATCCATTCATGTTATAATATGATAGACCTGTCATTACATTGTGATTGCTAATCCTGTGTGTTCTATAGCCACATACATTACACCGACCCCTGTATAAAATATACTTTTATTATGGAGTGACAAATATAAGGAGTTAAAAGCCATCACACAAAACCCTGTAACAATAGTTCATCTTATTGTTAAAATGTGATCCCTATTTCTTGTTCTGGGTTTGCAGTCACAGTTCCACAATCTGGATTTGCAGCCCAATACTGGAGGCCAATATTGACCAAGTCTACCCATTTAACAGTTTGCATTACATTCTGGAGAGTGAAGTCTTTATTACTGAGCCTGGATTTATACTCCAGTGTGGACCCTCTCGTCAATGTAACTGATTCTGTTTTTAGTGTGATATGGAAAGCATAGTCCCCATTATAGAGGTAAGTCCATATTACTGATTCTTGATTTGCGATGTTTGGCACAACATTCTAGATTCTCCAGTTCCTATTGCCCAGTCTGGGTTGACAGATTATATTTGGCCTGAGTTATAATTGACGGATTTTGGGATTGTATTACATTCTGGAGCCTGTAGTCTCATTTACCGTTTCTGTATTTGAAGAAAATTCTGCAAATTGTAGTTCCTATTGCACGTTTTGGATTTGTAACGCATTTACTGGTTTTGGATTTTCAGAGCATATTTGCTCCTGTCCCCTTTACTGATCCTGGATTCCATTCAGTTCTGCAGTCTTTAGTCCCATTTTAGCGAGTCCTTTCTATATTCTCTAGTTCCATTTAATTATAGAGTCCACGCCTCAGCTGCTCATTGCTCATGTTTTTGGTTCTCAATCTTGATGGCAGCCTCTGAAAAACTCGAATCACGTGTTCAGAGTTATGGCATCCTACTGCTTCTGGACACATATTCTTACCTTTGTCTGGAACACGTTTTCCAATGCACTCTATTCCTGATATGTCTGTGAAATGAGGCTTTCATCATATTCAGAGCCCTTACCATCTAACATACATAGAGACATGGTCTCTATTTGTCCTAGATTTTGTTTCCTATTCACTTTTTTGTTCTGGATCTGAAATACAAGGGAACATCTGCTCTATCTTGTACCCCATCAATCGTATCTCTTGTTTTTGGTTTTGTAGTTAAAATACACAATGATCCACATAGGTTTTTGTCCTTGTAATGAATTTGTCCTTTATACTCAATTCAATAGTTGATTGATTCTGGAATTTACAGCACCCGCATTCTGTATCTCATAGTGCTCTGATTCTGGATTCCAAATGACTTGCGCTAATTAATTATAGTTAATGCAGTTTGGGATTAAAGAGACACATATTTTGCTCTACATGTTAAATGCATTATGGACCCTTAGCAGCCGGCTTTCTACCTCTTCTAGATTATTATACATCTGGACCTTGAAAGTCTGGTGATGTCTCTCGTTTTCTGGTTCTCCAAGTCTTTCTGGGCTGTGTAGTCAAAGTGGTGTCTTGATGTCTAGTTTTGTAGTGAATTCTGGTGAAGTAATCCAGATTTGATACAGTAGTTCGGTTTGGAGGCAGCATCATACTGGCTGCTCCCACCCACATTCTGGGTGATTCTTTCAGAACTGGTAAACTCAGTGGACCTGGAAGAGGCCAAAGTAAGTAAGGAAAGACTCTGCTCTCAAACTAATCTCGGGAAGTGTCTGAATACGGAGGGAGGAACCAGGGCGTAGAGAGAGGAGGCCAGAGACACCACAAGTCTTCCTCTCAGATTCACGGATGCTGGTGGCAGTAGCAGAGAATTCCTGCAGACAGCGGAACTTCAAAAAGCCATCGAGAAGGAGATCTAACTTGATGTAGATGCTGTGGTCATTAAAATGCACCTGAGAAAGGGACAAAGTCACTTTAAAAACACTGTGTACAATTATTCACAATTATTCACAAGGTTCGGCAACCTTCGATGCTGCAGATGTTGTTGACTACATCTCCCATGAAGCTTTGCCAGCATTATGGCTGTAAGAGCAATATGGTCTATGTATTCCATGCCACCTGGAGTGCCTAAGGTTGGCTAAACCTGACTTACTCTTTAATGAAACCAGATTTCCTAGATGGTAGACAAAGTGGGAACTTGAGAGGACCTTTGTAGTTCTTTGGCACCACAATCTCTGTAGCCAAGGTGTATTGATAATTGATTGGATTGTTACTTTTAAAAGGTCATTTCAAGCACACCGTCTCATTCCTCCTATAACGGAGCTGAAGCCACGGCTGTTCACTATAGTGGACCTATCTGTAAGGTGAGAGCAGCCGCTGTCTATGTATACCATAATTCTCTTCTCCAAATGTTTTGTAGATATGCTCAGTAGTCAGTACCTTCACTGAACAAAAATGGGGAAGCTAGGATTGGCTAACAAGCATCAGCCCTTCCTAGTCTGGCCCAAGATCACTGCAGGAAGCCGAAAACTTTTGGGATTTGCAACAACGCAGGAACTTCTGATGTAGAATAAGGGATTTTGTTTTAAATCATTTTTGTTCTTTAGGGGTGGCATGTTTAAATGCTATATATCTGTAAGTTATATCTGCCATGACGGGTCTTACAGCGCCCTCTGCAGGTAGGTGGCAGCCTGGTTTGTCCCTATGGACAGAGTGCGAGGAGGCCCAACTTACCTGACAGTACAGATAATATAATCCTCTGTGGTCCACAATAAACTCTCCCCGTTTATTATCATAATGGACCGGGCTGCTGGCATTCAGGGGCACTTCAACCCAGTTGCGGACTGTACCATTTGTGTCTGCAATAAGGGGACATTATTATGTGTTTCATGTAAAGAGAGGAAGGTGACAGACCAGTTTGTGTGCATGACTTACCTGCATTCGTCTGTAGCACTCCCTTGGATAATCTCACTGAAAACACAAAATTGGAAATGGACAATGAGGTTTGGTATTTCATCACCTGGTAGTCAGGACATAGCTTTAGTATGATAGAATACCACTCGCTCCATCTATTAAAGAATGGACCCACCTTACTGCATAGGGTTATATGGAGTAATAGGAGGAGTTATTGGAGTAATAGGAGGAGTTATAGGGAGGGTTATATGGAGTAACAGGAGGAGTTATAGGGAGGGTTATATGGAGTAATAGGAGGAGTTATAGGGAGGGTTATATGGAGTAATAGGAGGCGTTAGGAGGGCTGTGTGGGATTAGAGGAGGTGTTTTAAGGGAGCTGTGTGGGATCAGAGGAGGTGTTATAAGGAGGGCTGTGTGGGATTAGATGAGGTGTTATAAGGGAGCTGTGTGGGATTAGAGGAGGTGTTATAAGGGAGCTGTGTGGGATTAGAGGAGGTGTTATAAGGGAGCTGTGTGGGATTAGAGGAGGTGTTATAAGGGAGCTGTGTGGGATTAGGGGAGGTGTTATAAGGGAGCTGTGTGGGATTAGAGGTGTTATAAGGAGGGCTGTGTGGGATTAGAGGAGGTGTTATAAGGGAGCTGTGTGGTATTAGAGAAGGTGTTATAAGGGAGCTGTGTGGGATTAGAGGAGGTGTTATAAGGGAGCTGTGTGGGATTAGAGGTGTTGTAAGGAGGGCTGTGTGGGATTAGAGGAGGTGTTATAAGGGAGCTGTGTGGGATTAGAGGAGGTGTTATAAGGGAGCTGTGTGGGATTAGAGGAGGTGTTATAAGGAGGGCTGTGTGGGATTAGAGGCGGTGTGATAGGGGGCTGTGTGGGATTAGAGGAGGTGTTATAAGGGAGCTGTGTGGGATTAGAGGAGGTGTTATAAGGAGGGCTGTGTGGGATTAGAGGCGGTGTGATAGGGGGCTGTGTGGGATTAGAGGAGGTGTTATAAGGGAGCTGTGTGGGATTAGAGGAGGTGTTATAGTAATTACATTTATGTTACAGAATGCTGGTTTGTATGAGAAACAAGTTACCATTTTTTACCTTCATAATGAGCTGCTGAAACTAACGTAGGTTTGCGGTTTCCTTTGTTTTTTTTATTTCTCACTGGAAAAAAAAGACAATGTGCTGTAAGAAACCTTTAAACCACATAAAGTCCTATTGTAACCCTTTCAATATGTGTGTTATTAAAGCTGAACTGTCTGGTTACTGCCAAGAATAATGCAATGTTGCAACTTTCTCTGAAACGTCAGTGTTTTATGCTGTCTGAAAAAGGGACAGGGTCTGTGCACCATAACCACTGCATTAAAAGATGTAGTGTTTCTTCAGGGATCTATAAAAAGATCGGAAGCTCTGCCACACTGCTTCCCAGCCCGGTCTCTTGTTCATTGGAGATGATGTCAACACCCTTCAGTGTAGACGAAAGTAAAGCTGTGTAGGAGACCATGTTTACTGGGAGGCTTAAAGCGGCACTGTCATGCCGAACTTACCTTTCCTCAATCTCTTCCTCTTCTCCCCCTCTCTCAGGATCTGTTCTTTTCTTCCTATCTTCTTTAGTTTTCTTTAAAATCATAAGACAAAGTAAGGACTCTTTGCCTTATGGAGGATTCCTCCGCTTGACCAGCTCTGACCAGCGGAGGAGCAAAGTGTGCTTCATTTCCGCTGGTCAGAGCAATTTTCCCATGATCCTTACCTTCCCTCTGTGTTCCCACAATGCTTCCTGTCATTTTAGACGAAACTGCCGAATTGCGTTCTAACTGAATGAGAACACTATGTTCGTTTCTTTTAGAACACAATTCGGCATTTTATTCGGATCGGAATTTCATTCTAATGAATGAAACTCTGATCCTATTCGTGCTGTGGCTGCATCTTGCAGCCGCTTAGTAGATAACTCCCTAATTCCCACGTTATCAGGAAGCTATCTACTAAAAGGCTGAAAGACCTAAATTGGTCTTTCAGCCAACTTTACTAATACTAAGTAAAGGTTACTTAGTATTAGTAAATAATATGCCCCTACTTGCTATACCACGAGTAGGGGCATGTCTGGTGAACAGTGAGCAGCCTGGGCGTTGCGGGTGGGGGCCATAATGATAATGGGGGGACCTACTGCCCCCCCCGGCCCCCACCCCTGAGCGGCGGGTGGGGGCCATAATGATAATGAGGGGGGGGACCTACTGTCCTCCCCACCACTGGGTGACGCGTGGGGGCCAAATGATAATGAGGGTGGGGGGACCTACTGTCCACCCCCCCTCCGCCCCCGGGCGGCGGGTGGGGGCCATAAAGATAATGAGGAGGTGACCTACTGTCCTCCCCCCCCTGCTCCCACCCCTGAGCGGCGTATGGGGGCCATAATGATAATGGGGGGACCTACTGTCCTCCCCACCCCTGGGCGGCGGGTGGGGGCCCTAAGTCAATTCCCCCCACCCCCCTCCCACAAGGTGAATTGAGCTGAATTGGGAAGTCTGTGATTGGACAGCCACATGAAGTCTGGGCAGGGTTGGAAGGGGAGGTCTTTCAAAGGCTGCAGACAAGAGATCTGCGCCTTTTGCAAGCTGTTTTTAGGTATAACTCCAATTAAAATAATGCATAATTAAATTAATAAATGTTTTAATGGGGTATATCTTCTAAAATGTGATTGTTTTGTTACAATATTTTGTATTGTATTTTGGCAATGGAGTGTCCTTTTAAGAGACCGTGCATATCACCTCAATGTAACGTAATATTTTTTGATATGTGAAGGTGATTGATCTCCAGGGGCCTGGGCAGGTTAAATCCTTTATTCCTCTATGTGATCAGTACGATTTATAGTACCAATCACAAACTCAAATGACCGCATTAAGCATAAATATGAGACAAGTCAGCACTATACTCATAATGCTGATCTGTCTCCCATTCACACTTATTACATTCATTTCAATTTGCCATTTAATTTGCCATTTATTACTATAATAGATCAAATCGGTGCTGGAAGCAGTATTGATTGCACAAAGGATATACTGTACTGGTTATAAGTTACATGACTTTCAGTCCCACTGACCCACCAATATGTCCCCCATCAAATGAAATAAGGTTATTTACATACCTCACAGGTTTCCCTATTTAGGAGCAACAGTCCTTATTGTGGGCTTAAAGGACCACTATAGTGCCAGGAAAACAAACTCGTTTTCCTGGCTCTATAGGGTCTTTGGGTCCCCCCCACTCTATGGGTCCCCCTCCCGCTGGGCTGAAGGGGAAGAATGGGGTTAAACACTTACCTTTCTCCAGCGCCGGGCTCCCTCAGTGCTGGGGACTCTCCTCCCTCTTCCGACTTAATCCGCTGAATGTGCATGCGCTGCAAGAGCCGCGTGCGCATTCAGTCAGTCCATGGGAAAGCATTTCTCAATGCTTTCCTGTGGACGCTGGCGTCTTCTCAGTGTGAAAATCACAGTGAGAAACGCAGAAGCGCCTCTAGCAGCTGTCAATGAGACAGCCACTAGAGGCTGGATTAACCCTAAAGTAAACAAATCCTAATGTATGTTTACAGCAGGCAGGGTTAACCCTAGATGGACCTGGCACCCAGACCACTTCATTAAGCTGAAGTGGTCTGAGTGCCTATAGTGGTCATTTAAATTCCTTTGCCCCTCTTTTCTATTCCAATGTCCCTCTTTTGTAGGAGCTCCATACTGTTGGTATAGCTGAGTGTATAACAGAGCTCCACAGCAATAATACTCACAGTAATGTGTCTTTAAACTACGATAAATGTGTTTAGAAAACAGTTTCTGTAAATTGTTCTTGTTATAAATTAAATTTTAGCGAGTCACCCTTCAGTGGGTATCCTGGGTTTTGCTGCCCTAGGCAGGACAAAACTCAGGCACCCCCTCCCCCGCCACCCCCACCCAACCCCTTCCCCCACCTTCTAAATACACACACACACAGTCAGACACAAACACACACACAGTCAGACAAACACACACACAGTCAGACACAAACACACACAGTCAGACACACACACACACACAGTCAGACACAAACACACACACTCAGTCAGACACAAACACACACACTCACACACACACTCACAAACACACACACAGTCAGACAAACACACACACACACACTCACACTCACAAACACACACACAGTCAGACAAACACACACACACACACACAGTCAGACACACACACACAGTCAGACACAAACACACACACATTAACTTTTTTTTTTATTTAAATCCCCCCCCCAACCTCCTTACCTTTGGGAGTGCTGGGGGGGGAGGTCTCTTTCTCCCTGGTGGTCCAGTGGCTGCCGGTCGGGCTGGGCGGCTCTGGCTGCTGTGCGGGCGGCTGACGAGGGAGCACTTCCTCTGAGCTGACTGTTCAGCTCCCTCGCGCGCCGCCCGCAGAGTGAGGCTGGGAGCCGGAATATGACGTCATCTTCCGGCTCCCAGCCTCACTTTGCGGCGCGCGAGGGAGCTGCCAGCCTCCCACCTGCCAGTGCCGCCCGCCCGCTCGGGATGTCAGTTAGCCGCAAGGCTAACTAGGCATTTGCCCTGGGCATTTGGGGGGCGGAGTTTTTTGCCGCCCCCTGAAAAATGCCGCCCAAGGCAAATGCCTTGTTTGCCTCGCGGCTAATACATCCCTGCCCCTTCTCCCCTCCCCATATCACCCCCACACACTCTGCTAAAATCTTACTGTCCCTCTCTGTCTATTTCAGGGGTTCTCAACGTTAGTCCTCAGGACCCCCTACCAGTCCAGGGTTTAGATTACCTGGGTGTGTCTAATGTGTTTAGAAAAAGAAAAAAAAAACACCTTAGAGTCTAAGGTGTTTTTTTCCCTTTTTCTAAACACCTGAGACACACCCAGGTAATCCCCAAATCCTGGACTGGTAGGGGGTCCTGAGGACTGGGTTGAGAACCCACTCTATTTGAAATGCTGCGAGGTATGTATTTATACCATTGTAGAGCCTCAGTCAGAACTGAAAAGGTGCAGAGAATACTAGAACACTAGACTATTGTCCTGTTAAAGTTACCTGAGCGTTTGTGACGATCTTTTTCCTCCCTCAGTTTCTCATATAGAAATTGCTGTTTTTCCCAAACATTTTGATAAAAGTTCTGAAAATAAAATGAGAAAAAATGTTCCATTATTGGAGATGTAGGGTTTATTTGAAGGCCAAGGTCTCTAAGCCCAATCAGTAGCTGTAATTAGATTCTTGGTCTTACATTCCAGTGACATTTGTACAAGTAGCATTTGCAGAACATACATCATGTTACTGACTGATACTCATAGGCAGAACATTTGACCATTTCCTATGAATTAATTTTAATGCACCTATTTTAGGAGACAACAATGTTATTTCTGCTCCTGTGCTAATATTTCACAACCTGATTAAAACTTTGTGATTTAATTGGTATCCTGGCGCCCTTATGGTCACAGGGCAAACCGTTTTACAATGGTCTGAGCTTCTACCTGCACCACGCCGAGCACCGAGGCTCCTGTTGAGCAGAATCATAACAGCTGGCTTCTGCCGATCCGGCAGCTGAATGATGGGCTCTAAGCGTCAGCTGACCACTCTCAGCCAAGAAACGAGTGTCTGTGCATAGACATACTCTGATCAACCACACATTAAGACCACCTGCCTAATATCATGTAGGTCCCCTTCGTGCTATCAGAAAAGCTGTGATGTGTCAAGGCATGGACTCCAAAAGACCTCTGAACATATCCTGTGGTATCTGGCACCAAAACATTAGCAGCAGATCCTTTGAGTAATGCAAGTTGCGAGATGGGGCCTCTATGGATCATTGATTTGGTGAATTTAGAGGCCAAGGAAACACCTTGTCATGTTACTCAAACCATTCCTGAATAATTTTTGCAGTATGGCAGGGTGCATTAACCTGCTGAAAGAGGCTACTACCATTAGGGAACACCATCGCCATAACTGTACGTGTACGTGGTCTGGACTGCAACAATCTGTAGGCAGGTGTTATGTGTCAACGTAACATCCACATGAGTGCCAGGACCCAAGGTTTCCCAGCAGAACATTGGCCAGAGCTCAACACTGCCTCCACCGCCAGTCCTTCTTCCCATAGTGCATCCTGCTGCCATCTCTTCCCCAGGTAAACGACACACACTCACCTGGCCTTCCACCTAATCTAAAACAAACTGTGATTCATCAGACCTGGCAACCATCTTACATTGCTCCATGGTCCAAACCTGCTGCAATTTAATTGCAAGCCACAATTTTTATTGACCTCCTTAGCGATTAAAATAAGGTGAAAAGTAGCAAAAATGCACATCGTAATTTGAGAGAAATAGGTAGCAAAACAACTGTGTCAAGTTGGAAGCAGTGCTTAAACAGTGCGCCATACTGGGTCGGCCTGGATGATTGACAGGTAGCCTGCCGTGCCAAGCTGCCAATCCTTCAGGCGGACAGAGCCAGTGACACCTTCGTATCTCTGGCCCACCAACTATTTCCCTCCTCCTACCCGATGACGGAGTTGGAAGGTATGTATAACTACCTGCTATGCTATGGCCTGCATCTTCCAAATATCTCAGGCAGCACCGGGAGGATAACTGTGGATATCTGGGCTAAGGAAGATATCTGTACTATGAATATGACACTGAGCACTTCGAGTAGCTGCAAATCACATAAATAAATACAAATCTTTAAAATGTCAAGTGGCTAGACCTTATTCTTGTAGTGTATGGGCCTGGAGCATCCGTTAAAATGCTATGTTAATAGGACCTGTGCATATTATATTGCTATAATAATAATAGCTTACTGCAGGCAGACCGTTCTGAAGGATGAATTATTTTTATATATCATTAGATAATTACACATGTAGTTCCTGTAACATTTCGTTATTGTCTCATTTGTTAAATTTCCCTTTTAATGTAAGGCGCTGCGGAATAAGCTGGCACTATATAAATACCAATAATAATAATGTGAGATCACATGCACACACCCTCCTGTGTCCTAGAGAATTTAGGACAGGAAACAATTAGTAATTAGATAGAAATATAGCAGCCTGTTGGCACGGTTGGTTGGTATTTCGTTCTTTGCAAATGTACCTATTGTAAAATATTTCTTCCAGTCGATCTCTTGAACAGAGATACCCAAAAAGCAGAGGGTCCCTTCAGGGAAAAGTAGAAAGGGAAAACCATCTGTCCCCAAGCACAGGTGAAGCAAACTGTGATTTAATTCACAGCCCAGGATGCTTAAGTGGCCCAAACGATTGATGTCACAATTTGTTAACTTACCTGCGACTCTGTCTTTGGTTCATAAATGGAAGGATCCTGAAAATAAGCGACAATATGGTTAAAAACACAATATTCATCAGCATTCAATTCATCCTCAGTACACGGCACTTCACCATACATTATCACACTGGGGCTTACTCACTAAACACCAGATTGTTCTGAATTAAGAACTGATATGCAAACAGCCAATAAAATAGCTGGACTATAATTTTTCGGAATCAGCTGTTATTGCCTAACTTTTGTAATTCGCTACAATGAGGTGTCTAGTAAATAAACCCCACGATGTGTAACCGTGTTATTCTATCTACTAGATTTGTGTTATTAGGTGGCGGATAACATTTGTGAGTCTGAACCTGCTAGTCAGATGAGAAAGGCCTCACATTCTTCCTTACTGCAACCTGCTTGTATATCTTATCATAATGCCTTCACAACCATGTAAACTCTTAATGGACGCACCAATAGTGCCACTCAATCCACCATGTTTTCCTTTAATAACATACTTTTATTAATGACTTTATTTTCTTCCTCCAGCATATACAGTGTAAATACTGATGGGCAGCCCTTTTAAAAAATTGGCTGTCAGCATGTCAACACGATCTGTATCCCAGAAAATATGATGAACCCTAAGGCTACCCACAAGATAAATCCGCTTGCACTCCTGCCTACTACGCCATTTTCCTGCACGCATTTATATTGGGGTTGCCAGACCCGCCATTTTTTTTCTTGTCCACGTGTCATTTCACAATACTCTCATAAGGTAATTGAAAAGTGCTGACCTGCGGTATGTAGCATTCATATGACGCAGGAGAGAAGCCAGTTAATTAACAGTTTCTTCTTTATTCTCTTCATGATCAGTTAACTGGCTTCTTTTCTTGCAACTCTTGTAGGGTATCAGTTTTCATATTTTGACCTTCAGTTTGAAGAGGTGCCTCCGATATGCCGAATTATGATGCATTATCTGTATGTAGCCCTTATGTGCCATAGATTGTACAGCGCTGTAGAGCATGTTGGTTGCTTTATGAAAAACACAATAAAAGAATAGTATTTCTAGTAGGTAGGGTGAGGAAGGGGTTAAACTTACCTCTTTCTCCAGCGCCGGGCGGGGAGCTCTCCTCCTCCTCTCCTCCTCTTCGGCTGAATGCGCATGCGCGGCAAGAGCTGCGCGCGCTTTCAGCCAGTCTCATAGGAAAGCATTTACAATGCTTTCCTATGGACGCTGGCGTCTTCTGACTGTGAAAATCACAGTGAGAAGCACGCAAGCGCCTCTAGCGGCTGTCAAGAGACAGCCACTAGAGGCTGGATTAATCCTCAGTGTAAACATAGCATGTTTATAGAAAAAAGGGTTAACCCTAGCTGGACCAGGCACCCAGACCACTTCATTAAACTGAAGTGGTCTGGGTGCCTAGAGTGGTCCTTTGAGGGTCAGATTATGTCAGAGATCGAAATTGTCAGTAAAAGACCAAACTGTGGGAACTATTATTTTTTGGCTAAAACTATTGCAGCTTCGCTTATAGGGAATGACCCACCAAAAAAATGAAAATAAGTTGTTATACTGGAAGGTGAAACTAGCAGTATACCAATTAAATGATCAGTCTGTTGTGCATCGCACGATATGATGTCACACTGCGTAATACAAACTAAGCATATCATTCAAAATGTGCCAACAGTGCGAAACGTAGGGCATAAACATGTGCGCTTCATTGATATAAACACATTCCAGCCTGCCTGTGCTTGATTGGAGTGGTAATCCAAGCTGCTGTTAGGCACTGCTCTTTTTAATCGCTTGCCTCTCACTTTAATCACATGATCCAGCGAGGGTATGGGGAGAAAGAGACATGGTGTCTTACTCTCCCCCACACCTTTCCTGTATGTTAATAAGTACAGAACTAATGGCTGGGGCCATTTCTGTAACCTGAAATTTACTTTCAGCAACTGTTTTAATGTGTGCGTGTTTGTGTCTGTGTATGTATCTATATTATCTGTGTGGGTGTATATCTGCTGTTTGTTTGTATGGGTGTGTCTGTGTCTGTGTTCCATTGATCGGCAGCCACAATGGCAGAGAATAGATAATCTTTGCCACTCCTGCAGTGCTGCCGTTGAACAATACATTAATAAATAAAATAAATCAATCATGTTATATTAAAATACATAACTCTGGGATGTGTGTTTTGACATCACATATTTATGAACGGTGATCTCTCTATTCTTCGTCAGATGCCACCTGAGCATGTTACAAGGTTAATCCAACCACCATGACCACTTTATTGATTTGAAGTGGTCATGGTGGATGGAGTCTACAGGTGATACTCGAAAAATTAGAATATCGTGCAAAAGTTCATTTATTTCAGTAATGCAACGTAAAAGGGGAAACTAATATATGAGATAGACGCATTACATGCAAAGCAAGATAGTTCAAGCCGTGATTTGTCATAAGTGCGATGATTATGGCTTACAGCTCATGAAAACCCCAAATCCACAATCTCAGTAAATTAGAATATTGTGAAAAGGTGCAATATTCTAGGCTCACAGTGTCCCACTCTAATCAGCTAAGTAAGCCATAACACCTGCAAAGGGTTTCTGAGCCTTTAAATGGTCTCTCAGTCTGGTTCAGTAGGAATCACAATCATGGGGAAGACTGCTGACCTGACAGTTGTGCAGAAAACCATAAGGAGGGAAAACCTCAAAAGGTAATTGCGAATGAAGTTGGATGTTCCCAAAGTGCTGTATCAAAGCACATTAATAGAAAGTTATGTGGAAGGGAAAAAAGTGGAAGAAAAAGGTGCACAAGCAGCAGGTATGACCGCAGTCTGGAGAGGATTGTCAGGAAAGGGCCATTCAAAAGTGTTGGGGACTTTCACAAGGAGTGGACTGAGGCTGGAGTCAGTGCATCAAGAGCCACCACACAGAGACGGATCCTGGACATGGGCTTCAGATGTCGTATTCTTCTTGTCAAGCCGCTCCTGAACAACAAACAACGTCAGAAGTGTCTTACCTGGGCTAAAGAAAAACAGACCTGGTCTGTTGCTCAGTGGTCCAAGGTCCTCTTTTCTGATGAGAGCAACTTTTGCATCTCATTTGGAAACCAAGGACCCAGAGTCTGGAGGAAGAATGGAGAGGCACACACTGCAAGATGCTTGAAGTCCAGTGTGAAGTTTCCACAGTCTGTGTTGATTTGGGGAGCCATGTCATCTGCTGGTGTTGGTCCACTGTGCTTCATTAAGTCCAGGGTCAACGCAGCCGTCTACTAGGAGATTTTGGAGCACTTCATGCTTCCTTCCACAGACGAGCTTTATGGGAATGCTGACTTCATTTCCAGCAGGATTTGGCACCTGCCCACACTGCCAAAAGCACCAAAGCCTGGTTCAATGACCGTGGGATTACTGTGCTTGATTGGCCAGCAAACTTGTCTGACCTGAACCCCATAGAGAATCTATGGGGCATTGCCAGGAGAAAGATGAGAGACATGAGACCGAACAATGCAGAAGAGTTGAAGGCCGCTATTGAAGCATCCTGGTCTTCCATAACACCTCAGCAGTGCCACAGGCTGATAGCTTCCATGCCACGCCACATTGAGGCAGTAATTGCTGCAAAAGGGGCCCAAACCAAGTACTGAGTCCATATGCATGCTTATACTTTTCAGAGGTCCGATATTGTTCTATGTACACTCCTTGTTTTATTGATTGCATGTAATATTCTAATTTACTGAGATTGTGGATTTGGGGTTTTCATGAGCTGTAAGCCATAATCATCGCACTTATGACAAATCACGGCTTGAACTATCTTGCTTTGCATGTAATGTGTCTCATATATTAGTTTCCCCTTTTACGTTGCATTGCTGAAATAAATGAACTTTTGCACGATTTTCTAAATTTTTGAGTATCACCTGTATAGGTGCAGCGTTTTTGCTTGAAATGCTCTGTATGCTGCACATACAGAGTAATCAGCATTTGTGTGCTGGGGGCTAGTTACGTCCCCGGCACACGTGACTTTGGCAGCTGGGAATCTGCTTCTCTCTTACAGACGGAGTGACTACTCTCCGTCTCCCTCCCTCCCTGAGATGAGCCCTCCCCACCCTTATTTGCATGTTTTTTGTTGTTTTTTTAATTTTTTTTAAGCCACTATATTCTTCTTCCATGTAACTATATAGAGGGATTGGAATATCCCATTTGACGGCTACCTCTAGCCTTACGCCAACATAATGCTAAAACAGCCAACAGAATATTTAAAAGGATAATCTCAGCCCAGTACAACTACAGATCCTCTATATTTCCTACAGGGCGACAAATCACCTAAATATTAAGCAGTGTAGGGGAACGGTCACTTTCTGGATTTTTTTATATTACGTTTTACTTGTTTATATATTTAGCAACTAAGTATTTGTGAGGTGTGAAAAATATAATTAAAACGTAGAATGAATTCTGCACCTCTTTATCCTGCAACTGGGCGGCTACTATAAGCTCTGTCCTTTGTACGTGACAGTCCCTGAGACAGCACACAGAGCAGAAGACAAGTCAAACAATGTTTCTCATTTGCAACGTGTGATTGCGATTGCTAAATCTTTTTCAATGGTGTAAATGCCCTAGAAGAGGCAGTTCCCTGTTAACCTCTACTACAGTGGCACATCACCTGAAACTAACTGCAGCTTAACCCTACTGGTGTTGCAATGTCAATGAAAACCAATATAAATATAGAAAATACATTAAAAGATCACCATTAGCACCACAACTACTTCAAGCACCCAATAGGAGCTTCTTCTGATGTAAGTCCTCCAGTGCAGGGCTAGCTCGCTGGCTGAGACCATCAACTGATTACTCTCAGCCAATGAGTTAAGCCATGCACCGCCAGGCTAGGCTTCTGGTTAAAGAGGAGACCAGTGGATCCCAATTAAGAAGTTAAACCATTACAAAGCGGTTTGACAGCTTACATTGGGATGTTAATGTCAATGTTAATCCATGACATTGAGATACTACAGATGGAGTCACAGATCAACCAACAGTATCTCCACAGAAAATAGTCGCTATATCATTACATATCTCAAACAATCCTTTTGATGCGAGTACAACACTGCAATCACTTTTAAGACTATCTAGTGGCGCTAAGCTAGCGATCGCTCCCTAACTTAATGGGAATCAAACGGTGGCATAGGTTGTCTATGGGAAGTAGTCTGAAATAGGTGTTGCACAGTTTGTAAGATGCAAATATAAAAATGTAAAGTTCATCAATCCAATCTCCCTAACCATCCTGATTTCAGTGGATTCCGATTTTCGCCTCCTGTCCCCAATTTTAGGGACATCAGGGAACTGTCTCCAAAAAGTAAGTGTGAGCGCATCAGAGACACTCTCGCAGTATTCTTATCATACTTTACTCCTCAAAATAATCTGACTCTGCAACCCTCTGTAGCTAGCTATCCTCTATAGCTCACATTCCAAAAGAACTTTCTATATCCCGAGCCATGCCAAACAGCTTCAAAGCCAAGACTTTTCTCCTGTCTTTACCTCTTACCAACTGCCAACTCTAGATCTTTGACTTTGCTGCTCCCTCTGGAATTCTTAATCTCGCTCTTGTTAAACGCCTGTGTGCCTGTAATCCTGTTATATTGTGCAAGCACTGCAGAATCTTCTGGTGTTCTATAAACTATAAATATCATACAACTGATTGCTAATGGAGAACAGTCCTTATCTACTGTGCCTTGACAATGAAACTCTGCAATTTGTTTATTAAGGCTATCAAAGCTGGAATTACAATTACAATTTGGAGCAGTCCGGTTTGGCTAAAATATGACCCGTACAAAGATACAAAGTCCTTAAAAAGTAAAGTCAATCAAGAAAATTATCAAGACCAAGCTGACTGCCAATGGCTGGATTTTAACATGAGGTAATGCTTTCAAAGATTTCTCATCCCTGATTTGTATGTGGAGGTTGAGGGGGGACACCGAACTATGTAAATTTCACCTACAGGTTGCACAAATAATTACCACTTATCTGATGATAGGACTGTTAGACCCCCTCCAATTAATTATTAAATTATTATAAATGAACTTTTCACTCACTGAATGGGGTTTCTCTGGGCTATTTGCAGACCAGTAAGCCCCCACATTCATTTAATAAGCTCTCGCCTCTCAGTATGGGATTGAACAGATAGATGTGCAATTTGTTAGCCTTCACGTGCCTCCCATGGTTTAACGGAATTCATGGTTATCAATACGCTCCTCCTTGTTTCTGGAGGCTTCAGCAAATAACCCCAATTTATTCTGCAATCAGTTAGTTGTATGCTTCGTTTAATAAAATGCACAGCACTGCAGAATCTGTTGGTGACACCATAACAAAAGAGTTTCTGTTGGCAGCAGACAGTTCTGCGTGAGCATGCATGCCCCATCCATTGCCCTATCTGTGTCTGTACATCATGCCAAGCGTACAGATTATCTGGGAGGGTGGTAGGGGCAGACATTGTTAAAGCATTCTCAAGAACTGTTTGACTTTACACGTGGCTATGCAAAACAAACACTCAACAAGAACAACAAGCATTATTTCACGTGAAGAGGAAATGGCACAGACTAGTATAATAAGTGAACTGGGAAATGGGCAGATTAAAGCAAAAACACATTCCTTGTCATGGCACACGGAGGGCGCCCGGGGTGCTTCACTCACTCACCGGGTGCCACGGTGGTGGGAGACTCGTTGCACCTACCTCCCAGCCGCCTGTATTCCCTGCCAATATGCTGCGGCGTGCCGCAAGTGCCAGGCACACCATCCCCACTGCAGTTTCCCTAAACGCCGTGACCACACCACGTGTGAAGGTGTCCCCACAGACCTCACCTGTCCGCCAGTGTGTTTCTCCTCCGGCGGACGGATCACGCTGCTCCAGGATTCTATTAAAACTCGTAGAATTCCGTGCACCCTAGTATGAGTTACCTGGAAGCAGTGTGGAGGTCAGTGGGTATACAAACGGACATAGTGTCCCACTCACCTGACCACTGGTTACCCTGTCTCCTTATATAGGTCCTTAGACACCTTCTCATGGGAGGGCCCTTATTCCCTTTCCCCTATAAAAGCACAGAACGCCCTTGGTTCTGTGCTCAGTTGTTTTGTTCGTCCCTAGGAGTAAAGAACCTATTGCCTACCTGTGTTTATGGAAAACCCTTGCTGTGTATCCTGTGTTCCTATTTCCTGCTGATTCCCCTATAAAGGACTTTTGCACATTTGACTTCGTATTAGATTAAGCCTTGCTACACTGATTCTCCTTTGGACTGCCTTACCTAGTGAAGTAACTCTGGTAAAGGACTCCATTTTGTTTAAAGACATTTATTTGCACATTGAAATAATTACGTTTCTGTTCCTTTATTTTCTGCATATGAAACATTTACGTTATAAATAAAAGACCTGTTAGTTTGGTGATTGTGCTCGCCTCCATCTTTGCATCCTGAGCCCATTCACCCAAACCTGTGACATTCCTACATAGAATGACACAGGGCAATATTTTGGAAAGAATAAGCCAATTGATCCAAGGATTGGTTGAGGGATACTTGGTTCCAACTACCTTGTGTGCCCATGAGTCTAATGCCACTCGCTGGCACCTGTATCTAGAACCATTCTGGATGAGCATACAGAGCCCCCAAAATTATAGGCGAAGGGAATTATTGGTGAAGGGAAATGAATAAGGCATACAATCGTATAGTCCTGAACCAATCTTGCTTACTTACAGGTCTCGTTAGCAAGAGTGTGCAGAGCTAGAACTTCTGGAGTAGGCCACAGCAGCCTTCTTACCTGGTGTAGTAAGGCGTGCGCCTGGCACAACTTCTGTCCCCAGATTGTAGTCGTCAGTATCAGGTTTACCGATGCCAAGCAGAAAGCTGTACCCCCCAGCACCAGTGCCACGAGAAGCAGGAGAAGCAGGGTGCCTCTCCTAGCTCCCTTTTTCTGCCAACGAGACATTGATGCTCTTTTATTTTTCTCACCTCATTTATCTGCAAGAGTTTTCAAGAAGGGGTAGAGAATTAAAAAAATAATAATAAAAAAGTACACCTGTGCGAAATCCCCAATAGTGACCTGATTGGTCAATAAATTCTTTGTTTGGTTAATCGGTCAGTTTGAGATCGAAATTCAATGCCAAATAGAAATGGGATTCAAGGAAAAGGCTGTACATTTCAAGTAAATGCCACAAATATAGAACAATATAACATTGTCACGTTCTTCTGCTTTTAATCGGCTGATACTTCTAGCAGTTTTTAAAAATGGTCGTTCAAAAGTGTTATATGAAGATTTTACAACATCCAAAAGCAGGTCTTCTAAATATATCCAGACTGTTTTCCCACGTTGGATTTACTTAACTTTTCTTTTCTTTTTAACCAAAACGCAAGTAATTCTTATACTTAAATGTATCTAATAAATATCCTTGCTGGCGTCTTCAAATGAACTAAATAAAATGAACAGAGTCTTATAACACGGCAGAAATCATACAATCCGGTGGAACGATGGCTCATCCATGTCTTAGCATCCCGTGTGAAAGAGATTCAAAAATATAAACAAACAATATCTAAAAAAAACAAACAAATTTCTGTTACACGCCTTCTTCAGTTTCCCAGTTTTGTCGTACAGAAATAGTTACATGGTTTTTTTTTGACAGAACACTGACCATGCTTTTGAAACCCGTGGATCTTTTCCAGGAAATTTAAAAAAAGAAAATAGATAAAAATGACATAAGTATAAAAAAAGCAACGCAAAGAAAATAAATTATGAGGGAAAAAAATATACAAAAATTGGGCGTTTGTTATTCTTTTTGTAAGATTTTTCTGACAGCTATTTGGAAGTTGAGCACAGTGGCAGAATATCTTCCCTGCAGATAGTTACAGGAGACAGATGTTGGGGTAGTGGTTTAAAGGGGCGAGGAGATAGCAACCCTAAGATCGGAGGAAGAGAAGGAGGAAGAGAGAACAGGAGGAGAGCTTGTATTCAGCTGGTCGGAAATGTGTGTTTTTCTAGTTTCTGGGCCAGTTCCAGAGAGAAGTAAAAAAAAAAAAAAAAAGAATGACAGGAAATAGAGAGAAAAAGGGAGGGGGAAGAGAATGGGAGACGAGGGAGGGAGGGAGAGAGAAAAAGTGAGTGATAGAGGAGAGAAAAGATGGAGACAGAGGAAAGAAAGGCTGGGAGAGAGTGAGGAAGATAATGAAAGAATGGAAATCTAAGAGCAGATGTGCCAGTGACAAGCAGACAGAGAAGAAACTGTTACAGAAAGATAAAGACAGAAACAGAGATAAAGATACTATTACAGAAAGATAAAGATGCAGAGATCTATAAGATACAGTTGCAGATGGATAGAGATAAATATAGAGTTAGCTAGAGAGATACAGATAGATAGGTTATTATTATTATTATTATTATAAAACAGAAAGAGATGGAAGGATAGACGGATGGATCGGATGAAAATAGCGACAGTCTTACCAGCAAGGTGCACGTACAGTGTGCATCCTTAGCATCTGTCCTGTGCACAGAGTGGTACACTGCTGGAGAGGTCCATAACATGACACAAACATCATGAATCTGGCATATGTTCTGTTACGTCTCCTATATATAATTGTGCGGTCATACATTCATTGATGACATGTCCAACTTTCATAGCCTGCATCCCAGCCATTTCCTGTGATTGGGCAGCCTTGGTTGGAGTGAGATGATATCACACACCCCCGTTGGTTCTAGTGTAATAGGAACCCATGGGAACTTGGTTCCCTTACTGTATTAGCAGAGGGAACTGAGTTGCAACACGTCCTACTGTGAAGGTATGAGCAGTGATTCCAGCAGAGGACCTCTGATACCAAGAAATTGGCATTTTAAAGTTTCCTCTCATTTGGACAATAGCTGTGAATTGAGCACTACACAATATTAAATACACAATTCTGTGAAATTGGTGTAACCTTAATCTTATAATTTGTATGTTATAATTTATGTATTATTATAAAAAACAAGTCCATATGTGTAGTTCTATGTTTTATTAGTTATGGTCGGTATATAAAATTGAAAGATAAAGCGCTGGTAGCGTCCTTTGTACGGGTGTGCACCCTCCTTGCTTTCAGGGTCAAGTCCACCGACCTCAGACTACGAGGACACTACATCCTAAAGATTAGGCCTTTTTTGCCCCTGAGATTGGGGTACACAATGCGCACAAGACTAATGAATGACTAAGGAGTTCTGTTTGGCTGATGACGAGAACAATGTTTGATGTGCACATTCTGTGTTAAATCTGGAGAGGACCAAAACAGGGGCGAAATGAAGTTGCACACAGCGGCCTAATGGGGCCTCCTGCGGGACAATCCCCAGTGTTTTACTGCTTAGCCATAAAATGTAGCACGTTTGTCATGTGATATCTCCTTGAATCCAGTGCTGACTCACAGCTCTCCTCTCCTCCTCTCTCTGCGTTCTATTTAAAGTACATGTGTTTAAAAACCGGCTGCTTTACTTGTCAAAAAAATAAAGGTATTCACTTTACATGTTCCTTAAGAAGAAGCCCCCCGCCATAAACGCTGACCCCGAACAGAATCAAAATGGATAAAATATACTAACAAAAATATACTATACCAGTAGTACTCCTATACTTTCCTTAAAGAAAAAAGTCACTATATATTTGATTTATGTGATAGTAAAAGTCTGTGTTTTTATTAGACCTGGTGTTGTGTGTTTTGTTGATAGATATAAAAGATCACCTTCTGTGTGGCATTGATTTTAACGTTTTCTCTCCTCGTAGCTCAGCCATTTCATATAATCTTTGCTTAACCAAAATACCACTTTTCTGGCCTAGCCTAATGTTCATTCTCTGTCCACGAGATTTGTATCGGAGATCACAAGAGATGCACAACATTTGGTACAAAGCCGCAGTTTTCACAGCCGATGTGGCCTAAGCTAGTGTGACCGTATACTCCAGAAGGAGAGAGATGTTTGGTCGGGTAATCACGTGAAATGGCCACACTCAGTGCAAATAAAATGACGAGCAACGAGAAGCAAGCCATGTCAGCTGATGTTTGAAAGAGATCTGCAGTTTTTGCAAGCTGATTTTAGATATACCCTCAATGGGAAAAATACAATGATTTTTATTTTTTTTATTTGGCCAGAGTGAACATAAGGTATGTATAGCTCCCTAACATCTACCGTAATTCTCCCACATAATTTGTCTTATTATATATGTTTTTATGTGAGATGGAGCTCCTGTACCTCGCCTGAGTACTTTCACCAGATCCGCTTCCTAGCTACTTCTTTTAGGGTCCCTGGAATGCTTCAGCCTCAGTCGACAAAGTTTGACTGGGGTCACTGAGAACTTCTTACACCCTGAACCAGGCTCGAGCTCTCTCCTTCCAGGCAGGTATCACCCACTCTGCCTTTGCCTCTTGAACTCCTTTCCCAAGCAGGTATCCACTCTGCCTAGAGTGTGAACACTTACTGCCTTTGTGGCTCTCAGGCCTAGCTCTTTTTAACTTGTCCCGGGATTAAAGGACCAAGCAGCTTGCCAACAGGTCTGAAGACTCTGTTCCTGGGATCCACAAATAACAAACCAGGACACCCAGTTCCAGATGGAACTAACACACAATACTTTATATTGAACAAGGACTAGCCTTTGCTGATCTGTCCTTAAGCATGTGGTGAAAACCATAAAAATATAAACAAACATATATAACTTGAGAAATAAACAACATAATACTGCATCAAATATGTATTACAATCACAACTTTCCAAACTGTGGAAAAAAACAGATATACATATGCATATAGTCATTTTTTTTTTTTGCACTATCCTTATTTGCATATTTTGATAATACAAATCAATGCATTTTCCAGTTTAACCAACAGAGAGCAATTGAGAGTCATCACAAGTTTGGAAAAATCCCCTTTTAAAATAAGGGTACCCCAACCTTGCAAACCCAAACTAGAAGGAGAAAGGAGCCTGAATGGCCCCCATGAACTTGCCTCCCAAAAAAAGAACCCCATTCCAGCCCACCCATAGTCATTGGGACGGAGGCTGACCTGCAGTACTCTCCAACTACCAAAGTAACAGAGGATTCCATTACGTTACATTTTCTGAATCACCAAATATAACCCAACAGATCATTAGTATGTTCCTTGCATCATTTCCCCATTTCTTTCTATGAAGTCCTTCTCGTGATGTGGTGGTTATAATGACTGCTCCTTATTTCCGATCATTGGGTGACAGGCCCTAACGGAAAACTATCATCATTATCTTTCAATTATGAAATAGTAGATTGCATGTATTATTGACTCTATGTATTTTTATGTAATTCATAAAAATGTAAATATTGTATTACAGTGCATCTTCTGACTTGACCATGTTCTGTGGAAGCCACCATTTTTAAGTCCAGTTTGGTCAGAAGCACCAAATATCTGCCAAGACCAGGCGCAATTTGAACATCTAAAGCCAACTCAGATAGACTTTATTGAAGTTCCATGGTCATATGCATGGCATCAAAATGTGTGAGTTCATTTACCTGCACTTTTTTTGGTTGGATAAGTGGTGCTTCCCACCAAAAAGGATTTAAAGATGACCGCACCCATGGAACAAGAGTAAGCCAGGAAACGCTCTGAATGATGGTATATCTTACAAAGTTATGGTATAATAATACATCGATTATATTATGTGCAAGCCTTTAAATTAAGTAATAATAAAGATTTTTTTTTTTTTAAATAACAGTTTACCTTGAAGAGTTTTACTATGAGATTATTTAGTAAACAGTGATATGTGATTAAATGAAGCATTATTGGGAGAAAAAAATGAGATTCGGCTGTTTATACCTGTTTTTATTGTTCCAAATCACATTTGGGTAAATATACCACACTGTATTTTAACCTATTTATGCCATGAACACTGACCCCTGTTCTTTATATATAAAGGGGAACCGTTGTTGGCATGTGGGGGTGCTTCACTACAGTAATAAAGTGTATGTTTTGTTAAATTCCTCTTTTTAGCTGACTTATTTCTTAGTCATATGAGTTAGTCAATGAACTTATAATAATGTGTCTATTTGTGGCAGGTCTTCCGCACAACTGATGATTGAAGCAGAATCGGATATATATTTATCAGACTTCAAAAAACATGCATGTACAGTAAAGACCAGGGGGCCACAGGAAAGGAGCAGGACGTAATGGCAAATATACATTGGCTGTTACAAGAATGGGGACATTGGGACAACCTCAGAAACAAATACAATGATCAGTGGGAATGACGCAGTAGGAACATACAGAAACCTGCTGATTGCAATGGTTTTCATTTTTAGAACTTGCTGCAAAGTAATTTTGTATACATTTCCACTTTACATCAGAACATTACAGTGATGGATTTAAATGGACACACTAGACACCTGAAGTGCTGAAGTGCTTTATGTATGAAGAGTGTGTGCTCTTTTTAAAATTTTACAAAAAAGTGCAGATTTCAATAGAAATTGACACTTTTATAAATGAACCTTGTTACACCCCCTTGACTGTCAATCAGACAACGAGTCCAGATACTTCCTGGTTTGGTTAGCTCATTGGAGCTAAATTCAAGAGGCAGCAATTGCCCAGAGCACCTGCCTTGCAAAGACTTCTTACTGAGCTGCATTGGGAAGTCTGTGATTGGACAGCCACAGAAAGTCTGGGCGGGGTTAGAAGGGGAGGGCTTGGAAAGGCTGCAGAAAAGAGATCTGCAGCTTTTGAAAGATGTTTTTAGATATACCCCCAATAAAATGCATATATAATGCATTTTTTCATTGGGGTTATGTCTATATATTTTTTTATATGGACAGTGGGGTGTCCCTTTAGCCAGTGCCATTTGCAGTGCTGAAACATCATACTATGTTGGAACAATTATAGAGATAAGATGATAACTAGTCTAGAAATTGGATATCAGGTTTGCTGTTTTTTAATTTAATCAAAGAATAACTTCTCCAATGTAGTGTTTGCCATCCTTGAAGCCTGACCTCCTGTATCATTGAATAGCATACTTCCCAACACTGGTAGTTATGAATGCGGGACTGGGGTAGAATGTGTCAAGAGGTGACATGATGGTAGGTCTTGTGTTCACCAAGTATCTGCTTGTGACGGACTGATCCTGTCACTATGTTAACTGATGCGGGACTCCAGGCCAAGTCCTCTCCAAAATAGTAAATTACTTTGCTTACCCTCCCCTCCTGGACCATCAACTTGCAGGATATCTAGAATGCATAGTTACTCTGCCCAACTAGCTTCAAGGACTCTGGGAAGCTGCCCAGGCCCGTCCTCAAGCAGAGAGCACTTGACCAGAAGATACCCTTATTTTACCCTGGGATTGCTCACCGGATCGGAAATGTGTTATGATCTAGTGAAACTTCAGTTGTGTATTCCTTTGGTTCTATGACCACCAAACAGTGCGCTATTTGGAAGGGAAATGGGGGAGGTGATGAGGTGTCCAGCAACACCCAGGACTTGTGGAAGCTCCCTTCTCTGAAACCCCAGGAAGCCGTTATTGGTGACAACGGCTTAGCATGAAACATCCTAGAACTCTACACCAGATTGGAAAGCATTGCTTCCCCATTCAGCTGTCTAGGTACCTGCTGGACATGAACACACTCCATCTACTCACACCTTGCAAACCAATTTCCTGAAACTGCAGAGCTGTGAGAGGGTTGGGGGTCGCAGCAATGTGTGAGCGTACGCTCCCCGTGCAATTCGTTAGGTTCAGTAGGCTGACTGTCTTGGTGTGAGCAGGTAAAGCATGTTCTTACTGGAGAAGTGCTTGGATGGCTACATTCCCATGTGACATTAGTGGAGGTTGGAGTTTTGGAGAACATGCCGAATATTTAAAAGTTAAGTTTGCAGGGACTGCTGTCTATCATGCAGTAGTAGTTATGGTGCTTGAACTGTCCCTTTAACAATATAGATAAAACAATAAGTAGCTAACAATTAACAGATACATTTCACTGCAGTTTGTTTATGTGCAAATCCTTAGGTCCTGATCCTCAGATTAAATTGTTGAATTCTCTCCTGGCCATATGGGGAACACTCTGCTCTTCTTACAGACGTGCTGGGTGGGGTCTAAATTCAAGAATGATTCCTCGGTGGTCCCAGTGGCTGTAAGGATGCTTGCTTGGGTTCTCCCAGAGAATGACTAATTGATGCCTATTGTATTGTGCAGCTGATCCATGTCCGTATGTAATTTAAATGACAGGACTTCCATTTCTAGAACCATATCCTGGCCCCTTGCACCTGGCTGGGAGTTGGAGGGGGCTCGCACTGATCTCTGGGGAAGCCATGTGTGATTTCAAACATAGTGGAGGAGAAAAGAGAATAGAAGTACAATAGAGGAATACACAGAACAAAGCGTCACTATACACTACTACATCCACAATGCACAGCCATAGTAAATGGTAGAAATGAGAATATACAGGATCAAACCGTCTCTGCCTCTAACTCCTACAACAATCAGCCATAATTAATGGTAGAATACACAGGGGCATAGGGTGTCTGCCTCTCTGGAGAATGCAACTCCTACAACAATCAGCCATAATTAATGGCAAAATACACAGAATCAGAGAGTATCTGAATCTCTGTAGACTGCAGCTCCCACAATTCCCAGTCACGATTAATGGCAGACTGCATAGGATCAAGCAGTCTCTGCCTCTCTTTCTGTGTTCAATTCCCACATTGCTCAGGCGTAATTAATGGTAGAATATGCAAGAACAGAGAGTCTCCTTGGAGATCCTCCGCCTCTCCCCATCACAGCTACCACCAAGCCTCACTCTTTAAACAGGTAAGTTTCTCACCCGGGCATTAGCCGGTGACTGCTGGATGCAACTGCGAGACAGTCGACTGAGACAGAGTGCCTAGAGATCTCAAGCTGTTCAAGATAAAGAGTGAAAGACATGGGCAACTGGACTAACACGTTTCGTGCATGAGGAACTCCAAGAGAACACGTCCAGTGGCCATCACTCTCAGGCCCTGCCCCTCCCAAGCAGCTAATTTTTCTTCAAGTATCGTCGTACTGTGCCCCTTAAAACAACCACACCGTCTTTTTACAGAGCCTGTATTTCTCCTGAGGTTACCTGTGGGCTTTTCTTTGTATCCCAAGCAATTCTTCTGGCAGTTGGTCTACCTGACCTTGGCTTGGTATGAAGAGATCCCCAAATTTTCCACTTCTTAATAAGTGACTGGAAAGTACTGACTGGCATTTTCAGGGATTTGGATATCTTTTTATATCCTTTTCCATCTTTATAAGGTTCCATTACCTTGTTACGCAAGTCTTTTGACAGTTCTTTTCTGCTCCCTATGGCTCAGTATCTAGCCTTCTCAGTGCATCCACGTGAGAGCTAACAAACCCATTGACTATTTATACACAGACACTAATTGCACTTTAAAAAGCCACAGGTGTGGGAAACTAGCCTTTTATTTGCATGTTCAGTCATATTTTTTTAAAATCAATGCCAAAATTTCACAATTTCTGCCAGGGTATGCAAACTTTTGAGCACAACTGTATATGTTTAGACTAATGACAAAATTGTAACAGTACCCTCATTTAATAATCCATCCATCTTTTACTTACAGTTACATTCCCCAAATAATGAACCTAGTAGGAGTGTAAGTCATTTCTTATACAGGTGATAACTGGAGAGTTACAAAATATGCATGTTTTGCTGTACCCTAGCGACATGACTGGAGAATTTTAGCGCAAGATAAGATATTAAAATATTCCAAACTTAACGTACCTGTAACAGATTACCTGGCACCCCGACTGGGTACCTCCGTTGAAGGACGCTCCTAGCGCTTCCTGAGGACTCCAAGCACTGCAGCAGACACCACAACCACCGCAGACTCCACAACCTTGACTGGAGTCTCGCCGTCTTCCTTCCACCCTGGATCAGCTTCTGTCCTCCAGGACCGTGTGGGAAAGACCTCTTCCTTCCACCCTGTATGAACCTCCAACATCCAGGACTGTGTGGTGAAGACCTCTCCTCCAAGGAGAGCGAAGCAGGAAACAAGCTCTTAAAAGAGCTAAGTGATTCAACCTCAGGGGAGTATGCAGACCAGTGTGATTATAACAGCTCCCTCCAATAACGTGACAAGGCTACATTTAGAGGAATCAAGAAGAACTATCTAAACTTTTATTTCTCTTGGGACCAGCCCATGGGGTCACCACATTAACATTGCTGTGAAAACTCAATAAAATCACAAACAGTCAAACCATAACAGGCAACACACAGTGACTTATCAGAACACAATGGCACAATTTTAAAGGGGAGGGGGAGACAATATTTAACAGAAAATATCTCACGTGCCTGCAGAATTAGCAATATGCAAATCTACCCAAATATGCAAGTGAACCAGTCTTGCTATTCAGGTAGTGCATATTGCTGTTGCTACCAACAGAGGGCACTAGACAAGCTCCATAGCCAAACCCACCTAGTTGGTAGCAAACCTCAGCAGTACAGGAGAGCAGGCAATGCATTTCACAGTACACACACACACTATAAACAATTGCATTACACACACTATAAACAATTACATTACACACACCCTGCACCTATAATGGGTACAGGGTGACTAAAACATAAGAGAAATAAAGCAACCTACATAAATAGTCTGTCTGAAGGTAGAATAGGGGCTTTAAAGCCAAATACATCAAAGAGTCACACGGTTCCCCAATTGTTCCTTACTCATACTTTTGCTCTGTTCCAGCCCTTTGTGGACTAGTTCACATATTTAATGGCCTCTCTTTATTTTCTGCTTTATGATTTGTAAGATTCTAAAGAAAGAATATGAATATATAAGAAACATCGGAAGGCCACTGTTACCACATTGCTAGATGACTGTGGCTCCTTGAAATGTACAGATTTGGGAAATAGATACAATTATTTAAAAAAAACACATCTCTATAGTATGGCTGGACAAAACACTATTTTTTTAAAAGTTTATTTCAGGAACGCTTTCTCAGATTCTGGAATATATTTTGGAAAATCAGGATTTTTTCGAAATGTCTGGGTAATGTTACAAGCTAATGGTGACTCCAGGTGGCCAAGTTCTGGATTGGATCTGAGAGTGTACTCCTTATCAACTTATTGTCTTTTAGATCCCGTAGGGTGTGTGCATGAAGACGTGTCAGCTCTCCCAACTCTTCCCAGACTGCAAAAGTGGAGAAAGATTTGATATCAATAAAATTTAAAATAAAACAGGTAGAAACCATAGAAAAATAGATAGACTGGAAAAATGAAATAATACACTGCTCAAAAAAATAAAGGGAACACTTAAACAACACAATGTAACTCCAAGTCAATCACACTTCTGTGAAATCAAACTGTCCACTTAGGAAGCAACACTGAGTGACAATCAATTTTCACATGCTGTTGTGCAAATGGGATAGACAACAGGTGGAAATTATAGGCAATTAGCAAGACACCCCCAATAAAGGAGTGGTTCTGCAGGTGGTGACCACAGACCACTTCTCAGTTCCTATGCTTCCTGGCTGATGTTTTGGTCACTTTTGAATGCTGGCGGTGCTTTCACTCTAGTGGTAGCATGAGACGGAGTCTACAACCCACACAAGTGGCTCAGGTAGAGCAGCTCATCCAGGATGGCACATCAATGCGAGCTGTGGCAAGAAGGTTTGCTGTGTCTGTCAGCGTAGTGTCCAGAGCATGGAGGCGCTACCAGGAGACAGGCCAGTACATCAGGAGACGTGGAGGAGGCCGTAGGAGGGCAACAACCCAGCAGCCTTTGTGCAAGAAGGAACAGGAGGAGCACTGCCAGAGCCCTGCAAAATGACCTCCAGTAGGCCACAAATGTGCATGTGTCTGCTCAAACGGTCAGAAACAGACTCCATGAGGGTGGTATGAGGGCCCGACGTCCACAGGTGGGAATTGTGCTTACAGCCCAACACTGTGCAGGACGTTTGGCATTTGCCAGTGAACACCAAGATTGGCAAATTCACCACTGGCGCCCTGTACTCTTCACAGATGAAAGCAGGTTCACACTGAGCACATGTGACAGAGTCTGGAGACGCCGTGGAGAACGTTCTGCTGCCTGCAATATCCTCCAGCATGACCGGTTTGGCAGTGGGTCAGTAATGGTGTGGGGTGGCATTTCTTTAGGGGCCGCACAGCCCTCCATGTGCTCGCCAGAGGTAGCCTGACTGCCATTAGGTACTGAGATGAGATCCTCAGACCCCTTGTGAGACCATATGCTGGTGTGGTTGGCCCTGGGTTCCTCCTAATGCAAGACAATGCTAGACCTCATGTGGCTGGAGTGTGTCAGCAGTTCCTGCAAGACGGAGGCATTGATGCAATGGACTGGCCCGCCCGTTCCCCAGACCTGAATCCAATTGAGCACATCTGGGACATCATGTCTCGCTCCATCCACCAACGTCACGTTGCACCACAGACTGTCCAGGAGTTAGCAGATGCTTTAGTCCAGGTCCGGGAGGAGATCCCTCAGGAGACCATCCGCCACCTCATCAGGACCATGCACAGGCGTTGTAGGGAGGTCATACAGGCACGTGGAGGCCACACACACTAGTGAGCCTCATTCTGACTTGTTTTAAGGACATTACATCAAAGTTGGATCAGCCTGTAGTGTGTTTTTCCACTTTAATTTTAAGTTTGACTCCAAATCCAGACCTCCATGGGTTGAAAATTTTTATTTCCATTTTTTTATTTTTGTGTGATTTTGTTGTCAGCACATTCAACTATGTAAAGAACAAAGTATTTCAGAAGAATATTTAATTCATTCAGATCTAGGATGTGTTATTTTTGTGTTCCCTTTTTTATTTTGAGCAGTGTATAAAGGAAAATAATATACCATAAAGGAAATAATATAAGACAGAATGATAGGACGAATGGACAGACAGATGACAATGTGCAGGAGCACAGAACCCAATGACCTTCCTAGACTACAAGTTTAGATGTTCTTTGAGAAGGAACAAGATGATGATGAACAGCTAATAATGGCTTAAATTGTCACATTGGACACCACTCCTTCCCATTCCCATCATTTAATCTAAATCTTAATGGAGGAGGATTAAAAGTAAGTGTACAGTTTAGGTTTCAGGACAAGGCAGTATCTGGAATTTAATTATATAAAACAATGATAAAAAGGATATATTACACACACATGTAGACACAGAAGACAAATGAAGTGACATTGAACTTGGGATGCTGTTGGGTACGCACCATAGGTGTATAATGGAGTCCCTCGAGGTTCTCGTAGCAGCAGACAATGGAAGAAACCAATTAGAGCTCCCGAGGAGAGAGAACGCTCCGAGAGTGGGAGAGACCGCAGGTAAGAAAAGTCCACAGCTAGGGCATTCCGTGGAGGTGGAGAAACACAAGCATTTACCACATCCCACACCACGTGCCAAACTCCTACATCTGGGGAGATATGAACAGATTCTCAAATATTGGTTAGGGAAGGAAAGCTGCATCATGTCACAAACACCCCAACTTTATTCTTTCTTAAGATAAACAAATGATTTGCCGATTGTTTCAATGTGTGAGTTATTATGTATGATAAAAATCATACTGGGTTATTGAAAATGAATGAATAACCAAACAGGGAGACATCCCTCGCCTTTTGACCTATAACGCTACAGCAATGCTCACCCAATTACCGGAATAATGGAATCATGGAGCTTGACCACATGCATGATAACATCACAAGAAGGCTGTTCCTAATAAAAATTCTCAGACAAAGTTTGTCAGTTTTGTGAAATTTGTAGAAACATTCTGTTGGCTTTCATGGTGATTGCTCATTGTCCTGCTTTTCCCTCGGTAAATTTGGCCTTGGGTTTCCAAATGATGTCACCTGGTCTAGTGGCTCTGCTATGATCTGATTTCTTTATATATAGCGGTGCTTTAGCCATGGTCTTGCACAGTTTGTGAACATTACGTAAAAAAAATATATTCATATGAAACGTTGCTTCCTTACAGCAGGCCTGTGCTGTTTTACCATCGCTTGTGGAAAATTGGGCTCCCTAATAAAGGCCTATCTGTTAGTGGACCATCTCTACAGATCAAAAAAACTGTTGGGGTATGTCCACTTCTTATTTGATACACACAGATTCTTCATTAATGAAAAGGGTCCTCGTTATCGGTTTTACTTGTCCACATATGTTTTGTTAATGCTGAATTTGTGTCATACATGAATTGATAGGATCTGCAACATCAGCTGTGACAGCAATCCACTCTTTTATCATTATAGTCCCACGGTTACCACCACGACTAATTTATTGTTTTAGCTAGTGAGGTGATTGAATTCCAAGTGAAGTTAAACGCCAGTTCGGGGTGAATCTGAAGCAGCTGTATTTAGCTTGCGATTACTTCTCCATTGATAACATTAGAAATAAGTCAGTATCCATTATGTTTAATGTTTTATATAGAAACTTACTAATTCTCTCATTCAAGTTAAAGGGAAGACACTTCCCATATCATACAAAACCACAAACTGTACAAAAACATGTCTAATAGTGATGTCCCGAACGGTTCGCCACGGACTCATCATTGAGTAAACTTTGACCCTGTACCTCACAGTCAGCAGACACATTCCATCCAATCAGCAGCAGACCCTCCCTCCCAGACCCTCCCACCTCTTGGACAGCATCCATTTTGAAGCTGCATTTTTAGTGAGCTGTCCAGGATGTGAGAGGGTCTGGGAGGGAGGGTCTGCTGCTGATTGGCTGGAATGTGTCTGCTGACTGTGAGGTACAGGGTCAAAGTTTACTCAATGATGAGTCCGCGGCGAACCGTTCGTGGCGAACCGTTCGCGAACCGTTCGGGACATCACTAATGTCTAATCCAAACTACTGTGATAGTTATGACACACATTACACAAAAGAAAAAAATTACCCTTCTTTATTAATTGTTACAAACAAGACCCCCTCCAAATCCCGCACAAAAGCTTTATATTTAATAGGAACACATAGTGAAATAAACACACAGTAAAAGAAGCCGCAATCTCTGGCTGTTTGTTTTATGAAATTTGAATCCACTGTTTAAGAGTATAATTTGCAATAAAAATGTTGGTACAGGCAACAGTATCACACTATTGTTTGACGTGGTGGGTTGTACGGTTATCATGTTTTCATTTGGATTCACTATTTACAAGAAGAGGAGATTATTCTGTAGTAGTGATATATACACTTTCTCATTAATTGTTATGCGAGAGTAATATAGTATTCATTGTGGCACTTGAATAAATTAATTGTCCAATGTGTGTGATGTTTGCTTATTTTAGTATGTGTTCTTTTGCAGTTGAAACGTTGTGTATGGAGTCAAGTTCACGGGACATAGGTCAAACTCCCTGGAATATTTAGCGCTAGAGTATTATCTTTTTAATGCAGTTTGGTGTAATTTTAGTGTGATCTTTACAAAAGGCATTAAAAAATGGATAGTAAATCCAGGAATGTACTTTATAGAAACTTTATGATAGTCATGTCGGTTTTGTTTTTTTCCCCACTTGTTATTGGGATGGTCATTTCACATTTCCCTTTGTTAAATAGCCTGGGTGATTTATATTGCTTTTTGAAAACTAAAACATAGGAAGATACTTTCATCAAAGCCAGAATTGTGAAATCCATTGAGTCTGTTTTACATTAAAATAAACTAGTTTAGCTATAACATATTGTGAGGGGATCTCAGTTAGGCCCAAAATTTAGTAGGCTTAAATCTCAACATGGCATATACAAGTGCAGGTATCTGTTAGTTAGTTACACGTAATCAGGAAACTGTCGTCAATGTACTGAGCATTGAAACCACATTCCATTCTCTTCTAAGTTCCATGTTGCCTGTCCATATAAGGTAATCCTGTTTGCTGATTGGTGTAAGGGTGGGGGATGTATAGTCTATAAAAATGCCTGTACTCCATGTGCTCAGACATTTTGGACATGAGTTCAGCTGAGACCCGATCGGTGAAAATAAAGATCTTTGCTTCCTGAAATGACCTGCGTCCGGACTCTCTGTGCGTGGCTTCTTCACTGTTCTGCTATTACATTCCAGGTGCATTGACCGGGAAATCATCACCGAGACCGCCGAGACAGCACCTCTCCATGGCAACACCCCTGGACCGATACTGTGTGGACCTCCTTTTGTCTCAGCGCCTTGTCCAGGAGACCATCGGCTTCTGCACAGTGGGTATCGGGGTATCCCGTTGATAAATTCGGGGTGTCCCGTTGATGAAAGGTACACCCACTAGGGATAAAATCTGTTCTGGCCTTTCTCAATGGAAAGAAGGGGCTGATCACCTCTTTAGCGAAACGCTCTGTAGCTAGACCGTTTTGGCTATAGGGTCTGTTCTGATTTTGGAAACCTATTACTAATTGAACTTGGTATGAAATCTAGTTCAGTTATATTAGAATAGGGGCTGTATAGAATAGTTTAGAATAGGCTCAGAATAGGTTTATACTAGGGGCTGGTTTGGAAACGTACGACTAGATGGACATTGTGTAATAATTTTGTTCAGTTAGATTCTTGTTTCCAAAATTTTATCTAGCTGAAATTTGGTATAAAAAACTGTTCAGCTAGATCCTGTTTAGAATAGGGGCTGTTTAGACTAGGGTCTGTATATAATAGTTTAGAGTAGGGCCTGTTTAGAATAGGAGCTGGTTTAGAATAGGGACTGGTTTCCAAAGTTCTGGTCTGGATTAAATTCCGGTAACTGGAGTAGTTGAGCTTAAATGTCGTTCAACTAGATCGCTGATCCTGGAGTTAGTAGAAAAAGCTGAGCTCTGTGTGAATTTTGTACAGCTAGATCAAAGTTTCTGAAGATTATTGTTTGGCTGGAAAATGGCATATATATATTAATATATATTATTTAGCTAAACTCTGGCATATACATTTATATATATTGTTTAGCCAAATTATAATCCATTATATTATAGTCTTGATCCAGATTTAGTACTGCAAGTTCATACAGTTATAACTAGTAGGCCAGGGCTTTATGATCAGTTTCCGTATATTGATTGTTGAAAGCAAATAGTTGAAAAACAGCCTAAATGGATCAAGTTATGCCATGAGGAACACTGCCGCCTCATGGTTGCCAGAACTTGTTTGTCCACAAAGGCCTCAACTCCACCTATTTTGGACACTCCCCCTCAATCAGATCTTCCCTTACCTCCCCCTTATGCTTCCTTCCAAGCTAGAACCAGTGCAGCCGGTGGTTTCACTTCCGCTGCCCCATTGTCTCTGCCTACCCACATACCTACATCAGAAATCAGCCCTCTTGCCTTAAGCCCACCAATCTCTGCACCTACCCCCACTAGATCTTTGTATCCTGAATTGGCGCCCTTTTTAGTTACTGGACAGGCCCCTCCCAGCCTTGTCCTAGATATTCCATTAACTAATTTACCAACTGTTACATGATTGATTTGCCTTCCTCTGCCCATCTGACAACCCCCCAACCAGAACCTGTTAAAGCACAGTGCTCTACAAATGTAGTCCCCTTTTAACATGCATGACAACTAGTACCCTCCAACCCCGGCACCTACAAATGCCCCTCCGACTTACTACTGGCCCAACACATATTGATGGCAATGGCCAGTTGCAATTGGGAGACCCTGTATCTGTATACGTTCCCTTTACTACTACCGATTTGTTTAACTGGAAGACCCATAACCCTTCATATACCGACAAACAACAAGCTATGACTGATTTGGTTACATCAATCATTCAAACCCATAATCCTACATGGGCCGATTGCCAGCAGTTACTATTAACTCTATTCAGTTCCGCGGAAAGAACCCGTATTAATCAAGCAGCTCTTAAAGCTCTTGAAGAAACTGCCTGTACCCAAAACCAAGCATATCCGGCAGCATGGGCCGCTGCCCATATCCCTAATACGTATGCCAACTGGAACGTTAACTGTGCTGATATGACCCATTTGAAAGCATACCAGCAAGCCATTATTACGGGCTTGAAAGCGGGGAAAGGCCATTAACATGACAAGGTTGACGAATCCCCTAGCACCTTTTATGAGAGATTGCTTGAGTCATACAGACTCTATACCCCTTTTAATCCCGAAGCCCCTGAAAATGCATGAATGGTTAATTCTGCATTCGTCAGCCAGGCCCAAGGTGATATTAAGAGGAAATTACAAAAGTTAGATGGATTTGCAGGAATGTCTATATCACAGCTTATGGAAATTGCAAATAAGGTATATATGAATAGAGAAAGTTGAAACGAAGTGGGAAGAGAAGCGTAGGACGAAAAAGAAGTTAGATATGTTGGCGGTAGCCATCACAGGCATCGGCAGACAAGGAGAGGAAAGAGGAAAGATTATCTGAGGATGTCTTGAAGGGAACAACAGTAGGAATAGAGGAGACGTTCAGGATAGCAGATATTACCCTCAAACTCAGAGACCAAGAGATAGGGACTTTGTGGGTCTGGCTGACGCAGTTATGGACGACTATTGATACAGACCGGGCTCCATCCCCCTTGGCCGAGCGGAGCCTATGGTTGAAGTAACAATAGGGGAAAATAAAATTCCCTTCATGATTGATACGGGTGCTGAACATTCCGTTGTGACCAAATTAGTATCTCCTCCTTCCGGAAAGACTGTTACTGTAATAGGAGCTACTAGGAAAGAAGCAACCAGACTGGTTTTCAGGAATCGTACTTGTACACTAGGGGGCCATCTTGTTCAACATCAGTTCCTATATATGCCTAAGTGCCCAATTCAACTTCTTTTTTTTTTTTTTTTTTTTTTCAGACTTGTACCAGCCCTTCATACTTTATGTATGCTTTATCCAGTCCGTGGGCATTGGTACACTGTCATCATCAATATATACCCACTTATGCCCAATCCAACTTCTAGGACGAGATCTTCTGTCGAAGCTTCAAGCACAGATAACATTTTTACCTAATGGATCAACATCCCTAAGGTTTAATAAATCACCAGGCATGTTACCTGTACTGATGCCAAAAGAAGAAGAATGGTGTCTGTATTCTGCAATAGTAACCCTGAACCCAAAGAGTGATGGATCATTATTTGATATTTCAGGAGTATGGGCAGAAAACAATCCTCCAGGACTTGCTCATAATATTCCACCCATACATATTGAATTGAAACTTGGGGCTTGTCCTGTTAGCCTTTGCCAGTATCATATACCTCAGAAGGCCAAGGAAAACATACAGACATACTTGGACAGGTTTGTGAAGTATGGCATCCTGAAATTCTGAACCTCCCCCTGGAACACCCCATTATTACTTATTCAAAAGCTAGAGTCTAAAGAGTACCATCCTGTACAAGATTTAAGAGCAGTTAATGATGCAGTGGTCAACATACACCCAGTGGTACCCAATCCCTATAATCTGCTTGCCTTGATTCCTGGTGGCGCTACCCACTATTCAGTTTTGGATCTCAAAGATGCCTTCTTTTGCCTCCGAGTCTCTGCTGAAAGCCAGTGTATCTTTGCTTTCCAATGGGAAGATGCTATTACAGGATCAAAACGTCAGTTGACCTGGACTAGGTTGCCACAGGGTTTTAAAAATTCTCTATTTGGAATCCGCGTTAAGTCAGGATTTAAAAGATTTCCAATCCATCTCACGAAAATGTGTACTACTCCAGTATGTGGATGATCTCCTAATAGCTGCAATCACTAAGGAAATGTGCCAACAAGCGACTCATGATATTCTTCTTCATATCCTATGGAGGGCAGGATACAAGGTATCTAAAAAGAAGGCGCAACTGTAGCAGTCTACTGTCAAGTATTTAGGATTCCAAACTTCAGAGGGTCAAAGAACAATGGGACCTGAAAGAAAAGAAGCTGTATGCCGCATACCCACCCCGAAAAACACAAGACAAGTTAGAGAATTTCTGGAAGCAGCTGGACTCTGTTGAATATAGATTCCTAATTATGGGATATTAGTGAAACCACTTAATGGGGCTATAAAAGGTACAGAACATGATCCCTTCCTGTGGACTACAGAACAACAGAAGTTGTCTGAGGAAATCAAGAAAGCACTTATGAGTGCAGCAGCCCTTGGCTTACCAGATCACACCCGCCCTTTCTTTCTCTACGTACATGAGCAAAGGAAAATGGCTGTAGAAGTGTTAACACAATACTTGGGATCATGGCAACAACCTGTAGTGTACATGTCTAAACAGCTGGATGCGGTGGCTAGTGGCATCCCACCGTGTCTACGAGCAGTAGCGGACGTAGCTTTGCTGGTAACGTAAGCTGATACACTTACATTGGGTCAAGAACTTTATATCTGAGTTCCCCATGCAGTACAGACTCTATTGGATTACAAAGGCAACCATTGGTTTATTAATAGCAGAATGACCAAATACCAAGCTATGTCATGTGAAAATCCGAGAGTACATCTTGAGACTGTCAATAACCTTAACCCAGCTACCCTCTTGCCACAAGCCACTGAAATTAAACATGACTGTTTGAAAATACTGGATGATGTCTTCTCTAGTAGCACCAAGCTTCATGATTTCCCACTTCGGACATACAATATTATACGGGCGGTAGCAGTTTTGTTAGAGAAGGAATATGTTATGCAGGTTATGCAGTAACCACAGTTGACAAGGTGATAGAAGCACAACCATTGACAAAGGGAACATCAGCAGAGAAGGCGGAATTGATAGCGCTTACAAGGGCCCTGCAATTATCTGAGGGGCTGAGAGTGAATATTTATACCAACTCCAGATATGCCTTCCCAACAACTCATGTCCATAGAGCACTAAACAAGGAAAGAGGACTGCTAAATTCAGAGGGAAAAGAGATCAAGTATGCAGCTGAGATACTTCAGCGGTTGGAGGCAGTATGACAACACAAAGAAATAAGTATTATACTTTGTAGAGACCATTTGAGAGGTGACAGTGATATAGTACGAGGCAATCGTATGGCAGACAGTGCTGCAAAACAAGCTGCAGAATCAAGACAGGAAAGTGAAAACGTGAGCCATGCTATTGCGCTTATACCAGCACCTTTGTCCCAATGGACTCCAGTATATGGATCTCAGGAGAAAGAGTGGTTAAAAACTGAATATGGAAAATACTTGGAGAATAATTGGTAGCTGTAGAAATTGTTCAGAACTTCCACAGCGGTACACACTCGGGAAGAGACAATATGGAAGATTCTCTTAGCAGACATTTCTATATACCAGGATTATCAAACCTCACTCAAGCCATCGCCAGATGTTTTGTACAGTGCGCCCGCAATAATGCAAGACAAGGTCCTTCTAAGCCTCCCGGAGTTCAGTATATGGGAGGACTCCCCATGTCAGATTTCCAAGTAGACTTCACAGTTATGCCAAAATCTGGAAGATATCGTTACCTGCTGGTAGCAGTATGTACCTACTCTGGATGGGTTGAGGACTGTCCAGCCCATACAGAAAAAGCTGGAGAAGTTGTGCATTTTCTCCTACGAGAAGTTATTCCTAGATTTGGACTTCCGTGTTCCATAGGGTCTGGGGTAGGGGTAGGGTTAGGGAATTGCCGAAGTCTCGAATTTCCGAAGTCCCGAAGTGCCGAACCGAACTGAAGTGCTGAATTGCTGATGTCCCGGTAGTGGAAAACCGTGGAATATATGTGTTAAGTGGGAGCGAACATATGGGTTTAATGATAAAGAACCACTGACCCGCATTGTCCAAATAGGGCTTTTAACTTCTGCCCATATTGGTCATGTGTAGTTTGGGCAACCTGGGGAAAAACAGTACACCAAGACCTGATAATTCAAAGAATACCTACTACCCCTCATTTTAAATCAATGGAGTGTACAGGAACAGACCCGGGAGCCATCCTATATATAGGCCTTGAAACGGAGACCCTAAATGCTCAAACTCATCAGGTATTCCATTCCTTTTATGAGGAATGAGTAGTGAAGATGAAGGCCCACATACTGTAAAAAACCTGTTCATTCATCTGGCTGAGAGTATTGCAAGTAGTCTGAATATAACTAACTGCTTTGTTTGTGGAGGCACAATATCGGAGATCAATGGCCATGGGAAGTGAGAGAAGTATGGTATCCTGGTTTTGAGACAAATGAGCAACAGATGCCTTATCACTCTAGTAATCAAACAATCATACGGGAAAAGTCAGAATGCCAATTAAAGACATCCATAATTGGCCACATATGTTTAGCTAGGGCAGGCCCAATGTATAACACACCTGTAGGCTAGTTGACCTGTCTATATCAGAAAACATATAATGCGAATAGTCAAAATACTACCTGGTGGTCGGCTTCAAATGCCTCAGAACCTACTAATCCCTTTGCTAACTACACAAATTTAAGAGAGGTATGGTTTGACCTATCGGCTATTTCTAACTGGAGAGCCACAGCTAATTTATATTGGATTTGTGGTAAGAAGGCCTATTTGGAATTACCACAAGACTGAGCAGGGGCATGTGTGCTAGGTATGCTCAAAACATCTTTCTTTTTGTTGCCAATTCAAACAAGAGAGACTTTAGGAGTCAAGGTGTATGATACAATTCATAAGAGAAAACGAGCATCATTACATATAGGTAACTGGAAAGATGATGAATGGCCACCCCAGTGAATTATTAATTATTATGGACCTGTTACCTGGGCTAAAGATGGTACTTATGATTATCGAACCCCCATATACATGCTCAAATCGTATAATAAGATTACAAGCGGTGGTTGAGATCGTAACCAATGAGACAGCTGAAGCACTTAACCTCCTGGAAAAACAAAATACCCGTATGAGGTCGGCCATTTATCAAAATAGCTTGGCCCTTGATTATTTACTAGCAGTAGAAGGAGGTGTGTGCGGAAAGTTTAACTTAAGTCATTGTTTTCTACAGATAGACATCAAAGGACAAGCTGTGATTGATCTTACTAGTCACATGGTTAAATTGATCCACGTACCTACTCAGATCTGGAACGGGTATAATAAATGTAGTTGGTTCGGAAGCTGGTATGAACAGTTTGGAGGGTTAAAGGCACTGGTAGGAGGAATGGTAGTTATCATTATCTTATGTCTCTTACTATGCTGCTTGATTCCTTTAATAATACGGTCTTAATGTAGTGTTATCGAGAATACTATTAAGAGGAAGTGTAATGGCCATCTGGAGATATGAACCTCTATCCCAGAGAGACGTAACCTGTAATCAGGTAGTTGAGCTTTGATAAGTTTACACAGGAACTTCTAGGATTAAGGTTAAAACGCTTCTATAGTTTCTCCTGTTCTGTTCTATAATTACCTGACTGATATTGGCAAAATATGGTAAGTAATGCATCTGGAGTATGTAGTTTCAGAAGCATCAAAGGGGGGAATGTGAGGGGATCTCAAGTTAGGCCCAAAATTTAGTAGGCCTAAAATCTCCACATGGCATATACAAGCACATGTATCTGTTAATTAGTTACACGTAGTCAGGAAACTGTCGTCAATGTACTGAGCATGTTCAAGAACTGAAACCACATTCCATACTAAGTTCCATGCTGCCTGTCCACATAAGGTAATCCTGTTTGCTGATTAGTGTAAGGGTACAGATGGAGCATGTATAGTCTATTAAAAGCCTGTACTCCATGTGATCGGGGCTCAGACATTTTGGACATAAGTTCAGCTGAGACCCGATCGGTGAAAATAAAGATCTTTGCTTCCTGAACTGACCTGCGTCTAGACTATCTGTGTGTGGCTTCTTCAGAGTTCTGCTATTACAATCATAATCTAATTTAGATAAGTCAAAGCCAGGGCAAACATTTCGACATTGTTTCACTATTCACGTCTTACTCATACTATCAGGGATTAAAAGAATGGGAACTCTACAGAGGTGAAGTTTAGGGGGGGTTGGATTCCGATTTGAGGGGGTCTTGGACCACCGGTCGGCAGTGTCCCCATTATTTTGGGGCATAGCTCCTTTTTTTTTTTTACAATCTTTCTTTTATTGAGGCATTTGTGTCACATAACAGGAAAAAGACAAAGCCGTTATGACGTACTCATCAGGAATATCAGAACAAATTAAATTCTATTTAAGTCTTCCTCATTTTTAAAAATAACATAACAGAGAAAGTCAGGCAAGGCAAGCATGTCTAAATGTGTGGCAGACATTCATAATTAAAAAGATACTAGACATGGCGAGTATTATGGTAATATAAACATGCTGGGTCAGTGATACGTACACGAGGGTGGCCTAATTAGATCAGAACACCAGCATAGATAACAGATGGCAGGTTTGCATGAGAGATAAAACTATGGCAAACTAGTCTGTGATGGGAGAACCTTATTAAACATGAGCAGTTAACTATGGTATGCTAGTGTTCATGCTGTGAAATGTCATTCATCTAACAATACTGTTTCTAAGAATGAGAAAAATAAGCTAAACAAAAAATGAAATTATACCACACTGGTGTTCCTATACAACATGTGACTACAGGGTAGGCATGTAACCTAGACAAACCGAGGCGAACAAGAGGGTGCTAAGGAGAGGGCCCAGTGTGAACTACAGCCTTCACTATATGCACTGTCTGATCACCCGATACCCGTGCTTTTTCCTCCAGCCCCCACAGCCTGATATAGACCCAATGAGACAGAGCCGTCCACAGGCTTTAAGACGAGACCATGAGCAGTACCCACTGATCTGGTTGCTCTTGGCACTGAAAACAATGAGGAGTGAGGTGAAGCTCGGCATCGTGTATATTCACTCAGAAGGTGTGGGGTCAGCCCCCTTCATGGCCTTCATCTTGGTAGTGAGGTTGCGAGCGATGGCCACCTTGGTATCTTGGCGATCGATGGAAAGTCGGAATATTCCATTCCATTTTTGCAGGCTTGAAGTTGTAGATACCTTCTGCTGAGACAGACCCAAATTGATGCGTCGGCGGACAGAAGTTGAGTCATGAGGCGGGCATTCACTCTGCCTCTTCTCTTCATGCCAGCTTTTTCTGCTGCCCAATCTAAGCCACAAATCTGCAGCGATCTGGTGTAACCCTTGCGTCTTGTGTTGGTAGTCATTTTTGGCGCGTCCGCCATCTTGTCCAATGCTGCAAGGCAGGTCGCGCGTAGTCAAAACGCTTGCAGGATCACAGGCCCTCCCGCAGTTATGTGCCAGTAGCCAGAGAGCTGTTGGCGGGATAACCCTATATCTATAGTTGAGGACCTGCGTGTTCCTTTCTCATACCTACTGCTTTGTTGCAAAATAAAAATCTAATTCACAAAAAAATATATATATATAAAAAAAGAATGGGAACTATTCCTTTACTAATTGATCGAAACTTTTACAGATTTCATCAAAATATGCTGTGTCTTTGTTTGACATGTATGTGGAACATCTATCAATGTTATTTGTTTGAAATGTATCCGTAGAACAGTTTTGGTTGTTGGTAATTAATTTCAAAATTACTTATTTTGAGATTTTCTTTGGTCTCTTGTAACAGAGGGACATTGTTACTACTCGGGATAAGACAAGCTCACCTTTTGTGTCCCAGTCAGAGGTGGACTGAAGTGTGAGGGGGCTATCCTTCAGGTTCACATCATCTTGCTCTGGTCTGATCAGACGCTGGTGATTGGACCTCACCCAGACATAAGGGCGTCCATACTTGGCGTAAGCGGCCAGGAGAAAAAGAGTACAATGTGTTTCCTAGGTAACAGAAGAGGGAAAGTAAAACAAACAGATGGGGCCTGGAGGGCATGTCAGCCATAAAAACGATATAATCTGAGTAATACCGGGATAGCAATTTCTCTATCACAAGGAGAGGCAGGAGGGAGGAGTGCAGGTCCCCTAAGTAAAGAAAAAGGGCAGTTAGAAGACTCAGATCAGATTGTCATCTACTGAAACCTTTTGTAAATATATAAGAATTGCGCAGGTACCTGCTTGCAACTGGCTCGTAGCTGGATATAGAAATGTGACAACTGGAGTCACTGCTGAGAGAGGCGGGTGACCGCAAGGATGGACAGGTCTAAAAGACAGACACATGGACAACTCCTGAGACAGAAGACAGACTGTGATGGGAGACACTAAAGAAAAAGAATGACAGTTCATTGATCGAGGGGAAGATCTTGACTGGATATAAAAGATTTAAACTCAAAGTGAATGAAAGCAGAATGGGTACAGAGAAAATGAAGCCCAAGCTGTATCGAAGTCATTTCACAGTCCTTACCAGATCGTCATTAATCACAGTCAGCAGTATCTCCTCCCTCCCTCTTAGCCAAGGCTGAAAGTATCGGAACCCCTGAAAGACAACAGTTAGTCACCGTCTTAGCAGATGTTCATGTCTTAATGGTAACTACAGACAGTAATGGATGGAAAACGAAATATTTCATTCCTCATGCACCCTACGTACTCATTTTATTTACTTTTTAAACGTAAATTAGCATGTTTTATTATCGAAAATAGGAGTGGCCATCTTTAAAGGAGCACAGGCATCATTTTTTATTTTAATATAATCTTTATATTATAATATGTAATGTCATTTTTGAATTCGGCTATAGTGAAACTTTTGAAAAACAATCATTTGACTACCGTTCCCACTCCCTCTTTCTGACAGCCATCTTTTTACACCTTCAGTCACTTATTGGACCCCATTGCTTTTCAAAATCACCTGCCAAATAATGCTGCAGGCAGAAAAACTATGATTTTGAAAAGCAATAGATGCTTGCAAAATAGTGGGCTTTGGGTCATATACTTGACAATCTGACCAAAGGTGCATATAGACGGAAAAAGAGACAGCCAGGAAAGAGACTTCTTCATAAATTTAAATCAGATATTAAAATTTTTTGATGACTTAGTTCTCTTTGGTGGGAAATATTTTTTATCTGACTCAAAATCCCATTGGCTCACACCCAAACTAATTGATTCATTCAGGATTTAGTTGTGGAGTCTTATTCATTAATTATGACAGCCCAGCTAAATCCTGGAGGAACTGATTGGTTCTCATGTGAATTAAAAGGATTTAGATTCGGACGGATCAGTCTAAACTAAGTAAAATACTCAGATACCACACTGTATGCTTAAACAAGGGATATTGAACAAGGGTAACCAAAACACTGAATTAAGTACAAAAACAAAAGAGAGACTAGTACATTTTGGATGGCCCACCACTCTGGTAAGTAGGAAGTATAATCTCTCTCTTAAAATGCAGATGAACAGCGCACATTGTGAATCTGCTTTCCAGATCTTGTATAGTATCATCATCAGTTCATAAGTAGGAATCCGCACTATGATGCCAAAAAAAACTCTGTCCAGAAGTAATTAATCTTACTTGTAATGAGCCCAGGAGGGCCAGGTCACAGAGAAACTCGTCCAATCTCTGCTTGTCTTCATCCTGCATGAGAAATTAATAACCAACATTTTATGACATATTCTATGATGTGTTGGACATCAGACCATTACATTCAACGCGTTTTAGCGGTATCAGTTAGTAACAATAAATGATGATTAGGGCGATTTAAGTTTTAATTTAGCAAAGAGCATGTTAGCAAGTAACACCAAAACATTTATAAATTTCACCAGTATTAAATCGCCACCACCAGCACAACTATGTGCGAGATCTGCTATTTCAGATCATCGTGACGCCTGTAGTTACCAAACTTCCTCATACGGCAGTTCTTCTATTTATATTATAATACTGTAATATTGTGAACTGTGTCTTTGAAACAAGACAAAAAACAAAGTGGTGTCGCCATGGCAACATGCTTATTAATAAACCAACTCTATATAATCTTTGGCCACCAGACATACCGTATTCAGAGTTCCACTAGTGGTCCAAAAAGATATGATTGATGGCTAGGGGATAGACACTAATGATGATGGATGCATGTCTCTTTTCATGTTACTATTTATATATAGGGAAGCAAAAACCAAAATGTTATGGAGGGGAAAAATTTGTGATTGAAAATCCTTTCCACCTGAAGTCTGTGGACAGGGCTGGCGCACCGGCCCAGGGGGGCGCTAGATTGGAATGACCGGCAGGAGGTGGGCGCACGGCGCTCCCTTCTACCAGGCACTCAGTGTAGCGTGGCCGAGCGGAGCAGTGCGCACCGCGGTACAGGAACTTATGTTTCCTGTACCCGGCCTGACTGAAAGGAAGTGAGAGAGTATTTCCTGTCAGTCCAGCCAGGTACAGGAAACTGAAGCTCCTGTACCGTGGTCTGCTACGCTCGGCCACGCTACAAGAAAGGTAGAACACACACTGGGGAAAAAGGGGGGAGATAGAGGGGCACTAAGGGGGTGGGGGGGGAAGAACAGCTATGGGAGGAGGGAAGGAAAACTATGGGATGCGGGGAGGAACACTATGGGAGGAGGGGGAAGAACACTATGGGACGAGGGAGGGGAGAAAGAATGCTATGGGACAGGGGAGGGGGGAAGGATGCTATGGGACAGGGGAGGGGGGAAGGATGCTATGGGACAGGGGAGAACACTAAAAAAGAGGGATGTTAAGGAACACTAAGATGGGGGGTGGTAGGAACATTAATGGGGATGGGGGGCACTAAGACAGGTAAGGGGGAGGGAAGAGGAACACAAAGGGACAGAGGAGGGAGGGGAGAGGAACACTAAGGGGTGGGGAGGGGAGAAGACCACAAATTGACATGGAGGGGTGGAGAGAGGAACACTGGGGGACATAGGAGAGTGGCACAGCACACAGGTGGGCCTGAGTGGGGAGAAAGACAAACAGATGGGCATGGGGTTGAGAAAGTCCACAGATGGGCCTATGAGTGAAAATACAAAGGGGCTGGGGTGAAAGAGATACAGAGGGGCTGGGGGAGATAGACGAGCTGGTGGTGAAAGAGAAACACACAAAGGAGCTGGTAAGAGTAAAAGACACAAAGGGTCTGGGAGTGTAGGAGAGACAGAGGCTGGGGGAGTAAGAAAAACAAAGTGGGTAGTAAGATACACAAGACACACAATGGGGAAAAAATAGGGGATAAGACACTAAAGGGGGTAAGACATTAAAAAAGGGGAAAAGAAACAAAAGGCGGGTTAAGAGGGACACGGGTGAAGGTGCTTTTGGGGGATGGAGACTCCAAAATTACTTCACCTGTGTACCCAAAAATCCTTGCACCGGCCCTGTCTGTGGATAGTTAATACAATGTTAAAGTAACACTATAGTGCCAGGAAAACTAACCCGTTTTCCTGGCACTATAGGGTTATTAGGTCTCACCCACCCTCAGAGCCCCCCTCCTGCTGGGCTGAAGGGCTTAAAACCCCTTTAGCCACTTACCTTAATCCAGCGCCGGGCTCCCTCGGCACTGTTGAACTCTCCTCCCCCGCCGACGTCAGTTCCAGAGTGGAGCCGAATGCGCATGCGCGGCAAGAGCCGTGCGTGCATTCAAACCGCCCATAGGAAAGCATTACTTAATGCTTTCCTATGGACGTCCAACGTGAGTTCAATTCGATTTTCACACTGAGAATCGCGCAAGCGGCTTCTAGTGGCTGTCAGGGAGACAGCCACTAGAGGTTGGATTAACCCTGCAAAGTAAAGATAGCAGTTTTCTCTGAAACTGCTATGTTTACAGCTGCAGGGTTAAAACTAGGGCGACCTGGCACTCATACCACTTCAATGAGCAGAATTGGTCTGGGTGCCTAAATTGGTCCTTTAAACTAAAATCTGCACACCAGTCAAGCCGTAAGACTTGCTTTTCCCACAGACATCACAAATCCGCAGCGATGTTACAACCGCAAAGGATTCTGGGTGGGCATATGCAAATTAGTTTATCAAAGAATCACATTTTTGCCTCATTCCATTTTAAACATGGATTCCTTTGAGTCTGTGTTTGCAGTATACAAATGCTTGGAACACAATTTAGGAAAAGATGCAAAGCCAGTGAACCACTCATGGACAGCTGTTTCGTTGTTAATGCAAATCATCAGCATGAGGTTGGTTACTGGTTTGATTTCTATGGGAAAGGGAAGTCTTAAAGGACCACTCTAGGCACCCAGACCACTTCAGCTTAATGAAGTGGCCTGGGTGCCAGGTCCAGCTAGGGTTAACCCATTTTTTTATAAACATAGCAGTTTCAGAGAAACTGCTATGTTTATGAACGGGTTAAGCCTTCCTCCAAAGCCTCTAGTGGCTGTCTCATTGACAGCCGCTAGAGGCGCTTGCGTGATTCTCACTGTGAAAATCACAGTGAGAGCACGCAAACGTTCATAGGAAAGCATTGTAAATGCTTTCCTATGCGACCGGCTGAATGCGCACATAGGTCTTGCCGCGCGTGCGCATTCAGCCGAATGGGCGGAGAGGAGGAGGATCGGAAGAGGAGAGCTCCCTGCCCAGCGCTCGAAAAAGCTAAGTTTTAACCCCTTTTCAGAGCCGGGCGAGAGGGGGTCCCTGAGGGTGGGGGCACCCTCAGGGCACTATAGTGGTCCTTTAAGGCTTGACTGGTGTGCAGATTTTTGTTTAACTTGACTGTATATATTTAATTAACCCAATCTCCAATCACTTGCACTATAGTTTGTATAATATTACCAGCCCGGTGCTGTCTGCATGGATCTACAACAACTTGTGCAAAAAATAAAAAATAGCGCTCCAGGAACTTCAAAGTATTACAAAAAACAACCTAAATTTTATTCATTGCTTGCCAGTAAAAGATGAACTTTTCAGTTCTAAACCCAACTTTCTTCACATACACTTTATGGCCAAAATGATTTGGACATCCCTCTTAATTATTAGATTCAGGTGTTGCAATCAGTCCCATTGCCACAAGTATAGGACATCAAGCACCTTACCATGCAGTCTGCATTTACAATTCAAGTTTGGTACTGTGAGAGGATGCCACCTGCAATAAGATCATGAAGTTCATCCCTGCTAGATGTTCCACAGTGAGCTGTAAGTGGTATTAATGGAGAATGGAAGCGTTTAGTAGCAGCCCCAAAGCGGAAGATCACATAAAGTCACATAACAGGGTCACCGAGCGCTGAGGGGGCACCGAGCTGAGGGGCATGGTTCCATAGCTGAAGAGTTCCAAATTTCCATTGGCATTAATACCAGCAGCAATGGATGCGGGGAGGAACACTATGGGAGGAGGTTGCAATTGCATGCAAGCCTTGCATCGCCAAGAGTTGGATCGAGTGGTGTAAAGCACACCGCCACTGGACTATGGAGCAGTGGAAACATATTCTGTAGAGTGACTTATCATATGTCTGTGCTTGGGCAGTCTGAGTTTGTCAGGTTCCAATCTGACTGTATTATGCCAACTGTAAAGCTTGGTGGAAGAGGGATAATGGCAATGAGCTGGTTGTCAGGTATTGATCTAGTCCCATTACTTCCAGTGAATGGAAATCTTAATGCTTCAGCATATCAAGACATTTTGGACAAATCTATGCTTCCAACTTTGTGGGAACAGTTTGGGGAAGGCCCTTTTCTATTCCAGTATGACTGTGCCCCAGTCCACAAAGCAAGGTCCATAAAGACATGGTTGGATGAGTTTGGTGGGAAGAACTTGACTGGCCCATTGAGAGCCCTGACATCAATCCCATCGAACACCTTTGGGATGAACTGGAAGGGAAATTGTGAGCCAGGACTTTTCACCCAACATCAGTGCATGACTTCACAAATGCTCTTCAGGATAAATGAGCAAACATTCCCATAGAGACACTCCAAAATCTTGTGAAAAGCGTTCAGAGAAGAGTTAAAGCTGTTACAGCTGCAAATGAAGGACCAACTACATATTAATGTCTATGTATTTAGAATGCAATGTCATTAAAGTCCCTGTTGGTTTAATGGTACTTTTGTCCATATAGTGTATAAACTTTAACCCCTTAGTGACCGTGGACTTGCAGGGTATGTCCGACAAAAAAACGGTTCTTAAGGAACAGTTACGCACCCTGCCCGTGCAAGGCTAATTAGAGCGCTGGAAGCGATCATGATTGCTTCCAGATGCTCTAACGGTATTGCAGTGATACCGTGATGTTGAGGCATCCTGCAATAACCCCCCTCACTGCCGGGCCCCCGAGTGATCGCTCCCCTGGAGCAATCATTCCCGGGTTTCCCCACGTGGAGCCTGGCAGTATAGTGCACAGCATCGGAAGTCATCAGGCAGGTTTCTAATGCTCTGCCTGTATGCTGAGTGCTTCAAGGGGTCGAGCCACTCAGTTAAATTTAAAATACAATTTTTTTAAAATGAAATAAAAATGTAACCCCTACCCTCCTTCCCCAGCCGACGATCGGTCTTCTGCTTCACTGGGGGGGACTGTCTGACAGCCCAGACAGTCTCCCCTCTGCAAATTAGGACCCAGAGGGGCCATGGGTCACCTGGCCGCAAAAGGTGTCCACAGTGCTGCCAGCAGGGGGACTACCTGAACTGACAGGCAGTCCCCCTGCTGGTGAAAAAAGTAAAAAAAAAAAAGTTAAGAAATAAAGTTAATAAATAAAATTAAAATATATATATGAGATATATATCATATAAAAGTCATACTTAGTATTTTTTTATTAATATATACATATATTAATATAAAAATACACTTAGCATAAAATTACACACACACACACGTATATATATATATATAATATATATGTTAACAATGAAGTAGAAGGATGACCAGCACTCACGCTTTTTTCAAAAGTTAAAAATTATAAACTTGAATACAATTCCATATTAAAATTGGACCGACGTTTCAGTCCACATTTGGGACTTTCATCCCAAACCTTATTTTTCTACTCTGATGGGGCTGGTAACCCCAATTGTAAAAAAAACTAGTGTTAAAGGGAAACTAAAGACACCCAGAGCACTTCAGCTCATTGTGTGATTAAGAGCTGCCTCTAGTGGCTGTCAACCACTAGAGGTAGTTTCTGCTGGTTAAGCAACTTTTGGTCACCTGACAAAGTCCTCACGCTCTGCATGAAGGCATCCAGCATCCGTGAAATCCTCATAGGAAAGCATTGACTCCGTGCTTTCCTATGGGGTGGGCCCAACATGTTCATCACACATACACATTAAACTCTCCCCCTCAAAGGAGAGATCGGCACTGGAATCGGATTCTGTTAACCGGGTTTACCTTTGCAATGCAGTTATGGGATATAGTGTAAAGTATACACTTTTTAAAGGAATTAAAAGTATTTTGTAGAGTAAGGAATACAGGATTAATTTAATGGAACATTACACACAGTTTTAAAACCTCACTTCGTTTTTAATACAGACCTAAAATTCATTTTGGTCACCCAAAACTTCCTCCGTTCACTATCAAATGGAACGACCACATTTCCCCACCCATAACAGAGAGAGAGTGGTACAAATTGTTCTTTAGAACCTTTCATGCAAACTAGCATTCCACTGGTGGAAGCCAACTATAAATTACTGGCACATAACAGTAGACATCAATCTATATGTACCGACTGAACCAGTGATTTGTTGGCGTTGCAAACAGGTAAGAGGGGACCTCCAACATATCTGGTGGTCGTGCACACAAATACAACAGTTCTGGAGGAACATTGTTTCTATGATCCAGGAGGTCATGGGAATGAAACTATATCTAGACATACCTTACTTTTCCATAAGATAGATATTTCCCACAAATACAAAACCTCGATAATCTATTTTATCCTTACAGCAGCTAAACTTGTTATTACTTATGGAGATCCACTTCACCACCTGCTTCGAGACTCCTGATGAACAAAGTAGAACACTTCCACACATTGGAAGAACCAAATGGTCTTCAATGAGTAAACACACCAGATACAAGGCTATATGACAACGTTCCCAACTAACCATGGATGGGCCTTGATCCATACCCAGCAGGTCTCATGCTCACTAGGTACGAACCTACACGTGACCTTCCTATGGCCAGTTCAACTGACCCATGACTATCAGTTACACTAGGCAATCACTTTTTTTCTGTTAACTGGTTTATTAATCAATTTTAGTATATCCACATCACAAATACGGATAAGGTTTGTTAAAATGTTGCCCTGATATGGAACAGACCCATGTATGGTATTCTTGTATATGCAATTTATTTTTAGGTCCATGAATGTCACCAATTGTGAACTTTACAATTATGCATATTAACAGTGTGAAGTCATCGGTAACAACTGCATTGATGTTTTATGTACATGTGAATATTTGTAGGATTGACTATTAATTTAATAGTGTTACTAATGGTTTGTTTGAACAATTGAAAATAAAATCTCAACTCAGAATTAGCATGGTGTAAAAAAAAAAAAAAAAAAACCCAGTTACATAGCCATTAGTTTATGCAATATTGTAGCTTTTTGCATTGCAATATGATCATGCATGTTTCCCCTGCCCCTTTTGGTTCATTCAGATTTTACAGACTGGTGTACCTACTGTAGCAAATTTGAATAAACCCTTTAGCATCACTGGATTATCTCCAGGGCTGGGGAGAGGGAAACAAACCCACCCACAACCTGAATGTGTAAGACTCACTCTCGCACTTATCATTGTGGTGCAGTCACAGTGCAGAGATCGCCAGGTTATGCAGTGCTGGTCCTCTCACCCAGTGGCAGTCTCTCAGGATGCTGTACATCTGTTCATTTATGGTTCATGTCCTGTCCATCTCTGCACTGATTCCCTGTGTGCTGCACTCATACATTCCCCTCTCCCACTCCTCCTGCTGTACCTCCTGTCTCCTCCCTCCTGTGTTACAGAGCTTGTTAATGAGGCAAGCCAATGCATTACGTAGTGTCAAGCCATGCGTAGTGTGACCTAAAGGCCTATTCTAGATGATCTAGGGTAGGCAGCCATCAGCACTCCAGATGTAGAGTGCATCCCCATAAGGCTGGCAAAGCATCATGGGAGGTGTAGTCCAAGACAGCTGCAGTCTTGAAGGTTGCCTATACCTGATCTAGATCATGCCGAGGAATTTATCTTCTATGTTATAAATGACTTTATAATACAGGTTTTTCAATAATGCTAGCCGTTTAGTAATAAGCACAATTGATGTAGAGAAGGTATGTCAGAACATGAGACAATTTCTTTCTAGCCACAGAGTGTTCCATGATGGTCAGGTGCAGTGTATTTGCATGTACCATACATCACCCAGTCTGATACTAAAGGTAGGATTTAAAAAGTTGGAGGATTGCACTGCTCCCCTGCCTATTTAAATAGGACCCCTGGAATCTTTGCCAACATCAGGTCTGCCATTTCAGTATTTGAAGTCTGTACAAGTGACTGAAGTGTCCCTCTTTGCTTTATGTATCTTTAGTGATAAGCACAGCACACAGCTGACCCGACATTGGACACCTGTCAAGGAACTAATAAGCCAACTCTAAAATAGGAAGCTGGTAGACAAGCAAACACTGTTCATGTGTACTACACTTTGCCCACTAGTGGCCCAGTGCCTAACGTTCACCATAACTCACTGCCCATGCCCATTAGAGGTAAGTACTCTGTCTGCCAAGTTTCATACAGGGGTAACTTCTGTTCTGGTGTTTTAGGTCCGTTGACTAGTTTGACGATTTAAAATAGTCCTTATCTGCCATTTTGATTTCTCATTGGGTCACTGTTCTCCTGTATAGGGATTTGGCAACGGTCCATTCCTGCCTTGTGATTTCCATTCTTTAAGACTAAAAGAACATCTGTGGGTCACTGCTTGTGTGTGGAAGTTATCTGCCTTATGTTAGACAATATTTACATGTATATGAATTCACACATTTAGTTAGAAATATTTTTTTATTTTTTAGCATACAAAAATCCGAGCAGCTACTGAGACTGCTGCAATAGTGAACACAACAAATACCGCAAGTCCTACAGACAAGATCCAGACCCACGATGACCAAGTCTTCTCACCTAGGACAGAAGAGTGACGTAGTCAGGAATTACTCCTACTTCGGAGGCATCTCAAAAGTCAGCCACATACTCACCAACATGCAGGTACTGGACACCATTATCTTTTACAATGGTGATTGGTCCGACTGAGATAGGATATGGTCCAGCTGGTGGCACAGATCGTTTCTCTGAAAGGTAAATTGGTAGTTAGATATCTAAACGGAAACTTGGCATGAATTTGCCTGTCGAGTGATCGGTCTACAATGATTGTCAGTCTAGACTCAGACCAGCTACTGGACCTCTGGATGAAGTGCAGTTAGAAGGGGGGAGGGCTTTCAGGGGAATAAACCCACAGTGCAACATTGATAGCTAGAGCAGATGTACTGGAAGGGGATGATTTGCTTTTAAGTTTGGCATTTTATAATTAGAGTAGCTGGCATTTAATTCTTGATGCATTTTAATGTTAGGCATCCCAGGAACACACAGTAGGTACAAATCCAGACTGCTCAGCAGATTAAGGCACATTCACCTGTCTCTTGGTCTGGCCTCTTTGTGTTTTGGCAGCTCACAGCCTCATGCAGTGCTAACTGGCAATGAACATAGATCTACAACAAGAAAAGTTGTATTAGAGAAGAAAAAAAATGCACAAAAAAACCAGAGGTACATTCTGCATTAATAGAAAGTCAAATTCTATTCACCTGGCTGATTGGGTCTTCCATTTTCACCCAGAAACGTGGGGGAGAGTCTGGTGACAGATTAATGGTGGTTGAATTTATACCGTCTTTGGCACACCTAGAGACAACAGTGTAAAAAAAATATCACCTCTATGAAAATCCGAATCCCACCATACTTTGAGTTTCGTTAATGTGGCAAACCTAGTCACTTTGACTAAACAGAGACAATGTTTTAAGGGTTGCCCGTATATTTCCTGCAATTGTATATGTGCCTGGTTGTAATCTGCTGTATCCTGTATGTTGTATTGCCTGTATTAGCTATCTGCCAAAAGAGGATAGCTGTATTCTATTTTGTTTCACGAACAGCGCCTTTGCAGGCTCCAGGCTCTTCAGTATTTTACTCCCTGTATACCAAATCGTTATTTTAAGTGTGTGTTACGAAGAATATGTTTTTCATGCGGCGTTTGGTTGTTTTAGCTGGGATCTGGGCGGTAATCTCACGAACTCTGCTCAGACCCCAGCTATTTACCGAATGTCCATTTGTGTAAAATCAACCAAGTATTGAGAAAGATATATATTTTAAAGTAAATTGCGGGTTCTGCTGCACGGAGGGATAATCCACTTAACGGTACATTCCAGTGGGAGTGTCCCTCTCGTGCAGCAGAGCCTGATGGAAGAAATGCCCAGAATGTGAAGTCCCCCATGTAGTCCTCTACTGTGTTACCCCTGCTATGGCAGTATGGAAACCCCTTGCATGGGGACTTGCATAAATACTGGAGCTGCAAATAAAGACCTCAGTTGACTCCCAGAACTGTGTTTCGTTAGGTTACTGGCGGATTTGGGATGTTGCATTACTTTTCAGCACTTTACTGTGGATTACCGTATGTACCAGCGGAATTCGTGGGATTTAATATTGCCGATCTGCTACAGTTAACTAATGGAAGTAAAGTAAAAAAAAAAAAATTACTGTTGGCCTTTAAAAATGTTGACAGCACAATGTCTCTTCAGCTGCCAAGTTATTGAATATCAAAAGCTTGCCAGCAGAATGCTGATTGTACATTTGTCTAGTTCCTTCACATCCGGAGTACTCCACAATTGCATTCTATAACACAGCTGGCTAGAGTAGTTTACAGCCAAGTAGCACCAGCTTGCCAATTGCGTAACTGGTAGACATGTTCACCAATTTTACATTGCTGGTGGGGAAATGCAACTTCCACTTTAAGATGTTTAGTGAATGTGCAGGTCACAGGGACCTCAGACATTTTCACACAGATGCCAGAGACCATGGCACCCACAAGCCCCGTCAATATCTGAAGGTCACAGTAGATAAAACAAATGGCAGCTCCCACTCTTCTAGAAAAATCTTAGGAGAGAGCTACCAGTGTTCTATCAGGTTAGTGCCAGGCAGACCAGTATTAGCCATAGCCTATGGACAGCCAGATTGTCCCCTGCCAGGAGAAGTACTAGTAACTCAGATAACAGTAAGGATGTTTGAGCAGAACAGCAAACAAAGTGTCTAAGTGATTTCTGGTCATTGCCGAGCCCTTGTGTTGCGTGTCCTAGTACTCCCAGGTCAATATTTGTGTTACAACAAGTGTCAGCAATTCACTCTGCCAGGTGGCAACAAGTCAAGATAGGAGGTACATAGAAATACAAGTTAAAAAAACAAAAACATGCATTTGGTATTTTGATATTACAGTCAATTCGCAAGTCAATATTTCAAAGGGTAGGCTACAAGTCAATCACATCTTTGAAAAGCTTTGTTTAGAATATAAAAACCTAGAATGATTGCATGCTCATTAGCACTACTCACTCAATTAGAAAGAGTTTGTCAGCCACAAAGGTGAAGCATTTAAACACATTAATCTAAAGGTAAACTGAAAGAAACACAGTCACTCCTCATTACCCATTAGCTATCAGGTCCCACTGAGGAAAGCCATCCTTCTGGGGAGTTATTGTTGCCCAACATTCTTGCAGCATGGCTGGAGGAAAGCCAGGTAGTTTCCGGGGCACATCCACCTCAAAATAAAGACCTGCTGCTCGCTGGATGGCTACAGGGAAGTCCTCAGACTGGTAGAAGTTGGTAAAGGTGTCATCTAGAACATGCAGATAGGACATGGCACTTTGAAAAACTCAGCAGTATAGACAAAGGTAGCTCAGTATTCTTGTAGACTAGATGGTAGTATGCATGGTCATAATCTAGCATATTAGAGTGGTGTTCCAATTCTGCTCACACCTTGGTCCTCCTAGGACTAGTTGAGAGAATGGTGAGAACATTTCCCTTCCACGAATCTGTCTCCTTTCCCAGACAGGTCAAGAGTGATTGATCCTCTTGTCACCTAGCTCCTCAAATGCCCAACCCCGCTCAAATGACTACCATCACTATAGATTAACCCTTCAGTCTTTGCCTCACAGCTCAGCACCCCTTTCCTGCAGCCCAGGAGCAGCCTTTGGTCAGCCAGGGGCCTGCGGAGGTATGGTGCACCTGACTGGGAGCAACCCTGAACTATCCTAGAACTCCAACGTGGATGGCAGAGTTGCTGCAATCCACCAAGACTGCAGAATGCTCTGTCCCAGGACCATCACATTCTTGGTGTTCAATGTCTTACCACCAAGAGAGTGGTGAGACCTTGACCACCAAGAACTAGAGTGCTCCATGTAACCATGGTTTTTAGGTGACCAGGGAAGCTACCAAGCACTCTGGGAAGGAATGGAGGCTAGCTGCATCCCACTGAACTTTGACTTTCATCTAATTCAGGCTAGCTATCTGATCCAGGAGCCCTTTGGACAGAGTGGGTGCTCCAGAGAGCTTTCCACTGGTATGACATGTGGGGGTGCTCTGTGGCATGAGTTTTTGGGTGATTTCTGTATTGAGCTCTGTATCCGGGAGATCGTTACCAGAGTTTGGACTCGATTATCACAGACAGGTGTCTGGGCAGTCTTCGATTACAATGAAGCGAGACTCCATGCTGGGGGGGGTCTGGGTATAAATTCTTGTGCTTTTCTCAAAGTTAATTTTCTCCCTTCACCAAGTCTCGGCTACTGGTTGTGTGAGAGCAGTACATTCTGCAGGAGAGCTTCATTACTATGGAAGTTTTACACTATGGGATGTGACAACCTTAGCAGTAAAAAAACAGTTACTCATGCGTATACTGCCAAACAGAATTTACTCCTCACACCGGCTTTCATGGTCATGCTTTCAGCTGCTTTAGTGTCCTTACCTTTTGAAAGCCTCAACACTGCTCCCAATTCGTCGTGTTCTCTCTTCTTCAGAGCTTGATGAAAGAATAGTACAAATTACAGCTCTGAAAGAATACAAGTTTTTCCAGATCATTTTAATTTAGAGAAATCACCTCTGGCTTGACTGCTTCGATAAACTGCAGAGAATCCACGTTTGATTGGAATTTCCTTTAACTTGCCATGAAACTGCTGGATGTCCCGAACAGGATATTTACAACGAAGGGTCAACCTGAACATTAGATACAAAGTTTTTTGAAAGCATCATTCAAGTTTAAAGATGAAGTTGGTGAAGAGACTGAAAATATAAGGACTGCTATTGCTCATAAGGCAAAGTTGGACAAGGAAAGTCTCACCTGTAGTTCGAATCGCGGGATATTATGGGTTGATTTTCTGGCAAGACTTCACGATCAAAGGTAACCTCATTTTCATACAAAAGGAAGTCTCCGTCAAACTAAAAAAAAAGAACCCACTATTGTCAAGGACTTGCATGCATAGCTTTGAGAAAAAGCTGGACTATAATCACAAGCTCTGATAAAAGCCAAAATAACTGGATTTTATATGAGAGCTGGATACCCCATGCTTGGTCTGCCATGAGAGAAATGATCGTGGTGATACCTTTCTGACTGTCCCACAGTTGTACACCGAGAACGAGAACAGGGCCAAGGTGTCATCTGCCTCTTTGGGAGTGCACGTGGGATCTTTTAAGTGTGTTTTCTGAGGATTAAAGTTGGGTTTGGTGTCCAAGCCAATTACGGTTGCCTTTACTGTGCCATTGGGGAAACAAACTAAAGTATGGAAAAATTAAACAAAAAAACCTTGTTACCATGAAAATTGACAGGGTCTTTACTCAGATTTTCAACTCAAGTTACCTACGTGGGAAACTATACCATTAACTGGCTAAGAGTTGGTGGCTTCTGCCATACAGAATATATAGACGTGTTTAAAAATAATTTACATTTTAGAGCAGAAGATTGAATGTTTCACCACTTATAGGTGTCTCAACAAGTTTGTAGCTATAGTTCAGAGATCATGTAAAATAATTTAAGTTTTTATTAGAACTAGCCATTCTGGTTAGGTTTGTTGATTGAATTTGTAAGAATATACGAAAAAGCCAACTCACCAAGCAGCCGGTCTGTGGGGAATCGACAGAAAACTGAATACTTGCTCTTTATCTCCAGGGTCTTGTTGTCCCTCAGACTCCAGTCCAGACGAGCCATGATACCCCGCAGTGTGATATCCTAGAGGACAGCAGTGAAGAGGTCATTCCAGATTAGTTTAGCCAATGTATTCTCACTTCAGACAAGGCTTGTAATGTTAATCATGTAGGATACAAAGCTGGGAAGGCCATCTTAGGGCCTCAAACTTGGAAACTACAAGTTGCGCTTTTTAAGTTAGCATCTTAAAAAAGTGACCAATCTTAAATCATCCACTATAGACTCCTCTTTCCACTCCTATACCCATTTGGAACAAGACAGCCTGTGTGCTTTTACCTACAAAGGATCAGTGACATGCAGAACACTGGATGTGCCAAATTATCTATTCTTTATGCCATTTTAAATTGTCACAATATTTAAGAGAAATAAAATAGACAAAAGACAGATAGCTCAGGCTGTCCAGACTTCCCAAAGCAGCTCAAAGAAGTCTTTGCAAGGCAGGTGCTCTGGGCCATTGCTGCCTCTTTAGTTTAGCTCCACTGAGCTAACCAACCAGTTATCTGACAGCCAGTTGGGTGTAACTGGAAGTGGAGGGGCAGCTCATCTTAAGGTAGGGGAAGATGGGTTTTGGGGGACCTACCTGTGTAGGGTGCTAAATTGGGGGAGGGAGGAGAAGTGTGCAGTGTATTAGTTTTAGGGAGGGGCACTGTATTAATTTGGGGAGGGGCCAAGCAGTGTATTAAATTGGGGAGGGAGTGGGGCAGTGTATTCGAATGGGTTTGCATGGAGGCGCTGAATGCTCCCATGGAGATGACATTTGGCTGTGCAGCTTTTTGCCACACATGCACAATAGCCTCCCAATGCTTTCCTATGGGAAAGCATAGGAATGGCTAAGATGAAGTTTGATGATCTCAGCCAAAGTGAAGACCACTCTCAGAACTTCAAAATAAACAAGATCACGCAATTTGATTTTTACAGCTGTGCAACAGCATACATTCACCATTTCAGTCCCATTACCAAACTTAATATGTTAAGTTCGTTTGACAGAAACATTGCTTATAAGCAAATTTACATCTCAAAAAAATGTGCTCTTTTGTTTACTTTGAAGCCCCACGAGCGAGGACGTCCAGTGTCTGTAGGCTTTTATATGGTATTCTAAATAAACCTATGTTTCTATGAAAACTGACTTTTGCGGCCCACATAAGCCTAAACATGATTTATTTGGCCTGTGTTAGCCTTTGAGTTTGACATTGTTCCAAGGAGTGCTCATTGCTGAACAGGATGTATTGCTACCAAGTGCTGAGTCCTGTTAAACTGTGTTAACGGTCCTGGCCAGAACTCAAAAGCCTCATTAAGAGTTATTTTCAGGTTAAGTTCATTGGAACTAGTGGTACCCTACAAACACAAACAGCCTATTGTTTGAGATTCAGAATACCCTGCCAAAATAAAGGTCTTCAGGAGGTTGGCCAGACTATCCCATTTTAAGACTAACCAAATTAAGTTTAAGAGGCTTGCAGACTTATCCTGCATCTCATGAGAATGCAAGGTGCACAATGTGGGACATTAAAAAGGTCAAGGGAGCAGAACCTTGAGGAGCTATCCTACTGCATGGATGTTAGGCTGTTTAACTGCAAATTGTTAGCAAGTTTTGGCACCACAGCTGGTAAGTCAAGCACTACTTTAAAAGGAACCACAATTGCCAAGCCAAGAGTAAAAAAAACTTTGCGTAGATATACCCAAATGAAATCATGCATTCATTGCAAATGCAAGGCATGTGTTCTGGGCAATAGCTCCACTGAGCTTGCCAAGTCAGGAAGTAACAGGACTGATTGACAATCCGGGGGTGTAAAAACGTGACTTCAAATGTAGCTATATTTCCATCGAAATCTGCACATTGTAAAGAATTTTACATACAAAGCATTGAGCAAGCTAAAGTGCTCTAGGTGTTTTAAGACTATAGACCACCTCATAGACCAGGCCAACTGCAAAAAGAGGGACTTCAAAATGGAAGACTGGTCCTTGTCCATTGATCACATATTTCTCAGATTGTGCCAGGTCTCTGGTCAGAGGTAGGTTCCTGATGTAAGGAATCCAATATCTGTCAAGGTTACCGTGGGTCATGTCAAGAATCAGGCGATCAGCACCACAGGACCCATTATAAGTGGGAAGAACTAGAGGAAAGCAAGAGATGTTAAGTATATGGAATTACAACAAGCTAGAGGTGAATCAAGACAGGTTCACTTACCGACATCTGCCAAGATGCACACCACCACCTCTGTGTATGTGAAGTCCTTGTCCTTTTCCAAGAGAGTCATAACATAGGTCACATACAGAGTGTAGTGTCTACTAGTGGTTTCATTGATATACTAGGAAGAAAAAGTAAAATATTAGTCAAGTTATCCAGTGTTAACAGCGGATACTGAGTTGTCACCTACAGTATATAGGTGGTTAGGATATGGATGTTTAAGTGAGCCTGTTTTATGTTGCCTAAGCTTCCCTATATACACACATCATGTAATGGAGATACATATTCAGTGTAAATCTGAAAGATAACTACCCTACCTCCAATACTGCTCTGATTTGCAGTGCTTATGGTGTTTCCCCAAACAGGATAATCCTCCAATGGCAACATGCTAGCTTTGTTCCCAGCCCAGAATAGAGTGATTACACTTCATAGCAGCATTGGCTGTGAAGTTCTCATAGCAACTACAGAACATGCGCTGCAATTATGCTTGGAGATCAGAAGGACTGCCTGGGGAAAGCATTTTCAGCCCTCTTGCCAGTGCAGAAACTTGGAGGCCAGTGAATACTGGCTGGAATTCAGTGTGGGACTAGCACATACCGGCTTTAAGAGGAAGAAAAACTTTGTAGTCAACTTATTCTGCAGCACTTTACATTTACAGTATGCATGACAGCTGCAAGACAAGATGGGAAGACGCTCTTACAACATGAGGAATGGAGGTAGAATATGGTTTAGCATCCTGCCCAGAAGTGCTTCCTGGTGAGGTAGTCTGGATGGATGTCATACCTGGTTTAAAGACCTGTTACGGTCGGCTTTATTAAAGGGACACTAGATGTTAGAGTACCTGAAGCTGTACCTCCAGTGAGCTAAAAGCCAGTTTCACAGAGGGCATGCCAAGACAAAATGTGGGCTACCTGCTGAACCACTAGTGGGTCGTTGAAGGGCACTTGAAGGAAGAAAGCGTTGGTATTGTTGGCGTTTGGCACTTTAATCACATTAAATCCCATGTTCTTTGCCTCGATCACAGTCAGTGGCACTTTTTTAATAATGAAGGACTTAAGATCCACATCAGGAAAGAAGTTACCGAGAGACACGTTAAAATAGTAGTTTTCTGGGATGGTGTCTAAACAAAAAATAAAGACAAAAAATTTGAAGTATGGCTTAAACTTGAAATTACATCTAGGTTTATACTCTCCAGTCACTCATCCACACCAGCTGTAACAAAATCAGCAGCCATCCTGTTGCCCTATACCCCTTTCCTTTGCAGAACGGCATTACCCACCTGGATCTCAGACTTTGCACTAAGCTGCTAACCCACCAGGCTGTCTGACAATACCCTTTATGCTCTAGGCAGACTTACAATTAATGAAGATTGGGGGTAGTGGTTGAAAGGGAGTGACGATTGGTTTAAACATTGTGTGTCTGGTGATATCAGCTGGTTGCTCATTCCATTCTTGTTCCAGGAAGAGGTGGATACGGTATGAGCTTCCATAGGTGTTATTCACAATATCGCTCTACAACAGACATCCGTACAGTTTTGTTAGAATTCCATCTTATGCCAGAACCAGACAAGGTATAGGAGTGCAGGTAAATCCCTATGTATGAACTTGCCTCTGTGTAGCCTCCAGGGGCACCAATTGGCACTGTAACATCCACAGTGTTGCCATCGTTTTGGAAGGTGTAATGGTTTTGAGCAATTAGGTTTGCATCTATCAACTGTCCATTAAGGCCCAGCTTCAGATTGGTAGTAGTGTAGAGTGAGGGTTCAAGGACCAGAGGTGAGAGAACAGCTGGGGTCAGCCATGACAGTGATGTTTGGGTCATGACAGGAGGATCTGCATTTGGGAAGGAAATATATCAAAGTTTACCAATTTGCAATTCTTTAGTCAGATTTGTTCTGGGAGCCCTAAGCAGACTACAGGGCATCAGTGAGTTTCATTGATGCTTGGGAACAGCATATGTTAACCACAAGGCATACTTAAGAGGCCAGTAGTTAGTTACTAGGGCTAGTGAACAATTTAAAATAAAATGCAATGTTGCTTTAATTCATATGTAGTGGCATCTTTAGCCAAGTAATAGCAGGCAGTGTTAGATGGAGATAATGTTTGGACAGAGTCCAGCTACATACAGAACATTTCCAGAATACAGTGAGAGGATGCAGCCATTACCAGGGACGAATTAGCCACGAGGCAAACAAGGTATTTGCCTTGGGCGGCATTTTTCAGGGGGGACAAAAGACGCTGCCCCCAAATGCCCAGGGCAAATTCCTTGTTAACCTGGTGGCTAACAGACATGCCAGGCGGCGCTGGCTGATTGTCAGGCGGCTGGCGAGAGAGCACTTCCTGAGCTGTCTGCTCAGCTCCCTCACACGCCGCAGAGCGAGGCTGGGAGCCGGGTTGATGACATATTCCGGCTCCCAGCCTCACTCTGCGGCGCGTGAGGGAGCTGAGCAGACAGTTCAGAGGAAGTGCTCCCTCAACAGCCACCCGCCCAGCAGCCAGCCCAACCGGCAGCCACTGGACCACCAGGGAGAGAGGGAAACCCCCAGCACTAAGGAGGCTGGGGGGTTAATTAAAAAAAAAAAAAAACTGAGTGTCTTCCTGCCTAGGGCAGCACAAAACCAGGATACACCACTGACAGACACTGTTATGTAGACTCACCATTGGGGCAAGCAAGGGTGGTATTCACAGTGAGACGAATCAGAGCCTGGGTATAGTACATAATGCTCAGGATGGCATTGTAGTGGTAGTCGCCATCCTGTAGGGACAGAGCAGAATAGTTAGTTGTATTCACTTTGTTCATGTGTCCCTGAATCCCAATGCCAGCTCACCGTTAGGATCATGGACTCCAGGCTCTGGTAACGGGTTCTGAACACCACCCTGGTTGCTGTAGCATTCATTCCATATCCCTTCTTGAAAGCATCCTTGGCAGACATTATGATCTGAGTTTTGTTCACAGTGAACTGCACCTGCCAGCGCTGAGACAAACCACCTTGGACCTGAATTAGGTAAGGAATACAGGGCATCAAGAACTGATTGTCTACATGTCACGGCCTACCTTGCAGCTGAAAGATCATGTATAACAAGACATTAATGCCAGGAGAGGTCATGTCCACCTATTGTTACTGCATGACTCCCATCTATGCCTCTATAACCATGTGCGCAGTGTACCTTCATGGGTAGCCAATTTGTTCATTCTAACTGTAGTAAAATAAAGTGCCCTGGTACTTTTAAACCAAAGCCTGCCTTTCGATAGTGGCAAACAAAAAACCCTAGCAGCATTATGGCTGTGGCAACTTGCCATCACTGTAACTACTTTTGTAGAGCTTGTTAGTGACCCAACCAGTGTTCTGGAAGAGCCAACCTGTCAAAATAATAAAACTAAAAAACCCTACATACTATCAGATTTCCATCCATGTTTACTGCTACCAATTTCTTTTCCCTCAAGAGTCAAGTTTATGATAGGGAACATTGGACAGAGGTCAATTTTTATCCCAAGTTCAGTTAGGTCTCAAACATTCAGTGCCAAGCTGCATGCCCATTGTCATAGAATGGGCATAGGCGTGCACACAGGGTGTGCCTGGGCACACCCTAATCCCCGTATATTGAGACCGGAAGGGGAGATCTCAGGATCTCCCCTGTCGGCTCATGCAGAGCCGGCGCTATCCGAGTGCCGGCTCTGCTCTCAGCCTCCCTCCCCACCAACCCACATGCAGGGAGGGAGGCAGGCAGGAGAGGCCCGGCGGAGCCATTGCCGGCAGCTCCGCTGGGTTCCTCTTGCAAGATATGAGCGTTGCCACAGCAACGCTCAAATCTCGCGAGAGTGAACTCTAGCCCCACAGGGGGCTAGAGTTCACTCTCCACTAGACCACCAGGGATGGAATCAGCAGCACGATCCCCCTCCCTACAAAAGGTAAGAAGGCAGGGGGGATAGCAAGTAATGTACCCCCACAATCACCCACCCTCACACACACAGCACCCTCACAAGCGTGCACACACAAACACCCTCACCCACATAGCACACTACCAGCACCCTCACACAGCAGTGTGTATATATACACATATGCGGCTTGTGCTTTAGGGTGCACACCCTAATGCAATAGGCTGCGCACGCCTATGAGAATGGGCATGATTTTGTTGTGTGCTCAGTTATTTTATTTTTTTTTTTTAAATGTTGAACTGTGTGAAAGCTATTGTGTCAGTGTCCAGCAGAATATTAAGTCATCATGTCTTGAACCAAATATGTCCCAGACACCAGGGAATGGTTTGCATTGTTCCGACTAAAGACCCCCTGGTTTGTGTAGGGGGTACAAATCTATGTGTTTCTGAAACAAACAACTTTTCTTGTTTAACCCCGATTTGGTCAAAATTAGGAATTTTACTAGGTTCCAGAGATCTATAATCACTATTCCTGTAGCTCATAATCACTGTGCTGTAGATGAAGCCAGGACAAGTTGAGGAAAGGAAGAGTCGAGTAAGGGACACCAAGATACCTGTGACACCCATTGTGAGATCTTTTACCAAGATTTAGACCAGATGCCATACTTAAATTAGCCAGTGAAAATTGTAATTATCAGTCTTGCCAAATCTAATGGCCATTGCTCCAAGTTCACAGCACTACTTGTTATATAGCCTTACACAATTTCTCACAGCGCCAGATTGGCAAGAACTTTAACAACTCATGAATTTCACAACCTTACCAAAGGCCAGAATTGCTGAGGGTCAGTCTTTAGCCAATTCCTGTCCAGAGGAACAATTCTTATCACAGAGACCTAGGGGAGGAACACAAGTATTAGCCTAAGCCAACCTCATTTACTTGGGGGTCAGATAGAGTGCAGTAGTTTCCAGGTTGTCCAATACAGGTCCACTACCCACAGGAGATTCTCTTCCCCAATTTCATCTTAAATCCCCATGGTTACCTCCATGTAATTCTCTTCACAGATTATCTCTCTCATGTTCCAAGGGTCAAGGAGCTGGCAGGATTTTGATAACAAATAAGTGATGTCCCCATTACTACGGCGCGCCCTGAACTGGACTGCAGTGTCAAACTGGTTGTCGTTCTACAAAAAGAAACATGGCGATTTAACAGGAGTGCCGACACGTTGGATACATTACTATACTACGTTGAGTCATACACTAAATTAATGGGAAACGCGTAAAATAAAATCCAGATAAGGAAACCTTCCCAAAATGACTGACAGTTTTAGTCCAAAATGAGCTGCATTGCCGGTGAATTCACAATACAGTATAAAGAGTACCATGTTCAATACAAACAAAAAATTAAATAAGTCATACATACCAAATTATTAACCCAGCACCCAAGGAAGGAGATCCTGACTTCCACATTCCCATAAACATCACGACTTTTGGTATACCCACACTGCGCTGAAAGGTCATCATCTAGCACAACTGGGTAGCTAGTGTCATCTGAAAAGGGATAACAAAGATAATAAATTAAGCCTATTTTGGGGCTTTTAATGAAGTTTCTTTGATGCGTGATACTTTTTTATCTGTAAAAGTTAGTCATATTGATATGCAATGGATAGTGTTACACCAAAACCGGATCTTTCATACACCTGTCTGCTAAGGGTATCTACTTTGAATAAAAAGTAGTTTGTGTTTTACTTTTTTTAAGTTAGTCCTACTCACTGAATATTTCTATCTGCCATGTTGGTCCCAAGAAGTCCTTTTGCACCCAGATCCAGAAGCTACGGCTGTGACATCCAGTCTTATAAACCCCTGCACAAGAAAGTAGTCTTTGTCAGAACCTGTGACCAAGACCTTCAGAGTCTATTCCTGTAACTGAGCCAGTGTCGGACAGACTTACCAACTGGAAAAGATGCACTGTTGATGCATGGTAGACTCACGCAGAGCAAGGCAAATCTGAAGAGGAAGAGAATGTTTTAAGTGTTGTAGGCCCAATACAATCCTTGAAGCCAACACATACCGCGCTACCTTTCTGCGCATATTTAAGGAAGGTTCAAATTAAAAATGCAGCTGTTTCCACACTAGAGAATCACATCAAGGAGTCCCTGTTATAAAGTCTTTCAGTTTGTCACGGCTATAAAACTCTAGGTCTCTTGTATGTTATGCAGGCTTTACAGCCATATTGGAGAGTGCTGTATCAAAATGGTTTGTCAATGTGCTTAAATTTTACATTCTTAGTTAAGCTTAATGGGCATGCTTTTGTAGTTGCTCCAGATAAGTGCTGGCACCATGCAGCATTGTTACTCATGTAACTAATAACCAAATACTCTCAGCCAGACCTCCAAGATCATCCAGACCTGACAGAGGAATGATACAATGTGCCCAACGGAGAATGATCCTTCCTTCTGGTAAGAAATGTTAGAGACAATGTAGCCACCAGCAAAGTGAAAACTCCTGTATCCTATCCCACACTGTGCATGTAGCAAGTTATGGAGTGCCACCAAAATATTTAGTCTCCAAGATAACCGTGCCTTTAAAAGGAATCCTTAATATGTTCACCTGTACTCAAGCAGGGATTCCAGCAAAGCAGCATAGGAATGCGTGCTAAGTGGCACCACAGTATAGGTAGGCTCAAGTTCCTGTTCAGGTCTCTAATGACACAGCTTAGTTTTAAAGTGTTGCTTCAATCATGACTACTTCAGTGTTTTGAAGTGTCATGGTGAAAGGACCATTTACATCATGGGTACCCAAAATGTAGAGCCAAGATGTCTTAAAACTACAGCTCCCATGGTGCTTTGTCATAAAGACATTCTAGATGCATGCAAGGCATCATGGGAGTTGTAGTTCAAGAACTGTGGATCTACCTATTCGGCACCCAGGATGTACATGCAGTGTTTTGTATGAAACAGTGCACATACAGACACGTTGCTGCAGGAGGTGTAACTCCACCTGCAGTAGGGTTTGTTGGCCAGCTCAGAATGAGAGTTCTGTGCCCAAAGGGTCATTCATTGGCTACTTAATCTGCTGATGCTCTAAGGTAATTAATGAACTCCAAGCTCAGCATCCAACTTCTGTAGACGCCATGTGTCACTCAGCTGCCAGTCATTGTAGTTTGGAGCAAAGACCCAAATATGGTAGAGACATTTCTAACCTTAGTGGAGAAAGATATCACCTGGACTGCAAGGAAGGGGAGGCATGACTGCTGCCCTGCAGTAAGGGGTGGGAATATAAAAAAGATACAATGTTGCCTATATAGTGGGATATAAGAGGGAGAGCAGGGGGGGTGGGACTCACCAGTGCAGAAGGAGCAGTCTGGAACAGTTTCCCGCCCGCCCTCCCCCAAAATTTCCCATGCTATGGGATGGTTTGGCTTGTGGTGGTTGTTTCTGTTCTTGTTTTGTCACAGCTATGGCGGAGTTCCTGGCCAGCGCACGTAATGCACGGAAAGGATTTGGGGAGTCGCAGCCTGCTAGGGCTGATGGCCGAAGGCAGGCTGTACGAACTCTGGATAAAGACTTGGAGTATCTGTCTGTTGGGTAGTCACCCCAACAGCTGACAGGTGGAAATGCTGGCTGTGTAAAAGTTTAATAAAGCTGTGGCCGTTGCCCTTACCCAACAATCAGGTGTCATGTCGTTATTGGGGTAACGGTTTTGGTATTTGGGGTCAGCAGTCATGGTGCCATGGTACTCCTTGTACCATATCCACTACTATAAGGAAAAAGTGAGTGGCAAGCACGCTAAATCAAATGTCAGTGTCCCTTTTCATAACCCACCACAAAAAGTTTTACATAAAAAAAAATAAAGGTGGTTGTTCAGCTAAAGTGAAGGGACATTTGGACATGTAGGGGTCTCAAGTCATGCAAGAAAAAAAAAAAAAAAAAAAAAATGTTTACTGTTCACTTTACTATCTGAATAGACCACCTGAATTTATTGGACGACATTTATTCTTTTAGTTTGATAATATCCACTAAAGCCGGTTGTAATTGTATGATGCTCGGAGTAACCGTTTTGTGAAAGGAAAAAAAAGTTTAAATGCAATTTTGAAATTTTTATTTTAAAAGTAAATTTTAATTGGCTTTTTTCTTGGTACACACCCGAATACAGAGTGCGGTGTAGATCTACAGTCAGCGATATGGCGCAACAAGACTATTTATGGACATCTGTAGGAGTTACTGCACAGTTTCCAAATTAGGTCAATTTCTAGAGAGAGTTACGAAGCTGTAACCCCGGTCTCGTTTGTACTCCTACACAGAGTCACAGGATACATTACTATGAAGGGTTAGGACATGCTGGTCCAGGTCATTTAAGGCTAGTTGGGGAAGGTTATTAACTCCCTCTATACAACCTTAAAGCAGTCCACGTTCCAGAGTTTGATTGTGGCAACTCAACAGATGGCCACTCACAGGGCTGCCTATAATAAGTGAAAGCCAGACTTTCATACAGACTGGCAAAGATTGGCCCCATCCATGCCAGGCTCTACTGAATTCACATTACCCATGGAACCAAAACACCCACAATACACCAGGAGGCCATCAAACAATATTTATCAGCTACAAAGTCACTGAACACACCAGGAAGAAGGTCCCCAGAAATGTACTCACTAGAGAAGGAATTAAGAAGAATTAAATTGCAACAGTCCTGGAGGAGAAAAAAAAAAAAAAGAGAGAAAAGGGGGCCTTCAAAATTCCTCATTTAGTGAATGAGCACCTAAGTCTAAAACACAGATAACAGGGAGAGTCACAACTGTATTAATTGTGCAGAATTCAAAGTGCAATGCATGGTTGAAACTCACTTTAAATACATGAAAACGCACACTTTAGCGAATATAATTAAATGCAGAGGAATTAAAAGGAAACTATATACAGAATAATAAAAAATGATTATACACAGATTATTGTATCACACAGGCCTTACCCAACAAAGAGCATCCATTGCATGGTCAAAGGGAAGACAATAAATAAAAATCTCTCCCAAAATAACACATAATCCAAAAAGACTTTTCTCAGTCTGACTGCCTGAGCTCCATTTATATGTAACCCAGGCCTGAGCAGTCATTCTGACCTCAATTACTCAATTAAAGGCAGTCTGCAATGTCTGGACTCACGGAATACTCAGATTCATTATTTACTGCAGGTAGAAAAGTGTTTAGACTATTACATACTTCGTTATTCAACCACAGCAACAAGTTATATTACGGAAGCATAATACCGCGAATCTTCTAGATTTTTAAGTGATATTTGAAACCAAGTTTTTAGATCCGGATTCTGGTGATTCTGGCGTATTTATTGAGAAAGGAAATTGATTTACAATATTGGCTCAAACGTTCTCTAGGGCTGGATCCCCCCAGGACTCAGCTGTTTGAGGGGACACATAGCCACTCATATGTTATACGTTGTATCCATACAAGATTCATGTTTTTTGTGATTTCAGTATATATTTTGTATTATTCTTTTAGGGAAAAATACATTCTTGCACACAATGTTTATTTATTTTTGTATAATTTTATAGGTCAGCTTGCGCATGCCCATGTGGTAGCTGCATGTGAATTGTAATAGCACTTTGTATAGCACGTTTAATGAACATTGTTTACACGTATATGAATTGTGCTAATTATTGTATTGATTAGCACCGATATATATTTAGCACACAGGATTTTTTAATATTTTTTTTTTGTTAATCAGTTTTTATTGATGCATGTCAATAGTTAAATTTGGGCTCGGAGGCCCGCAGTAATAACAGAATACAAGGTTACATAGGAAAAGCATCAAATATCCAAACAGAATATACATGTGTAGTTAGAGTCAGTTATAGTTGCAATATCAGGTAACACGATGTCGCAAGTGGTAGTCACTACCGTGTACCTCCCCAGGGGGCACATCGCTACAGCTCGTGAGAACCATAGTTGTCCAGTTCAGTCCACCGAGGGCTAGGTCGGTGCGGAGAGATTAATATGTATCGGTACCTTAAAAACGCGTGTAAACTAATGGTTGGTGTCAAAACTTCTCGTCGAAGAGTGTGAAAGTGAAGTGTGATATATTGTGTTAGGGTATGGCACAACCCATAGGGAGTCCGGTGTTGGGTGGTGGCAGTAAAGAGGTGTGGCATTACACAGCCATTGTAGGTGGGGAGGGAAGAGGATGGTGTTGGCTCGATAAGGACACACGATAGTGTGAGAGAGACCCTTCAGCGATATGAGCGTCCAGTCATGGTGCCTTCATTCGCCCCTCGACTGCCCGCATTTGGTGCAGTAGAGTCAGTGCGAGAGAGCCCTGCTTTTTCGTGGAATTCCCAGAGGCCCAGCTGGCCTGTCTAATGATCGTGTTATGTCCCATGTCAGGCATGTATGGTCGGGTTGTACATGTCGCAGGAGGTGTGTGTTGGTAGCAGCTTAGCAGGTGTCGGATTTTTTAATATTAACGGTACTTTATAAGGTTAAATCAGCATAGTTTAGCCATGTTTATTCACACTTATACCAGGGCTCACACACAGTGACTGTGATGAAATGCCTTTTGTCACTGAATTTTTAGGTGACAAGCTGCCCTTTGCCCCTGGCTGTCAGAGGAGCCTGAGTGCCAGCCTCCTGCCACATGACTATGGCCCTGGGTTGTATGGCCCTTTACAAACATTATTTGGGCTAATGGATTTATATTGTGCTGCTGGCCCTTTAAGAACTGCATTGTGGCTCATGGACTTGTATTGGACCATGCTGGCCCTTTAAGAACCGTCTGGGGATATATTGAGACTTTGTGTGACAAAGCCCCTTTAAGACCGTGTCCCCAGACCTTTCAAATACTTTGTCCATGGCTTTCTCCCAGTTGGTTCAGTAAATGGGGCTTACTGAACCAAGTACCACACAGGCGGACCACCCAGAAGTGGAAGCCTGCTGTATGTAAATTGCCGACCGCTGGGTGGCCGCCATTCGTCAAACGAACATGTGGCGCGGCCATCTTTAATTCAGCTGAAGTTTTACCTTCTCCAGATTTCAATGCATTCGACAGTTTGAACGCCATTCGACAGTTCGAACAATTCGAATGGTTGTCGTTCGTCTGTTTGAACTGACTTTAACATGGGAAATAGACCGACCGCACAGCCTGATTCTCTGGAACTGTTTTGGGCATGTAAATGTGCTTGCAGTCGGTCATAAAGGACACCCAGCTAACTTTTTATCTACTGGGGGGATTTGTATGATTTTGGGGTATGTTTATATTTAAAGTATGCTGATTCTGAATATATATAATGAGTATGTTTTATGTGAATATGATGCATATTTTTAAAGTTACAGTATATGTGTAAAAAGTATATTTTTCCTGCCTGTGATAAATTACATTAACCCAATGTGTGCAGTAATTATATCACAGGCAGAGGGGAGGGATTGTATGTTGGGGCTGGGTGTGTTTTACGGTTTGCCTGTAAATGATTGGTTGTACGGTGTCCCACCCTGTGGGATGTCCCCTTGCATGGGGTCTTGCATAAAAGCCAGTGTGTGGTCATTAAAAGTCAGATCATCTTGTACCTTCATGAAGTTTCGGCTCATGTTTGGGGGATTGGAGAACTACACTCTGGGGATTGCTATAATCACTATACTCCCCAGGGTATGATCACTAAGCTCTGCTAAGAGCTTGTTCCTGTTCCTGCTCTCTGGAATTCGGAGAGAGGTTGACCTACTGGAAGCTGGACCCTGGTCTTGGGTCCAGAGTGGGTGGAGACGGCGATACCCCAACCTAGCTGCGGTGGTTCGTGGGGTCTGCAGTGGTTATGGTGTTGGGCAGAGTGCTTGGAGTCCTCGCAAAGAACTAGGAGCATCCGTCAGCGGAAGGTACACGGTCGGGGTGCAAGCGGTTCCATTACAGTGACTATACGCAGACATTCACTTGTGTTAGAGCCTGCGCTGACCCTTTTAAGGACAGTATATAATGTCTTTTATAGGGGCCCAGGATCTAACTTAGCCTGATGGACCAGACCACAGTCAGCATGTTCCCGAATCTGCCAATTCACTCTGAGACTCCGAAAATCTACCAGTTCCATAACTCCAGGCATTGGGACGTACGAAATTAAGACGAGAGGAGAAACAGGCCATACTCAGGCGTGACAGTTTATTTAGGGGGCTAGTGTGGCCGCTAACAGGGGGTGCCCGTACACAATGTGGTGCTGACAGTAGGGATGTATTTGGCCGCGAATCCATACCCCCCAATAATGGAAGTTAGAGAATCAGGACGGGAGGGGACGATGCACGAATGGACGCATGCCAAGTATGGTGGGGTGACAAATAACACTGTTCTCGAGCGCCACACTTTATTAGCCGATATTCCCTGGATTGGCGTAGCGCAGGCACGGGCAGATTTGATGATGCTTAGAGACCTTTCTCTGTTCTGTTTATGGTCTGCTCTCCAGTTTCAGGGCAGAGGTGTTTAAAGTCACTTTTGGTTGCTGCGGCCGGGCGGTGGTCCCATCGTTTAGGGACTAGCTAACTGGGTCCAGGGCAGTTGGTATCTGCTCAGTTAACCTGAAGGTTTCCATGGTTTATTGTAGGTCTGATAAATATATATATATATATATATATATATATATATATTTACTACTATGTATAGTGACAGAACAAATGTAAATGTCAATAAACATTAATATGAAGCTAGACTGCACTAAGTCAGGGGATGGTGATGGAAATGCAGCACTAGGTGTACAGACAGCACAGTGTCCAGCACTGGGTGTACAGACAGCACAGTGTGCAGCACTAGGTGTACAGACAGCACAGTGTGCAGCACTAGGTGTACAGAGAGCACAGTGTCCATGTAGTGGGTGTACAGACGGCACAGTGTGCAGCACTAGGTGTACAGACAGCACAGTGTGCATGCAGTGAGTGTACAGACAGCACAGTGTCCATGCAGTGGGTGTACAGACAGCACAGTGTACATGCAGCACTAGGTGTACAGACAGCAGAGTGTGCATGCAGTGGGTGTACAGACAGCACAGTGTGCATGCAGTGGGATTACAGACAGCACAGTGTGCATGCAGTGGGTGTACAGGCAGCACAGTGTGCATGCAGTGGGTGTACAGACAGCACAGTGTCCATGCAGTGGGTGTACAGACAGCACAGTGTGCAGCACTAGGTGTACAGACAGCACAGTGTCCAGCACTAGGTGTACAGACAGCACAGTGTGCATGCAGTGGGTGTACAGACAGCACAGTGTGCATGCAGTGGGTGTACAGACAGCACAGTGTGCAGCACTAGGTGTACAGACAGCACAGTGTCCATGCAGTGGGTGTACAGACAGCACGGTGTCCAGCACTAGGTGTACAGACAGCACAGTGTCCATACAGTGGGTGTACAGACAGCACAGTGTGCATGCAGTGGGTGTACAGACAACACAGTGTCCATGCAGTGGGTGTACAGACAGCACAGTGTCCAGCACTAGGTGTACAGACAGCACAGTGTGCAGCACTAGGTGTACAGACAGCACAGTGTCCAGCACTAGGTGTACAGACAGCACAGTGTGCATGCAGTGGGTGTACAGACAGCACAGTGTCCAGCACTAGGTGTACAGACAGCACAGTGTGCAGCACTAGGTGTACAGACAGCACAGTGTCCATGCAGTGGATGTACAGACAGCACAGTGTGCAGCACTAGGTGTACAGACAGCACAGTGTGCAGCACTAGGTGTACAGACAGCACAGTGTCCATGCAGTGGGTGTACAGACAGCACAGTGTCCAGCACTAGGTGTACAGACAGCACAGTGTGCAGCACTAGGTGTACAGGCAGCACAGTGTCCATGCAGTGGGTGTACAGACAGCACAATGTCCAGCACTAGGTGTACAGACAGCACAGTGTGCAGCACTAGGTGTACAGACAGCACAGTGTCCATGCAGTGGGTGTACAGACAGCACAGTGTGCAGCACTAGGTGTACAGACAGCACAGTGTCCAGCACTAGGTGTACAGACAGCACAGTGTCCATGCAGTGGGTGTACAGACAGCACAGTGTGCAGCACTAGGTGTACAGACAGCACAGTGTCCATGCAGTGGGTGTACAGACAGCACAGTGTGCAGCACTAGGTGTACAGACAGCACAGTGTCCAGCACTAGGTGTACAGACAGCACAGTGTGCATGCAGTGGGTGTACAGAC